ACGAAAAGAAGTGCAAGTTGATTCGTAATCAATGTATTGAATGGAAAATTTAAAACAAAGGTATTTGAGGAATTTAGATTGAATACGCTCAATTCTAGATTTATACGAGAGATACTGAGGATTCCAAACGACGCTGCAGAAGTTAAGTGTGCTGTAAACATAGGCAAAATAGAGATTTCTAATTGCAGCAATGTTTGAAAAAGCTACCGTTGATCTCATAATAAATCCTAACATACGCCAGGCTTTGGAGACAACAGTATCGATATGTTTATCAAATAATAATTTATAATCAAATGTAACACCCAAATCTCTAATAAATGAGACACGTTGCAACCTCTCACCAGCGACGCTATAATTGTAGTGGATTGTGTTCACCCTCCTAGAGAAGGAAATAATATTACACTTTGATAAGTTTAATGAAAGGCGATTATTTAAGCAAAAAGCATGTAGATTGTTTAAGTCAGATTGCAGTCTAGAACAATCATGAGGAGAGGAGATACGGAGAAAGAGTTTTAAATCGTCAGCATACATTAAACATTGGGCATAATTAACGTCAAATATGTCGTTAACACAAATATTAACCAGTAAAGGGCACCTGTGGAACACCAGAAGGAACCGACACAGGATTAGAAAGAAAAACATTAACCGAAACAACCTGGCATCTCTCCTTCAGATAGGAAGCAAACCATTGCAAAAGTTTCCCATGAACACCAAACTTCACTAGTTTAAACAGAAATAAGTTGTGATCCACCCGGTCGAAAGCGTTACTAAAATTCGTATAAACTGAATCAACTTGACAAGAATCATCCAGAGAAGATAAGATATACTGGGTATATTCAAGCAAGTTACTCTCAACCGTGCGACCAGCAAAAAAGGATGTTGTCTACAATTGATTTTAGACTTAAGGGCAAAGAATAGACGTGTATGAAATACTTTCTCAAACACTTTCCCAAATGCTGGCAAAGTAAATATGGGACGGTAATCAGATATAACACCACGGTCTCCAGATTTAAAAATGGGAAGAACAAAAGTCCGCTGCCGAAATGAAGGAAAGAATCAAAAAATCAATCATCTTTCATTATTAATGAAGCATTAAATAAAACAGTTAAAGGAAGGGACAGAGAGTGTGAACGTTCCTTGATTAAAATTGATTGAATATCATCAGTCCTAATACTGTCTGTAACCCTGACGCCCATCAGGTCCGCCTCAACCTCAATTCTGTCAAACTGCATCTGACTCAAAGGAAGGGCATCCATTTCTACACAATCTACATTCTGCTGGATTGGAGCAGGATCAACAAAAACCGAAGAAAAGAAATCAGCGAACAATGAGCATACTGCGACACCGTCGCCAACAACAGTTCCATTCCATGACATTGTAGAAGGAATGACATCCACACGGTTCTTAGACTTAGTAAAAGCCCAAAACATCTTTGGGTCAGATTGGATATTGCTTTCAGCTCTTCTAACATACTCCATATAATTGTAATGGATTAGATACTTTACACGACTCCTTAGAATTGAAAAAGTGAGGTAGTCAAGTCGGTTGCCAAAACGCTTCCAATTACAGTGCGCCCTCCTTTTCTCTCGAATTACTTTAATAGTATTATATGAAAACCAGGTGGGAAAACCCTTGATAGCTTTGCGTTTCAAAGGGACAAATTCAAGTATAGCAGTATTAACATAGTTATAAAATGTTGTATTGTGTAGTATGTATTGTATTACACACGTTTTTGTTGCCATCAAACAGTTGCGCGTACAAAAATCAGCTGTGTGTTCTGAAATTATAAATCTATCAAATGCAATTGGTGGCGAAGGTTCAACATGCAAATAGCTCAGATTAATGAATGGCTGCGAGAATGCCCTTTGAATGAGGGTAATTTGATCGAATTTATGAATTTATAATAATAAAGAATAAAGTTCAGCCGATTTACTTCGCGTGGGCTTGAAATTTACTACAAACATGGAACAACATAGTCTTACTCATGATCCTGACTTGGAGCATGCATAGAATTTCAACGTAATCGCAAGTTTTGTTAGCTGGGTATCTAGAATTATATAAGCAACTGGAGAAACAAAAAAAAGTTTGTAATAACAAACTTTATAACAACAAAAAAGCACCAGAAATTCTTTATTTGAAGCAAAGCTGGCGTGCTAAATATATCTGACATCGCTGATTTCTATTAGTAATTTCAATCTAAATTTTTATGTGTTGTACTTATGGACTGAATTTTCACTGTATATTGTATACCGAAAATCGAACTTTACCTAAACACTTACTTGTGATTTTTCATATAAAATGGAGCTTAAATTAACAAAATTTTGAGTAAGTAATCACATATTTTTAGTCTACCAATAGCAGTATCTAACGGTAATCTTCTATTAGCAGTATGTAGTCATCTGTAAGGAGTTTCTAGTGTTCTACAAAGAGTATATAGTTTTTCTCAAACAGTAAACAATCCTCTGCAAGTAGTATCTAGTCTTTTATTAGCAATATGTACTCATGTGCGAGCAGTATCTAACACTTCTATCACCACAAACAGTATCTAACAGTTTTAACACTGCAAACAGTATTTGATCTGTAAGTAATCTTCTGTAAGCAGTATCTAGTCTTCTGTCAACAGTATCTAGTCTCCTGCAAGCAGGAAGTTGTCTTCTCTAAGAAAGAAGTTGTCTTCTGTAAGCAGGAAGTTTTCTTCTATAACCAGGAAGTTGTCTTCTGCAAGCAGCATAAGATGACAAACAGTAAATGAGACACAAAAGTACCTTATAAAAGTTTTCAGCTGTAATTTTTTTATAAAAAAAATTAAAAAGACGTTTACACATAATCATACGTAACGCCATTATAACCTAAGCCGTACCTTTAAAAATATGATTTCAATATTATTTTCATCATATCAAAGCCATTATTTTTTCTAACGATTAACATTACAAATCAATCATCAATGCAATCAATAATCTTTTATTAGACATATAAATTCATTCCTTAGAAAACCAAACGCGTAACCGCAATCTTTTTGTAGGAACTGAATTCGATTGAAGCATTAAAATCGACATTCATCACCATTAACAAGTCGCGCAGTAATTTCTCACCAATCTCAATATTCCAAGAATTCCCCGACTTTGATCAACACTGATCATCATTTGGCCACTTTTAATCAAGCATTACGCTTCACAATATTATTCCACATCAGATAAGAACGCCTTGTCATTCAGATTGTTTTTGCAACAATCACTTATAAGTGTTATCTTTTCTTATATTGAATAATTTAATATTATTCATTATACTTTATTATAACCAAGAAGAGAAATTATATATAATATATATTCTAGATGAATATGAACCTGGACAATACGTCCATATTCCTCTCGACCAAGATTTAGTCTGGTATTATTGCAGCTATTTCTCCCACTCAATTTGCATCTGGACTAGGTTTTCTAGATCAATATCCTGTTGGACATACTCCTCCCTGTGTACAATATGGAACATGACCCCTGGCCAATAAATTATAAAGCAACCAATACCTATTTCGGAATCGCTAAGTCTAGTTAATTCAGTTTTCAAATCAAGAGTTGAATAAACATACATATTAGGTCAGAATTAGAAGCGTTAGGTATACCTTAAGCTGCTACGGCTGTATTTACAAGTAACTTCTGTACATAATAATGTATAAAAAATAGTATAAAATGAAGAAATGAAAGACGGTGCAAAGGCACAGAAACATTCTAATAGAAAAGTTGAGTAACTGATTACATGTAAGCCAGGAAGTACATCTTTACAAGTCCAAATTGGATGTATGCCTTATTATAAAAGCGAAAAACGCGACCAGAAAACGCTTTTTTAGTTTAACATTTATGAAGACATGATCTAAAAACCAAAATGTCTAAAAGATGTCTTAAACATCATCAAATTTATTGTGAATAAAATTAGTAGAAGGTATTTTTGTAATTTGTTGATTATTTTTAATTAAATTATTATTCCAATTCGCGAAGTTATAATTAAAGTTATTAAATTCAACAAGCCGTAAAATTTATAATTACTGAAATTTAATCTTATTCTAATTAATTTGGTTCCAAATTACTTCATACAAAATTTAGTTACATCTCTCCATTACATTCATCCCTAAATTACATTGTAATGAATACATTTATTATATATAGATGTCCATTTAATAATAATTCAAATAAATAATGCGTAATATGTTCACAAAATACTCATCTAACTGTTAATATTTTCTATAAATATCACATCTAATAAAGAACTGTTTTAACTTTAGTCGTTTCATATTTAATAGCATTTTTTAAACCCTAAGAATTTGTAAGTATGAAGGCCTTTTTATCATCCAATTTACAATAATTTTTAATTTATATTAAAAAACACGATCCATAAATTGCTTTTCAAATATCCAAAAAAATAAAGTAAAAGAACGGCTAAAAAGATTCTGAAAATTGGATTAAGTTAATCTTAATTATAAAATTAACATCAATAATTTTTTTTAAAGACGTAAACAGGAAACAGCGCTGCCGAACAAGCTGCGTTATCTCCTAGAGCTTGTAACTTTGGTGTTAACAACAATAGAAACTTGAACAAAAAACAGAAGTTATCAAAACAAACGAGACTACAAGCCTCTTATGATTAAAATTATTTTCTTTGGTCGGTGCACCCCACAGCAAGCTTCAAAGTGTAGGAAGAAAACACGCATTAGTGTTATTCACCATTGTAAAAAATATCCAATAAAATAAAGTAAAAGAACGACTAAAAAGATTCTGAAAATTGGATTAAGTTAATCTTAATTATAAAATTAACATCAATAATTTTTTTTTAAAGACGTAAACAGGAAACGATGAATAATCGATGAACATTTTTGTAAATTAAGTTGGATGAACCACATATTGGCAATGACTTGCCTTGCATGGTTCGCCCATATTCGACCTCGCAACACCAAACAACTGGTTATAAACAATTGAGGCGACAAAGATCGATGGTAGGAATAACATTCTTAACCACGCTCGAGTACGGTAAGGTTGTGCCAACAGGTAAACACTGTCGGTTTTGGACAGAAGGAAGTGTGTTCGTGTTGATTTGTGCTGCGTGTTAAACTGTTGTAAATTAATAAAATTTCTATAATAATAGAAATTTTTAGTGAAAATTATGAAAATGTAAGTACAAATTATAAAAAAAACCAAAATATTCGTTTTTGAAATCATTGAATCAATAAATATCTAGGTATTTTCAATCAGTTCTTCAATTTTTAAATTTATTTTTCAGTTAATAAATCGTAACATTTTAGATAATTTGATCTTATTGTTAGTGATAAAAATGTTGCAAATTTCAAGGTATTCTTTTTAATTAAAAAAAAAATAAAATCCTACTAATTCTAGAGTTTATCTATTTCTTGTTTTGAAAGTTAATAAAAATTCTAACCAAATACAAAATTTTAAAGTTCAGACCACCAAAGAAGACTACAGTGTAGTATTAACCTTGATTACTTATGCTAAACGAATAATAAAGCAAAATCTATTTAAAATTTTTGAGACCTTGATTATATCGTTAACTTTCTTGAATTTCCCAGTAAAACTAAGATTTTGAAAGATAATATTTCACAATAATATTTTATTTCACGCTTTAATTACGCCGAAAAATGAAAAGTTTTTTGCCAACGATGTTGGATAAAAATTGCCCATCTAGCATGATGATATTTATAAACTGTTACTGACATGTAAAAGTACACGTGTTTTATACATAAGAAAATAAATTTAAAACTAAAATCTTTGATATGATCTATAAGATTTTCATGAAAGTTAAGTAAAATAATTTTTTTGTTGTATTTGTTTATCCAAACAATACATTGTATATGTATACTTAATGAAAAAGCAAACAACGGAATTCTTTTGAAAATCGTTATAATTACATTATTTAAATCATTCGAAGGTTAAAGGTATGTCATAACCTCGCCGAACAATATTTAACAACATTCCAACTGTTTCCTTGTATTTAACAGCTACAGGCTAAGTGCTCTTAAAAAGATATCGTAATTGATAGTTCATAAGTAATAGTTTTTTTTTATTATAGCGTTATAATAGCTTTATAAGATAACAAATATCTTTTAGAAAATATTTTAATACGTGGCTGTTCTCAATGATTTCGACAGCTTTTAAAGTAACGCAGACCGTTATTCCTAATTCCCTAATAATATAACGTTACTCATATCTTCATTCATAAATGTAAGGTCAATAGCAAATGTATGGAATTATGTAGATTGTTTTTAATAATTTCAATATTCTAAAAATCATTTACTTGCATTTTAATAATAAAAACGATTCATGAGCTTGTGCTTGTCCAACGAAGTTAGTCCAAACTCAAGCAGGATAGTCTAAATTTTTTCATTCATGTTCAAATTATTCTTATCCCAACCAGCATCTCGTATATGTATGATTTCATCACAAATCCATATTCTCTTCAATATTTTTTAATCAAACCCGAACCGATGATATCGATTAATAACAGAATGATCTATATTCAACGGCATTTTCACCTCAAATATTTCAAAAATAAGCAATTTTCTCGTATTATAAGCCTTAAATACGAAAATTGTAATATTTTTTCGGCATATGTACTATTTCTCCACAGCATATATGTAGATTATCATGGGAATAACATTTTACCCGTCAATCTCAATTAACTTTGCGCGAAACGTATCAATTTTATCATCTATTTTTATCATTTTTTTTGTTTCCATGTGAATGTTGAAATTCATCTCCTGTGCTGACCTACCGTTAATTTGGTTACAAAAAATTTAGTAAAACACTTCTGAAAACACCCTTGCGGCAATTTAAAACCGGAGCAACAACACTCGATCTTACTCTGTTACAAACATCTTTCTCTTTCATATAATAATCTTATTGCTAAGGTCATCAATCCAACCTCTGTCAAACATTTGAGTCTTAATAATCTGAAAATTGTTAAAAAGTTGATTGGAAAATATCTGCGAGAATTCATTTATCTCACTTTACCTATTACATATTATTGATTACATAGCGACACTACATAATGAGAAATTTACAGCGCTAGTTTTGTTTTGATTACTTAAACGTCTTTAGTGGTATATAATATATATCATGCTTTGTTATTGTGTAATTTGCATTACCTAGTTTACTAACTCACAGTCAATAGTTATATGTATAATCAATATTTGTTGTATATTATGTGTTGATCATAGAAAAATAAATAAAATAATAAATTCATTTATTGTAGCGTAACATTTCATTATCCTGAAGATAATCTCAAATGTGACTTGAGTTTGTTTTGCATTGTCATAAACGGTTATTTTGTTTGAGTTACTAGTTTAGACAAAAATTGGGATTCAGAGCTATTGAAGCTCTCTACAAAAGTAATCATGGATATGTGAATCGCACCTTTTATCCATTACATAAGGTACAAACATCTTTTTATTATACACATCTATTATATTTATTCCAATCAACCCAAGAGCAGTATGAAAAAGTAATACTATAGAAAGTTTCATTGGTTAAACAAGGTCAGATACAAATCCCATTTTATTAGCCTGACTTCCTACTCTGGAGAAAAATTTCTTTAATTTAGTCGCAATTTAGACTTTGAATATATGTCTTATCGATTGGTTGGTTTTAGTGTTCTTGTGAACAGTTTTCTAGTAGTTACTGATTGAAGTCTTTCTAATCATTATTTACATTCAGTGCCCTAACAAACAAATGTTAGCTTCAGTAATTCATAGATGATTCATGGGAAGTTCGTCATCCGACATTAGCACTAATCAAACAAGTGAAACAGTCTATACCTGAGCTCAACGATGTGTGAACTTGATACCTATTAACTGCGATACGGTCCGACGCATCCATAAGATTTAACTGGAGTTAACCGGAACAATGGGAAGCGATGACGTAATTGAAAAAATTGATATGGAGACAAACCGGTACATAATGCACCAATCCCCTACTTTGCATCAAAACGCAGGAAAGGTAGGAAAGAAGTCAAAAAACCAAAAGTAGTACTAGACTACAATAAAAAAAGATGTCAATAGAGTTAACCAAGTAATTACAATCTTTTTAAATAGGGAAATAAAAAAAATTAGAAAATGATCTTGAAGCATCGTTTTGAGCAATGGTTGTGGAATGCTCTCATTGACCGGGATGAAATATTAGATCTTCAAACATATTATTGCTAAACGAATCTTTGTGAATGATTATCACTTCATGACATGCATTCCATTAATTGAAAAAAAATTGTAAGGGTATGTGTGGTTTGATACTCAACGCGCGATAACAATGTAAAGAGAATTCGAAAGGAAACCATCTACAATGTCTTGATTATGTCTATTATTACAGGAAGTAGCGATGTTGTACCGTTGTTTGACAAATTTCAGTGTTTTTGATTTGATTGCGTTATTGAACAAAGTTATATTATTGTATTTCAAACTTTATGACAGCTGGGATGAAAACAATGTATTGTTTTGGGAACAAAATTACTGACATAATCAAATAGATCAATTCAGAGAATGCAAAAGATTATAATCATTTCATTCAAGGATTTAGGAACCGTTTTAGAAGTTTCTCATTAGATTGATTGATGATGTGAGTATTTTTTATAGAATTATTATTTTCAAAAGATTACGCCTAGACACACCTAAACGTAAATTAATACAATTTAAATTGAGTTAAACATCTTAAAAATATCTGATCTTGGTACAAAAACTCAAATTGAGAGTGAGGAAGGTTTGAACAACGTTGTATGTGATGTTATCAAGTTTATTAAAGACTTAAAAATTAAGGATCTTAAATTGAAACCGATTAAGTGTAGATCCAGGGAATTTTGATGGTTTCCTTTTCTAATTTTACTTTAATTCCACTTTTTTCTTCCGCTTAAATAATGTGGGTAAGAAGAAAAAGTTGGCCTCTTTTCATGTTGAGCATGCAATAGCAAAGAAAATGCAACAGAGCGTATTAATTCATTAATTGTGAAGAAAAACGGGAACTCTTTATAATTATAAGTTACTAAATAAGTATCATTACAATATTTCATGAATTAATAAATTGTTATACCAATTGTATCAAACACCAAAAAGAAAAACTAGTTATTATAAAATTAAAGTGAAACTAACTAATTTAAGAACCAAACATAAATCGTTTAACCTTCCACATATATTAGTACTTTAAGTATGTGTTGTTTGTACCAATAGCTTTCACTAAAATTGCATAAACTGCAATTCACCACAATTTGTTACCAGGATGGTCATGCTAACATAAAATAACCGTTAAATTAGAAAAATCAATAAATTTTACAATCTTTATGTAATCAATTCTACGTTTAAAGTATAATGAAAAATAAGAACAATAAAAATAAAAACGTTTAGATTATAAACAATTCGATTCAGGGAAACACAAAACCACATCAAGGTTATACACATGGCTCTTCTCAGATTAAGGTCACATCAAAAGTTCAATAACACGCACCTTGTTGAAAGCGAAAGACAACTCGAAAGTTTTTTGGTTCCTGGTTTTTTATTTTCTTTTTAGGAGTGTCAACATTATTTACATTATTTAGAAATTAAAGATACATTCAGTATTATAGATAACCAAAACGTTTTTAAATCTATTTAAAATTTAACTTAATTTTGTTATAAACACGTTGCATTTTTTGTATTTTCTAGAACAGCATTTCTTCATTGATGAGGCTTAAAGTACGTGACAAGCCCCATTTGATGAGCGTGCTATGTTGGGTGCTGAGCAGTCGGGATTAGCCAACGGGCGACACGTGTTAACGTGGGCCCTCGGTCACACTCACGTGTGGTACCTTCTGTATCGGTGCGCACACTACGTCGGCAAATCTCAAGACCCAAACCAGAGTAGCGTTTCCATCTTGGACAATCTTTTCAATCTGGACGATGACGTCGACGACCATCTGGTAGACGGCCAGAACGAACAATATAACGATGGTAAGAAAACTTTATGTAATAATTATTTATGATAGTTAATCAAAAACTTAACAAGTGTTTGCATAAACTTATATTCTTAAAGATTGAATGATTTCAATTTAATTTAAATCGAAGTGTCGCCTACATCAAATTGCATCTAACGGAGCGTGAACTCCGCCTTTCAAAGACTTTTTTATTATTAAATAACGGAACATTAAAAATATAACAGTATTTATAGATTTAGAATATTTCTTTTTGAGAGTTGAACTTATTTGAATCTGTTTACGAAAGGAGATGTAAAGGAGATGACTTTTCATAAAAGAAGAACTTTCTCAGATCCACGAGAATATGCAATAACATTTCTAGTTACGAATCCAAACAACTTGTAATAACATGGTACGAAAACGAAATAAATCATGCGATAAAAAATGATTTAATTTGTTCGAGATTAATTTCGAGATTCCCATCAACGCTTTTGCTCTCTCGGGAAATCTATACCTACACACACATTTAAATGGAAATGATTGTAATTGGTAACACGAACGAGGAAGGACGGATTAGAATTTCTTATTTATTTCGTAACGGTTACTTTGAATAATTTATAGAGTAGAAGTGCAATACGGGTTTTAACCGGCATAACGTTGAATGCTGAATCATGAGAAATTAAAACTTACACTTTCAATAAAAGAAAGTTAAAATACAAAGAAATACAATAAAAATTTAAAAAAAAATAAATTTCAATTAAAGTATTAAACTTATTTCAATTAAAAAAGCAATACTTAATCATGAGAAATCTGAATGAAGTTAATTGCCGAGTTACTTGTTTGTGTATGATAAATTATTTCGAGAAGATAAATATGTATCTTAATTTCATCCCCTATTTGCTGGTTATATTTGATTTGTGGGGACGACCTTTGATGCTAATTACTTCAATTAATCCCTGCAAACACGAATCTTAGCCGTTTTTTTGCACATTCAGAGGATTAAAAACACTGTTTTACAACCTTATTAACAATAAACAATAATAAGCTGCTATTCTTTTTATGTTCAATTGTAGATCACAATCTTTCAAAATTACATTTAATTTTTAAACCGTTTTGTAAACATGGTGAATAACACTTGACTTGCCAGCGACAGGGTCATTTCCCAACGGGTTGGCTTTGTTCAGAATTAAAATTGTGTTTATATTTTTCTGTTTACATTTTTGTGTTGTACTTCCGGTTGTTGGAATTATACCCTTGAACCAATTGTCCTACAAGGGGTAACCACTACATGTGAATAAACATCGAATATATCGCATGAATCGGACTTCGTTAAATATATACACAAAACTTAACACACGTCTAAGATCCGAACTTTTATCATTGTCAATCTATAGTTGGGCATAAGTAAACTAATCAAATTAATTTTCTTCTGCCTCCATTTGGTTGTCCGTCCTGAAAAGTCGTCTACTTATCAAGGTCCCTACGATCGCCACAATTATAGAGCACGAATGTACAGTTAACGAAACAATGTATAAATATTTACTAGTAACAGGGTTTTGTTTAATTATTTGGTTCCACTATATACTAGTCAACACTTTCAGTAAAAATCAGCCATCCTACTTGTTAATGCTTTTAAAAATTGTTGGTGTTTTATCCACGTCAAGCAATACTACAATTGCAATAAGAATAATAACTGGTGGTAAGCAATATTAATAAATTAAATATGGAAGAAAAAAAACATGAAGAACGAGCGCTTGATCAAGATTGCACTCGATTCTAAATCCCATGGCAGCTAAGGATGAAGACTTTGTCAAATCCTTAACATCGACAATCTAACATGACATAGAAGATTTTGGAAGTTTCTCTAATGAACTCTCATTACTCTCCAACATCAGTTTCACATTTAGATATCATCTCATCGTCACCATCCTTTCGAATCAATCATGTTTTTTCACTGTAGCGATTTTAGACGTTTCGCTACCACAACATTTGCGAAATAATACAATCCCCATCTAATTGATGATCATAAAAAATACCCGTGGTTTTTATATATCAAAAGACGTGATTAATGGATTGGCAAACCGTGATGGGTAACCTAACTATGATGGATGGTGGTATAATATTCTCTCATTTTTCGACTGCTTTCTAGCTTTCAAGATATTTAAATTGGTAATTGTAATATATGTGTAGGATTCGTAGCTAAAATTTAATGAAATAGTTAAAATTATTTAAGATCTTATACAATGGTGCACTAGTAAGCTGACATTAGAAATTACAAAGCTGTGAAAATAGGCCCTTATACAAAGTGATTACTTACTAAAATGATAAAAGATGACTATGGCATGTATATTGTTGTACTTCAAAGAGTCAAAAATGCGTTACGAGAACAATTCATCAGCGAGAAAAGGGAAAGAATACGAATTCAGACATATACGTATAATGCAACATTTAAAATTAATATTTTGTTTGTTGTCCACGGTTTTTTTCCATCGGTATGTTATACCAAGCAAATTCAACTGCACGCCATAAATCTTTTTAGATTAAGTAACGTTTATTGCCCATTGCTCTTTTTACATCTCCCCACAGATGCTAGTTTGGATTAAGATCAGGAAATTAGCTGGCCATGGTAACACAACGATTTTCTTTTCAGCAATCCAAGCCTTTGCTGCTCTGGAAGTGTCTTTCGGGGTGGTTGTCTTGCTGACACTTCCACAGCAGAGGCACATTGTCATCAGCGTAGGGTAACATGGTATTTTCCAGTACCTTTGTTGAAGTAGCCATATTGATTTAAAATGCACTGTATTCAAAAACCCCAAACCATTATGCTTCTCTCACCATGTTTTATTGTTTTGCTGGTGTACCTAGGATTAAATTCTTTTCCTGGAGAACGCCTTACGAATCCATTAAGTCTATTTGATGCGATTTACTTTCGTCGCTCCACAATATGTTTCGCCATTTTTCGACGGCTAGTCTTCTATGGTCGCGTGCAAATTGTAACCTTCTTGGTACGTTCTTTTTTGACAATAATGGAACTCTTCGTGGGCTCCTAGCAGACAAATTCTTCTCTAAAAGTAGTCTTCCTCGCGACAATGTCTCACTCTTCCCATGATATCACTAAATGGAACATTTTAAATTTCATAATAATCTAGAATTATACTATTGTTCGTAACTTATCCGTAAACTATAAAAACTTTCAGAAATTACAACCTATATTGAATTTATCTTTTAAAAATATAACACACCTATTTTTCGCACAATTCAAATTTGACAGTTCTTTATTAATTTTATCTTTCACACTCAAAAGAGGCAATTAGAAGTTATAGAATCAAAGTGAGCACTGTATACACAAAAATTCTATAAATATTTAATAAAATGTAAATAAAACAATACAATTAATTCTAAGAATGACATAGTTTGTTTTAGATCATCAGATTTAATCACGATTTCTATTAAGTGATTTATTTTAATTGATAAATCTATTTTTTTGAGGTTACCAGTCAATTAAGTTAATATGGATGTAGTTATAGCTCAAGGAAAAAAACGGATTACTAAAGTTGCAACGATATCAACATCATAATTATTCCAAACTCTTAACAACTTTCTTGATAGTCTGGACAACTGTTTCGATTTAGAGATCTCAATCGAGGTGGTTATGTATGTTTCTGGTATATAATTTAGTCCTGCGTGTCACACCTAAATGATTATGTTATATACAAAAATATTGTAGAACTTACTTTGTTTCTTGTAAGTACACAGTATAGTTGTTATATACTACATTTGTTACTCTATGTATATGTGTTCATTTGTGATAATTTTTAATTACTTCGTTGGCCTCAATTATAGGTTTCATTTTTTTAAAGGTGTTTTTGATATTAATAATAAATTTGATATTATAGACACAAATAACATTGGTCTGTAAGTGGTTACGTGGTGAGAATTTAGGTACTATTACGATTTCAGCCATCATCCAAAATCTAAGAACATATCTTAATCCAAAAGCGGCATTGATTCAGTATGTTAACGTATTTGCAAGTTATAAGTTCCAGGATTTCCAATATTTTATGGAAGACATTGCCAAACAGATTCTATTACTGCTCATACTTCCATACAGAAATTGATGTGTTTATTCCATTCTTTCTGCCTCTTAAGAGTTACAATACGGAACAAAACAACGATAGATTATGTTTTTAAAAATGCTAAGTTAATGAGATATTTCTTAAATGACCAGATAATATGATCAGTACTAGATCAGCACAAAGTTGCGTACCTGAATGAACTTGTACTTGAATTTTTAAGATTTTTTCGCAGTTTCAAGTACAATTTGTAAGTTGTTTACTATTCCTTTATCGCTAGCTAAGTAATAGTTACTTGATTTTATAGAAATTCACCCCCTGAAGGAGCTTAAAATACATAAGCGAAATATTGGTATGTGAAAAAAGAATTACTATAAAATTTGACTTTATCGAGTTATCTAAAGTACTTGGTTGAAATAACATATTAATGTGATTTGCTTATTTAGTAATGAAATAATTATGATCTAATTGAAACAAACTTAATTTCTCAAAACGGAATAATAACGGTACAATATTAACAAGAACATTGTACGCGTAGCACAAATGCTCCTTTACGTAAGTTCACGTGGCAATTTCATTCGTTTTCTGGGATCCGTTTCATTGTTATACCTACACCACATATTAAACTAAATGGATTTCGCTTGTCTTTGCTTTTTTTATTATTTCGCATATACGAGGTATATAAAAAGAAAGTATTGTAATCGTGTAAAAATTAAACCTCGTGTTACATCATCGATGGGCGTTCTAATTGTCATATAAAAATACAAAAAAGTTTTCTTTCTGGAATGAGGTTATAATAAAAGTAAACCATTTTCTGGAGATATTTCTTTGATCGAGTTTTATTATGATATGGATGGATAAATATGTTATGTATCATTTAATAAAGATACTTTTACCTTTTATCCATCGATGGATGTTTAACAATACCATCGAAAAATGCAAGAAAATTGAGTATAGACCATATAGTTTTAACGTAAGGTTAAGGTAAAGTAAGGTAATGTTTATTAGGAATTAGCAACTTTAAAAGCTACGTTGATGCTACAACTTAAAAACCGAATTAGAAGAATATATTAAAACTTTAGAATCTTCCTGACTCAGTTCTGAACCAGTTATAATATAGTTATTCCAATTAATACAATAAATCCCACCGCTATGAAGTAAACCTCTTATTATATAGTTAGACAAAAGGGTTCTGAAACCGACGTTAAATCCATTCTTCTTTAGAAGAAACCTCGTCTTGTAATTGGACATATTATGGGCTGATATCTAAACGTTGTATTATGCAAAGTCTGCGTTCATGCAGCAATAATTTGATAACCTGTTCATGCTATATTGTATGACACTGGTATCGGGTATGTTATACAAACATTCAAATAAACCTATATATCTGCAATGTAGATAACCATTATAACACATTCACATCTATATGTGCCTGTATGTACATTATTTACCTTTACAATCCAAAATAAAATCTCTTTTTTTATAAAGATAAGACAATAATATTTCGTTAATACTCGTTGATGTGACACCGAAAAGAAAAGGTATTCGTGAATAATAAAGGTTATTGAAACCGATGTTAAATCGTTGGAGCCGATCGTGCGCCGTAACGGTCTGGCTACGAAGAAGACAAGATGGCGCTCGCGCAGCGGTAGGTTTGCGGAGAGTCGGTCGTTTTTTCGCGTAAATCTCCCGCCGTTTTTCGTCGTTGAAAGTATGGCCATGTCGAACCTGTATTCAAAGATCGCCCCGAAGCCAGCGAAACGTATACAAGACAATATGCCCGTTTCACAAACAAACGCCTGGATGAATGGTAAGATTCATTTTTGTATGGGCGTAATCTATAGTTATGTTATGCTATGTATGCGTAACGAATACGGTCTAATAAGAATAATTAGATGTGGGCAGAACCCATTAATTCTAATTATCGTTTGATTTTAAAACTAAAATAGATTATTTAGGTTATTAAGTAATATTATATATTACCTATTTTGTATATTATGGCTGATGATGGTTCAAAAAAAGCCGAAACCGGTAACTTTTAAAAAAAGATTGAATTTCTATTATTTTAATAATTTTTGTGGTTATAACTTATAACATACATATATAGTAAATGTCAAAATGTTATTTGTCAACATTAAATGTGTATAGCATTTATAAATATTAAAAGAAATATGGTGAATAAAATTATGTTAATATGTTATGATTACCATGAATTTGTTGTTGTTATTATATTAAGAGCTTATTCATTTTTTAGCAGAAACTCTTAATATTGGCTCACTCAGCCTCTCCCCACCGCACATCATCTTCCAGCGCGAGAATACTCAGGTTATGCAACCGGCGAGCGCACCGGGATCACCACCAACAAGCCCTTGCGTTTCCCCGATAGGTTCGACTGGTACATTAGACCCAAATTGGCAAGCAACCAAACCAACTGTAAGAGAGCGTAACGCTGCCATGTTCAACAACGATCTCATGGCAGACATACGATTCATTGTGGGTAGTCCTGGGATGACCCAAGTTATTCCCGCTCATAAATATGTTTTGGCTACTGGCAGCTCGGTCTTCTACGCTATGTTTTATGGGGGTCTTGCTGAGTGTAAAGAAGCTATCGAGGTTCCAGATGTTGAACCATCAGCTTTTCTAACATTATTAAAGTAATATAATTTTACTTGTTTCATTAGCAAGTAACTAATGTGCTAATTCATTTTTTTAGATATTTATACTGTGATGAAATACAATTAGAAGCGGACACGGTACTGGCAACGTTGTATGTTGCGAAAAAGTATATAGTGCCTCATTTAGCAAGAGCCTGCGTAAATTATTTAGAAACGAGCTTGACTGAAAAAAATGCTTGCTTATTATTAAGTCAATCACGACTATTTGAAGAACCGGATTTGATGCAAAGATGCTGGGAGGTGATTGACGCGCAGGTAAGCTTAACACATTCCTTATCCTGCCATGACTTAACCGCGAATCAGTGCAAATCCGAACAACGGCGACATTTAAGCTTTAGCACAACACATAATATTCAACCAAGAATACCCTAAATAAAATTAACTAACAAAAAAAAAAACAAACATTCCAAACGAAATTGTTGAAATCTATATTGCGGACCCGAGTGTATTCATAAATGTACCACTTTTGTAAATGAGAGTGCTCAATATTTTATAATAACATATCTTAAGTGCAACATTTTATTAACAATTTGGTCACGATAATAAAGGTAATGTAATGTTGGTCGACGAACTATGAGGCTTGTTCAATAAATGGCGATTTTATAGAACTGAAATAAATAAGATCGCTATTTATTTATTTTTTATTTTATTTATATAATCCCGTTATGTGTCCTTAAATTAGTGTAAATGTGATGTGTTGTTAAAAGTATTGTATGTAAACATTGAATGTTGAATATATGAAGTTTTTAAAATGAGAATATTGTTTATAAATTTTAACAAAATAACAAGAACAAAAAGATGCCTCTCAAAAACAAAATTAGTATCGCAACAAACCATAACAAATATATTAACCTTCTCTTATTGGGTAATTGCGCTACCGGTTTCTAACAGCTATCCACATCATCAGGAGTTACATTGACATCAAATAAGTTAGTTCCTCAAAACCGTAAGGAAAGGAAGTTTTATATATTTTCTTATTAAATCCTAAAGGTGTGTCGAAAATAGAGTGGCAGTTGAGCGTGGCTACCGCACTCTGCTTTCCGCTTACAAACATTTTTAGTAATAATTCGTGAGTGCAAACATTCTTTACTTTTAAACTATCACGCGGCAGAATTGTATCTTGCGAATATGATTAGACACATCTTAATAGATCACTTTTTCCAAATCAACTGTCAAAACGTTTTAAAGTAGCGTTAATACACAAATGTCTCACCCCGGTTTCCCGCAACCATTAATAATAAATTAGCAGTGGACGTTCGAAAGATTTAATGCGCTTCAACGCTCTTTGAATTTGCCCCACGAGGCGAACTCGAATTGAGTCCATCGCACATAATACTCGGTTGTAAGAAGACCGCAAAGAAAGTGCTATCTTCGCCCGCTATAAATATGCGTATGGGTTTGCAGAGAACTAAGCGCCTTGAATAAAACACGCACTAAAAACACTACATATATCTAGAAAATGTTGCCAATCGTTACTCAACGAGAATACTTAAAGTAGATATGTTATTAATAATCTTTCCATTAATATAAGAAGTTCATGGCAAAATAATTTAACAGAAAAAATGTTAAAATTAATTTATTTTTTTTTAATTTTAGGCTGAAATGGCATTAAAATCAGAAGGATTTGTAGATATAGATATTTCAACATTAGAATCTGTACTGGGAAGAGAAACATTAAACTGCAAAGAAATGAATTTGTTAGAAGCTGCTTTAAATTGGGCTGGAGCTGAATGTATAAGACAAGATGTTGAACCAACACCGCAAAACAAACGTTCCGTTTTAGGAGACGCTTTATACCTAATCAGAATTCCTACGATGACGCTTGAAGAATTTGCAAACGGCGCTGCCCAATTGGGTATATTAACTCAACAAGAAACGATTGATATATTTTTTCATTTCACAGCCTCGAATAAACCGTCGCTTCAGTATCCCATAAAACCAAGAACAGGCTTAAAATCTCAGGTAATTTTAATTTATAAAAAGTTTAAATAATAACAACCTAATAATGAATTTTTTTTATGTAGGTTTGTCACAGATTTCAATCTTGCGCGTATCGATCAAATCAATGGAGATACAGAGGCAGATGCGATAGTATACAATTTTCAGTGGATCATCGAATATTTGTTGTTGGTTTTGGACTATACGGATCATCAAACGGAGCTGCTGATTACAACGTAAAAATCGAATTAAAACGTTTAGGAAGAATACTAGCAGAGAATAACACGAAATTTTTCTCGGACGGTTCAAGTAACACTTTTCACGTTTATTTTGATAATCCCATACAAATCGAACCGGAATCATTCTATACCGCATCCGCGATATTAGACGGTGCAGAATTAAGTTATTTTGGTCAAGAAGGAATGAGTGAAGTGACCGTTGGCTCTGTTACGTTTCAATTTCAATGTTCGTCTGAAAGTACAAATGGCACGGGCGTACAAGGTGGACAAATACCTGAACTTATTTTTTATGGTCCTTCGTTTGAAGAGCACTGAAACGATTTTAATGAAACTAAAACTTGAATGTGATTTTCTTTTTTTGTTTTTATTAATTTATAATTTTGCCCTGATATATATTATGGTAGATTTATCTCATTTTAATCTAATTTTACCTATATTATAGCCCAAGCAAAAACAAACATCTTTTTAAAAACAATTTTAAATGAATAAGCAACAAACAGATATTTTTCGAAATGTCTTATTATGTACATAAAATCTAGTTTTAAGCAACAGTTGCATTTACTATATTATAGAATTAAAAGCGTAATGAAATGAAATTGAATATTTTAACGAATGAAGAATATAAAATGTATCTTAATACAGGGTTACTCAACAAGTTCTCGACTAAAATTTTATTAAAACAAAAGTGTCACCCTCACGTTTATTCTGTATATATTGAAGAAAAAATTATAACCAGAAAACAGGTGAAGTGATTATTCTTCATCAAGTAAATATACTCATTTTTAGAATTTTAGAAATTAGCAATATTCAGCAGATACTTGCTTACATTGCCATTGTATAACGTACATTTCCTATGTGATACAAAGTTGTTCAATAAAATATATATTATTAAGTAGTTTAATACTGATTTTTATTCTAACTGCATAATGCAATAAAGGCAATACATATATACTAAATGAGATACTTTTAAAAGTTTAAAAAATCAAAAGGTATATCATCAAAATATATCATGAATGACTTATTGAATAAGATGACTCTAAAAAAACTCAACATTTTGAAGTTCATTCATTCTTTTGGATAGAGCAGAAACCTATATCTTGATATACATTGAAAAGAATTGCGGCAAATGCTGACTCTGGCAGCCATATGAACTATGATAATACAGTTCAGGAATATTCGAAAAAAAAAAGATATGAAAAACAAAACATATCAAAGAGTTAGCCTTATTTTATTTGATAACAGGGAACGTGCGAGATGGGATCAATAGACTAAAGCAACGTGAAGCTCAGCAAACTGCCTAACCATAACAGAGATACTAGTATACATGGAGGACATAAAGGATACCAAAAAAAGAAACCAAGATTAGCAGATACAAATACTAAGACATATTGTAAAGTGTAAAGAACTGGAAGACATGTAGTCAATAGTTAAAGCAGATCAATCAACATGAAAGTCGCAGAGATTTAGAATCGAAAGATAAATTTGAAGGCAAGTGTTTCGACTGGTTATAAACAAGATCAATGTCAGAGCTCTTAACCCTAGGATGCATAAACCGGGCCCGGCGAGCATTTAGTTACAATAATTATATTATTGGTTAAGTATCCTAGGATTAAAGGTAAAGTAACAAAAAATACTTCCAAAAATTCGTCAGGTGTTATATGTAATTTCTGTAAACGAATTGGTCACGTTGAGACAAATTATTAGAAAAGAACTTGGACAGCCCGTAAATGTGCATTGAAATATTGATGTGTAACTATGCCTTCAGCTAAAGTACACACAATGATTCTACTTTTATATTTTTTTATTTGGTTGATTCGGACGCTGATCTATCTCTAATTCACAATCACGTAGTAAACAAATCAATGGAACTATAGTACCCTTCAATCTTCTTGTAACTGGGTTGGGTTATGAAGAAATGAAAACGTTAGGATGTTTAATTTAAAATTTGAAAAACAGCACTCATTTGGTGACAAGCGGCCAGCTCGCCGACTGATAGATTAAACTGTGGATCAATTAAGTAACTAATAAATGCTTTAACTAATGTAGGATTTTCGCTAAATTAGGAGAAATGTACATTTCTGATTATGGAAGCTAAATACTTAGGAGCAACAGGACATCGCGTTATTGAACCTATCCCAGCTAAAATTCAAGCTGTAAATGCTGCACCGCCTCCAAAATACATAAAAGGTGTTCAATTTTAGGGCTTAACTAGTTACAATCGCAGATTTTTGAAACGATATGGCTCCTATTAACTGATTGACAGTTTTCCAAAGTATGGAACACTTAAGAAACTTGTAACCGCGTATAGCACGATGGTAGACAGGAATTCAAGGCTTCAATTTTAAAGTGGAATATCGACAAGGCTGTCAACTTAATGTCTGGGACCACAGACCGTTAAATATAACAGTCGAATTTACTGAATTGAACCCCAATATATTAAGACACTTTTTAAAGACTCTGAGAAGACAAATTTACCGTTACAACGTAAAAATTAAGTAATATTTTTCCAACTACAAGTGACCAGTAGAAAATGGTAAACTTTGTAGGAGTTATTGACAGTCAGTTCTATGCTTTGAAGCGCACTATAGCAATTATTGTAACTTTAATACTTCCATATTTCATGTACTTTAATCAAAATTAATAGAAAGTTATATATACTATAGTTTGTATAGAAAACCCTTAACGGCACAAGCAACATGAGAAAGATATCCGTATTACTAACGTCATCTGAAAACCTTTGCTTGTATATTTTTTGACTACCGCTGCCATTGCAGCACCACTTACAAATCATTACAATTTTACCACGATATTCATTTGGAATTGTTACAAAAACTTCTTTTTGTAGCAGGAATATCCTTTCACTTAGATGATTTAATAAACTTTGAAGTTTAATTTTTGCCATTTCATCCACTTCTATTGATTCTCTTGACGAGTAACACTTACTTTTCGCTTCAATTATCGCATTATAAGATTTAGACACGTTTCTTTGTAGACACGTTTTGTTAATTTAGACTCCACAAATAAAGATAACACTTCTTCAGGTGTTAACAGATTGTGACCATTTTTCGAAGGATACTTATACGAATCCAACACTTTTTTACCTCTTGTGGGAGATTTTGACGCCACTTGCAATAATTTTCGTATAAAACGAGTCCTATATGCCCTGTCGTTTGTTGGCTAACTTGTATCGTAAATAATAATTCATCGGGTGACTAACATTCATAAGAGTTTTAATTTTTCTCTATTTTAGCACCTCAGAGGTAAGGTATGTTAAGTCACAACCTCGAAATTGTTAAGGAGAGAGATTTGAAAGTAGATTTAACCCATTAGCTGCAACTATCCTCCCCATTTGGTGATTTTAAATTTTAACGTATCTCACTTGGCAAATTACAATTCAAAAAAAAAAGTTGGCAGTTAATGGGTTAATGTATAAACAAATACATGTGGTGGAAATAACTTATTTCGCAAAAAATGTGGCTTAACACACCTTATCTCTGAGGTGCTGATTTGCTTTGCCTACAGGTGGTCCCACACAACTGGTGTAATTGGCAAGTACGCAAGTAGGCAAAAATTTGTGTAAACATTGGCCTAACATTGTTAATTCACGTGTAACATAAAAAATACCTATAACGATGTGAGCTCCCAGACGCTACGCAAGTGTATCCGAGTAGACGAATATTTGTCAAGTACACCAGTCGTGTGGGACCACCTTACTATACTATATTTTTTTAATTCGGAGGAGTAAAATGAAAAGTCACCTTTACACAGTTGTTATTTATTTAAAAAAATATATATATTTTTAATCTGCAGTAACAAGGATACGATTTTAACGGTAACAGCTGTTGTAACATGGTGGCCAGCAACATGTCGAACTTTCCTAGAGTAATTCTTGCCGAAAACTGACCAATAGACCCTCCGAATTAAAAAATAGAGTATACAATCATCAAAGGTTCTGGATGGTCTACCTCTTCTACAAGGGGTAGATTCTATCACGCTTTCAGTCCGAATCGTAAATTCGATATTCAACCAATTCGAATAGTTCTTGTATAAGCGATCCTTTTTATATTCACTTTTTTATTTAATGTGTATAAAAATTTATACACACGCTTTTTAATTTCCTTTTTCTTGATGTAATTTTTTACGTTAAATGTAGTACATACAAACGAAATTGGTTAAAACTCCGAGTGCAGTTTTATTATCTTTCTTCTTACAAGTAACCGGTAGCATATCACCTAATTCCCTGTATGTTATCATTTATCATAGTGCACCTATATCTCTGAAAGCTGATAATTTGTACTACATTTTGATATAAAGAAGAAGAATTAACTTCTTGGAAAAGTTGTTCAAAATTCAAGTTATATTTTGAGTTTGAAATAAAATAAAATGATACCAATAAAATTCATCGCTAAAACATACTATTGAGAAGTTAAAGCAACTTACCTAATAGTATCAGAATTCAAATAAAATGTTTAATGCTTTTGCAGTCATTTACAAATTTATGCAAATCCTATTAAAAAACGCAATATCAAATAAAAATAACGCGACTTTACGCTATAACTGTGCCGTTAAGAGTGCCATAAGCCTACTAAGATGTATACTTTTAGTAACTAGTACCATTACCTATCGAATTGCACGACTGCGACAAATTAAGAAAAAAATTTATTAATTTGATATTTGTAACATTTTAGCGCGGTTCTGGACCAGTGCACCTGTATGTAACGATCTTCCAAACCAAATGTTTTTAAAATAAGTGATCTACTTTTAATACTATCGTCAATTCAGCTGATGATGACTGGATAATAAACTCGAAATCGGTACCGTTTAAATAAACTAGTAAAAGCAAGTAAAAAGTTTTTCTTTACAATCTCTATCTAATGTTAATTGAAAGTTGATAGATTAAGAGAAAATCTTGGAAATAGATACACGTTTTTTTGTACTTTTTCGAGTTATGTTCCAAGAACAATTTTCAAACTGATAATTTTCGCCTTAGAACATAACCGCCACATTTCTGTAAAAGAAAGAATACCTGAAATGTATTAATACCAGACAATCATTTCTTTCAAGTACAAATACATACAAATTTATTAATGAAAATTTAAATTTCATTTGTTTAGATTTTAAATTTTTCAAAAATCTCCTTTGACTGTAAAGTAGAATATACTAAAAATAACTGACAGAATACAAGAGTATTTAAAACCAGTACTTTCAAATCATGCACTTTCCTTCATATTAGGTCAGAAAGATTGGATACATCTAAAAACAATCAAGGAACAAAAAATATATGAGAACAGTGAATATATGAAGTGCTGAACATTTTTTAAGGGTTTTAAAATTATTTTAATCAACAATAATTGATGTATTTAATAGTTACTAAAGTTTCCATCTCATTAAACCAACTTTATAGACCATTTTTAAAATTTTTAAACACAATTTTATGTCGCTCATTAATATATTATGGTTTTTGTGATTTTTAAATGACAACAAAAAAAAATCTTCAGATCCATGACATAGCTTTGAAAACATTATAAATGACTTACCCATAGATGGAACATTGATACATAGTGCTTGAGATAACCTTAAGTACGTCCTGCCAAGCTCATAGCAACAAATTTGAAGCACATCACTGATATCAATCAACATATCTATTAAAACATTAAGTAAATATTTACATCACACCAAACTAACATTAAAAAAAATTTGAAAGAAAGGATACGTGCAGTTCCTTCAGTTCTACAAGTCAAATAAACACAAGCAGCATAAACATGGGCATTCTTCCTTCTTCTAGTTAAATTCCTTGACAAAGCCATTTTAAAGAAATTAAAGGCAGTGTCAATACAATGGGCGTTTAGCCTCAATTGATTACATAATTGGGAAATACCATTTCGTGCCTTATTCAGTGTGATTTCACGGGATTCAATGCATGACATGCCCCGAGACACATGAAAAGCTGTAATCAAAAAAATTAGGTTGAACATAACATACAGGAGTATTATTAAAAATAATATCAAACCATTTCCGAAACTTGTCGCTCCACCCTTTGAATCGGAAGAAACAAATTGTCCGATTGTATTTGCGGTCCCATTTGCACCCTCTTCGAATTGGACCTCAGCTACGATGATGTTATCCTCAAGAACCGAACCACAATTTGTACAAACGGCGTCACCGCGAGCGGGATCTACTTCGATATCCGACGAACCGCAATTCTTACATTTACGAGATGCCGACATGACGAGGACGATTTAAAAATAAATAGCTACTGAAAAAAATTAGAGGGTTTCAGGAGCACTCAAGTATGACAACAAGTTGAACATAACCTCAAATAATCACTGCTGATGATGTTGGTATTACAGATTACTATAACTATTTAATATTGAAAATGTTGAAAATAAAAAATATTTTGGCAAATAATAAACTTATTTATTCATAAATTATCTTATTGGAATTATTTATATTTTTAGAAAGAAAATGTTTTAAGATTTAAAGAAATATATTTTTGAACGTATTCATTAATAATCAAATACTTGGTGGTTGTCACTGTCAAATGTCAACATAACTAACCTGGTTTAAACACTTGGCTTTTTTGAATGAAAAGTGATTAACTGATAAGAAAATATAAAAGCTATGAGTTCTTCACGTAAAGAATGGGTGAGAATATTTGACATACCTGAAACTTGTCAACATAAAAAGGGGTTTACGATCTATAAAATAATATCTATGGTAAATCTATAAGTTTGAGTACAAACATAATATTAATTTATTTTTATGTAATTTTTATTAGCTGTATCCTGAAAATTGCCCTGATGCTGTTACTAAAATCACTGTGTGGAAACGATACAACGAATTTAAAAAATTACATAGGGAATTAAAAGGAAAACATCAAAGTTTAAAATTGACCGATAAATATCCTGCTTTGCCTAGTCATCCTTATTTTAAACGGTAGGATAATTTAGAAGGTTATCTTAAGTGTAAATGAATTATTTTAGATTCAATAAAGATGTCGTTAGAGAACGTAAAGAAGCCATGCTAAATTTTTTGGAGTACATAGGAACTATTCCAACTTTATTTACATCACAGTTTTTTGTAAAATTTTTTGAGGTAAAATATTTATTTCATTTAGATATAAAGTAAATTATATTTATTATTTTTTAATCATAGTCCAGTCACACACCAAACAATTTAATGAAAGGAAGTATTAATGCTATAAGAGCAGACTTACATTTACCTTCGGAACCTGAATATTCCAATTTTTTTACCATAAATTCAGATGATGAGCGTACAATAAGCGACACTGATTCTATTTCTACAATGAGCAGTTTAAGTCCATCAGTACAGGTTTTAATTAATTGTTCAATTCAGTTTGGTCATTATCCATTATTAATTTAGGCTATTGACTTATTGGTGGAGCCATCTTCAAGGAGTACAACATCTTTAATCCCACTCAATAAAAAAGTTAGTTCAGACTCATTAACAGATACTACAAAAAACTGTTCTCTCGATTCTGGAAGTGTTATTTCAACTCCTACTCCTCCTTTAAGTCCACGAGGTGGTGATTATTATAATCAATACATTATTGATGCGGCGCAGTTTATTACTAAGGCGACTGAATTGGAAATCGATAAACAATATGATGAAGCATTTACAGCTTATAAACAGGGAATTGATATTTTATTGGCAAATGTGAAAGGTAAGTAAATTGCTAAGATATTTACTTTATTGATTAGATTTTATATAAATCAGTCTCTATAGAATCACATATTCGTCACAATAACTGTATAACTACAGCAAGTAAAGACAATAAATAAGAAATAACATATCATTCTCCCATTAGTTATCTTTCAGCAATCATGGAGTAGTGTTTACTGGCGTAACATACTTTATTGGAGTGTTGAAAATCCCCAAGTTGAACATCAGACTGTCAACCTATGGGATGGAATCACTGCATAATTAAACGCAATTTGAACAATTCGAAAATAATCTATGAATGTTGCTTTCTTTGGCATAAACAAACCAAATTCTTTGGCAATAATCAGACCATTACTTCAAAACTTTTGCTGGGCGTTTATCAACAGGATATTTTTTTTTATTTTAGACGATATTTTACTAGATCTTTAGAGTAGTTCTTGCTTTCTTCCATTTGTGCTAAAACCTCAATTATTATTACCTAACAGTTACTGACTCTAAAGTCATATATTGAACAAGTGTTTGAAAGAATTGCGAATATCAGGAATAAATGCAGAATACTATATTAAAAAACAAGTTTCGTAAAGCACGCTTGAAATGCACGAATTCAAGTTAATGAATGAGTGTTTTTAGTCTTATGAAACGTGTTTTTTATGCTATTTTTTGTAATTCGCGTTTTTATTCTTTTTTTTTTAACAAAAATAAAATAAATTTGGACAATGTAGGGAAATAGGTATGTAGCAGTTGGTGACACCGTATCACATGAAAATAGAAATTTGAATTGTCAATTAGAAACTGTCAAAACACAAAATGTATTCACCTGAAAAAAATGTTTCATGTACACCTCGCAAAATAAGAGAAATTGCTTAGAGTTCAATGTCCTCATCATTGTGGACCTTGTATTCGATGCTAAGAACGTGTTTAAACATCCAAAGACAAAAATTGTCACATTGACAACTAGAAAAATTAATGATCCAATGTCACCAACTTGAACTGGTTCCATAAAATGTTACTAAAATCTCATTACAGCATCGGATGCTGTAAGGAGTCTCATTGCAGCACCCGTTTGAGTACTGTTAGAACTTTCATTACCGTCGCGAATTACAAAAAGATAATTGCGCAACTGTGTTCTATTATTAAAGTTAATGTTTCTAATATGACAAATATTGTTCTTCAATGGCTCCACAAATGGATGGTCTCTCTCAATTTTCGCCTCCAAGCCTCTCTGTCGTTGGCCTCCCTCTTCCAGTAATTCCAGTTTCTAGATCCGAGAATATCCTTGGCGCCCCCTATCCGTCTCGGCCTTCCATCTCGCCTCTGCCTTCCCCTAAGTCTCGTTCCTTGTATATTTCTGTTAAGCAGCTGCTTTGTTATGCTGGTTATATCTTGATTTCCATATATTTCTATACAGGTGTCCGGAAATGACGTGTACAACGCAAGACCACAAGTACCTTGACCAAAAATATGATGATTTAACTCAACTTATCTATATACAAAATTGCTTAGTTTAACCGCTAGAAGGCTTTAAAAATAATATATTTTTGTTAAATTTTTTCAAATAAGTCGAAAAATCTTCAATGGATTTTATTATTTTTTTGGTCATGCGCATTTATTTGTGGAATAAACTCTAATTTTGAAAATTAAATAGTAATTTGTAAAATTTGGACTTCTTAGGCTGTTTGTCTCGAAGATGTTAATTTTATACAAAATTCTCTTTTTATAGCTTTTATTCTTGCATTTACTTCATTTCAGTGCCTGCTTCGGATGTTCACACACTTTTATATTTTAAATAACTTTTCCGTTTTAGCTTGGCAAGACCCTTCACTACCTGACAGAACCTTGCATAGGTTTTGTCTTGCAATAAACTTCTGTCTTAAAATCTTGTATAGCACAAAATTATGATCAGTTCCGAGTTCCGATTGCTGATCCTTACATTATGAAAAGTATATTTATGTTGCTCGTTATGTGGGAAATACGTATTCTTGATCCTCCATTTATTTCTTGAGCAGAAGTCTATTAGAATTTCGCCGTTTTCATTCAATGTTGACTCGTAGAATTTTTGCTTTATATTTGGTATGACATCATTACCGATTCTAGCATTAAGGTCTCCTAGTAGTTTTATTTTATCCCTATTGTTTATCTTGAAGTTGTTACTAGAAACTTTTTCATTCTTCTAAGGGCTTAGATATATAAGGTGCTTTCCAGATGTATGATGTTCAGCGTTAAGGAGACTTAAAATCTTATCATTAATATACAGGGTAATTCAAATTCTACTCCCACCATTGGGATCTCAGAAACCATAAGAGATACAGAAATGGTTAAATGGGGGCAAAGTTGCGTATCTTAGAGCTCATCATTTTTCAACTAAAGTTTTGGATCTAGCCGTTTTAGTTTTTAAAATATGGCCGAAAAACAAAACAATGACTTTTTCGTTTTTTGTCTATAACTCCTTTTTCATGAATCTGAAAAAACATTCTTAAGGCAACTTTTTATGAAAAATGTCATGACACAACTAGAAATTTTCTCCGACGTTTGGTTTTCAGAAGAAGACCACAAGAAGACTGAAGTTATAGGTAAAAACGAAGAAGTATTTTTTTTTGTTTTTCGGCCATATTTTAAAAACTAAAACGGCTAGATCCAGAAACGTAGTCGAAAAATGATGAGCTCTAAGATATTCAACTTTGCCTCCATTTAACCGTTTCTGTATCTCTTATGGTTTCTGAGATCCCAATGGTGAGGGTCGAATTTGAATTACCCCGTATATTATATGTATATCTTATTCGATGTTTTGAATACTTTGCGCGTATCTATTGTGTAATATATATCTCTTCTTTCGCTTTGCTACTGTATATCAAAACATAAACATATTCGTATTTTTCTGTGCCTTCTCTCTTTTTACTTGTTTCGGAGATCGTATAAATTTCGATATGTTCCTTCATTTTTATTGTAATTTATTGATCTCTACCATTCCAGGATGTTACGCTTCACCAAGCGATTCTGGTGATACAGCGTTTTCGTTTTATCATGTCCGTTGTCTTTGCTGTTCATCATATGGTTTATCCGTCTAATATTCAAGGCATCAGTTTTAGTTCTGTGAGCTCAGTGAGGTTTTTTACTCTAGGCAGATAGCTGACCTCACCTAGCCCCAACCTTTCTCCTTTATCCGGGCTTGGGACCAGCAGTGATATCTATTAAGCTACTCAATGCACCCAACAAGCAATTAAAGATAATAAAGGTGTCAAAGTAGATCTGTAAAGAACTATACTTGAAACAAATCTATACATTCCAGCTGAATTAGTTTTCAAATTTATTTCAATTTTTTTAAATTTTAATCCTTATTTATTAGTTTCATTAAATTTTTTTGCAGATGACAAAGATACTGAGCGAAGACAATTAGTAAGGTTTAAAATTGAAAAGTATCTGTTAAGAGCAGAAAAAATTTACAATGTTTATTTGTCACCAGAAATGAAAAGTATACAAGAGCTTGTAAGTGAAATATATAATGTTAGTGCATTTTTGGTTAATTAGTTTATTTTAGTCAAAACAAGAAGAATTAACAATACCTCAAAAACCTTTAACCGAATTATATAAATTTAAGGCGATACGAATAATCGAAAATGGTATATTAGTCATGCATACAGAGACTCAAGAACTTTTCTTTATTAAAGTTATATATAAAAAATCGACTTTTTCAAATGAGTGCTTAATTTTACCTGATAACGTGCCTTATATGGTCAGGTTACATAATTATTATAATTGTGAAAATGCCATATTTTTAATTTTACAATATTCTTGGTAAGCCCACAAACCTACTATATATTATTACTTTTATATTAAAATACATAATTATATAGCGGCAAAAGGTTATCAAATTACCTTAAAATGTTATCGAACAATCATTTAACTTCCGCCACCATGTATAGTAGTCACGAAGGTATTTCCGACGATGACGAATCAGAAGGAAGTTATTCAGAATTACTTAACGATTACGCTGCTAGTAAATTTAATAAAGAAGAAGTTAAAAAATCTAAAGAAACTCCTCCTGCAATTGAAATCGAACCAAACGGTGCGGATGTTAAAACAATAATTGAAGAGGAAGAGACTCCAGAAGTGAAAGAATTAGATAATATTTTAACAAAATCTCAACAATTGATATCATCAATGGAATCAACAATACAATTTTCACGCGAAAATAGCGTAAATTACGACGATAAAATAAATGATTTCACAAGGAAATTAAGCGACCGTTCAGTTTGCGATGAATTTGAAATTCCACAACAAGCTTTAAAATTGGATGATGTTGTTAAGTGGAGTGCGCAATTATTGCTTGCTTTGGAAAAGTTGCATAGATTAGGTGTTATTTGTTGGTACGTATTAAACAAAAAAAGTATATTTCTTTAATAAAGTTGAAATAAATTTATTTAGTGACTTGAATATAAATAATTTACTGATTGACGATAATGGTGACGTCGTTTTAACTTATATGTGTTCAATTTCTGAAGATAGAGTATTTAAAAACAATCAAGATATTTGTTTAGCACCTGAACTATATACATATGGATCTATTACAATTGGTGTTGATTGGTGGTGTTATGGATCAATTTTATATGAATTATTAGTTGGGATGGTAATAACACTTTGTATCTTATAAAAGTTGTAATTAAAGCTTTATTTATAGTCTTTAAAATGCGTTCATCCTGATGGAATACCGTCTTATGCTAATTTAAGAGTTCCTAAGTATGTTTGTCCAGAAGGAAGATCACTTTTGAAACAGGTAAACATTTTAATTACCCATTTTATTATAAAATACTTTATATTCATAGATTATTTTAATGAGAATTATTTTGATAGTTGCTAATTTATGATCCTCTTCGAAGACTGGGATGTGGGGCTAATGGAACGGAAGAAATCAAAACACACCCGTTTTTCAGCTCTATTTCTTGGGAACATTTAGAGTCTAAATGTATTTAAAATACATTCTACTCATTTACAATAATGTACGTCTTAATTTAGCTATAATTCTTTAAAATTTGAAACTTAAGTAATCTTGTTGTTTGTTTAATTTTCATAATTTAGTATTATTTAAACATGTTCAATTTTGTATTGTGATATACTGTTATTATTTTTAATATTTATCGTTAGTAGTATAACATAATCTTGCTATGTACAAAAACTATATGCTAACATTCCCGTACTTTAAATAAATTTCTTATACACATGTTAAATTATGGTTACTTATTAATGTTATCTATTGCTATGATTACATTACATTACATTACATAGACTACATATCGGGTACGCGGACCAACCAACCTTGCACCGCGATCTTAAGGATCTATTGTACCTCGATAGATATCGTTATCAAATTTTACCGTGCAGTCCAATGCTCTTAACGACCCAAAAATCGAGAATCTGATACGGTTAACGGCAAGGCAGTGGCATAAAACATCGATTTATACAGGAGCATCCACGACGACCGCCCATTAGAACTATACAGGTTCTGGTCAAAATAAAAATTTGAAAATTCAGATTTAAGTACTATCAATTGCGTTCTCTTCGACTAAAATATTTTCAGATTTCTAGCACTTCCGGTTATACCGGAACTCGCCACCTACTTAATTTTTTTAAATGGAACATCCTGTATATTTTTACATATTTGCATTTGCCTGTTTTCAAGGTTTATGAATAACTTTACTTTTTGCTATTTGATTCGGCGTTCTCAAGTTATTCGAATTTTTCTAGAAAAATCTGCTCCAGCAGACATTGGTTCAAAAAATCAGAGAACACTCGATTTTTGAGATATCAATTTAGGATTGAGAACATGCTTAAGCAACATGATGGAGTATGTTTTGGTGCCGAGTACGGCTGTCTAGAACGTTTGGTCACTTTACTATGGAACATTAACTTTTCGAAACTTGGAAGTACCATAACTTAATTTTTTTAAATGGCACCCCCATATTTTATTACTTAGTCGTCTTCGGTGTCTCATTTTACATCTTTTATATCCTATATGTCCTATACCTAACATTTATAGTTTGGGAGATAATTAGGGTTTTTTGAAAAATGCACACATATCATATCGATATTTAACCTAGTATGCCATGAATTAAGAGTATGCCAGAAGAGGTGACAATTTTCATATTTCATGTGAAATATGTTTCAAATGGAACATCTGTATTTTATTAAATTTCTGTTTAATTTTAGGTCACTTGGTCATCTGGCCTAAAATTGAACAAAAATTTCAAAAATGTAATAAAATACAGATTATTCCATTTGAAATATGAAAATTGTTACCTCTTCCGCTGTAACCACAAGGAACCTGAAAATATTTTAGTTAAAAAGCTGGCATCAAACATCACAAGTCTACAAATTTTCAAACCCCCACTTCATTTGGTTATCCATTAGGTCACACTAGGTATTTATGGCACACTAGGTTAAATATCGTTTAATGTGTGGATTTTTCAAAAAACCCTAATTATCTCCCATACTATAAATGTTAGGTATAGGACATATGGGATATAAAATATGTAAAATGGGACACCGAAGACGACTAAGTAATAAAATATGGGGGGTGCCATTTAAAAAAATTATGTTATGGTACTTCCAAGTTTCGGAAAGTTAACGTGCCATAGTAAAGTGATCAAACGTTCTACACAGCGGTACTCGGCACCAAAACATACTCCATCATGTTGCTTAAGCATGTTCTGAATCCTAAATTGATATCCCAAAAATCGAGTGTTCTCTGATTTTTTGAACAAATGTCTGCNATATTTATCGTTAGTAGTATAACATAATCTTGCTATGTACAAAAACTATATGCTAACATTCCCGTACTTTAAATAAATTTCTTATACACATGTTAAATTATGGTTACTTATTAATGTTATCTATTGCTATGATTACATTACATTACATAGACTACACATCGGGTAGGCGGACCAACCAACCTTGCACCGCGATCTTAAGGATCTATTGTACCTCGATAGATATCGCTATCACATTTTACCGTGCAGTCCAATGCTCTTAACCAACATTAATACCTTGCTTAGTGAAGACGCAAAAATCGAGAATCTGATACTGTTAACGGCAAGGCAGTAGCATAAAACATGGATTTATACAGGGTCGTCCACGACGACCGTCCATTAGAACTATACAGGGTTCTGGCCAAAATAAAAATTTGAAAATTTAGATTTAAGTATTATCAATTGCGTTCTCTTCAACTAAAATATTTTCAGATTTCTAGCACTTCCGGTTATACCGAAAGTCGTCACCTACTTTATTTTTTTAAATGGAACATCCTGTATATTTTTACATATTCGGATTTGCCTGTTTTCAAGGTTTATGAATACATAACTTTACTTTTTGCAGTTTTATTCGGCCGTTCTCAAGTTATTCGAATTTTTCTAGAAAAATCTGCTCCAGCAGACATTTGTTCAAAAAATCAGAGAGCACTCGATTTTTGAGATATCAATTTAGGATTGAGAACATGCTTAAGCAACATGATGGAGTATGTTTTGGTGCCGAATACGGCTGTCTAGAACGTTTGGTCACTTTACTACTACTTAACTTTTCGAAACTTGGAAGTACCATAACTTCATTTTTTTAAATGGCACCCCCATATTTTATTACTTAGTCGTCTTCGGTGTCTCATTTTACATCTTTTATATCCTATTTGTCCTATACCTTACATTTATAGTTTGGGAGATAATTAGGGTTTTTTGAAAAATCCACACATATCATATCGATGTTTAACCTAGTATGCCATGAATTAAGAGTATGCCAGAAGAGGTGACAATTTTCATATTTCATGTGAAATATGTTTCAAATGGAACACCTGTATTTTATTAAATTTTCGTTTAATTTTAGGTCACTTGTATGTCACACACACTATACCTAAGTTGAGTCATTTTTGAGATTTTAATTCGTTACTTTCTATAATTTATAAATCATCTACACTAACCGCCGTAAAGAAATTCTGTGTTGGGAATGTTGTAGCGTTTATGTATTAACGGATCAATAAGGAAACAATAAACAGTTTGACATTTGCTAAAGCTATGGTTTATTTTTGTTGGTGTGATGACTAGGTTACTTTTTGTAGTGATCTGTTCTCAAACAATGCCACGTTTTGGATTTAGTAATGAAGATTATTTCAATCTGATAATAATTTATAGAGAGTGCAACCAAATTATTGCGCGTACGTGTCGTCTGTTTGCGGAAAGATTTCCATAAATTTCCAACTCATCCCGTACCAACTAAGGGTATTGCACACAGGCTATTAAAAAATTATCGGGAATTTGGAACATTTTCTTTGGAATCAAGAACATTAACTTAAATTCTGAGAGATACCAAGGAATTTTATGCAATGTGTTGGTGGCAGCATTGCGACTTCTCGAGAACAGATCACTACAAAAAGTAACCTCGTCATCACACCAACAGAAATAAACCATAGCTTTAGCAAATGTCAAACTGTTTATTTTTTCCTTACTGATCCTCCGATAATACATAAACACCACAACATTCCCAACACAATATTCTTTTTCCGGCGCACAGAAGCGAATTAGTTAAAAATCTTGGCCAAAAAGATATTTTTGTCAATTTTTTACTTTAAAATTGGTGGAAATTAAAAAATATGTATACAATTAACAAGGATGAAGTATTTTATGATATACTGCGATTTTACTTAATTGTATCTACCTATATTTTATATACAGGATGGTCCGTTACTAATGGGACACAGAGGAACAGTGAATTCCTTACATTAAATTGTTACGATTTAACCCAATTTATGTTAGTTCAATAATAACGAAAATACAGATGACTAAAGTTAATACTTTATTTTCGCTTTTCTTTAATAATTTTCACTGTCAACATGTTAGTCTAGTGTTTGACCAAATAAAATCATTGGAAATTGTGTTAACTCACACAATAACAACTTTTAATATTTTACCGAAACCTCAGTGTGTCAATTCAATTTTTTAATTTCTTTCTAGAAAATTATTAACTTTAGAACGTAACATCTAACATATCTAACTAACATCTCATACTAAAATTAATTAGTGTTTCAGAAAATAAATTGTAATTTTGGTTAGAAACTTTTTTGTGGATGTATATTATCAATTTAATGGTGAAAAAGTGTCCGTTTATGTTTATTTTCTAACTGCAAATGCGCTCCTCGAACAAACAGCACATAGCAGAATTATGATTTTTTCCGAACTTTATACACACACTATAATAAAAATGTATTTTAAGGTAAAACCGCAAAATACCGCAAGAATTTCTAGCAAAATCTACAATAGTAGGCCTTATACTACAACACGTATACAATATTACTTTTGAACAATGTTAAACAATTTATTTTTGCCCATTTAAATATCGTAAAATAAATTATTTTCTCAATTTAAACATATGATGTAATCAAACAATAATACAAAAAAATTAATAACCGAATTGTTACTTTCTGTATATTATACAATTCTACTTATCACCAGCAATAGGTTCTATGATAAATTTTCGAAATATATAAAAAAAGTGTTAAGGAAAAAATTAATTAAAAACCACAATTTTTACCGACGTTTTATCTATAGGTGATAACTGATAACTGTTTACTAAACGATCAATTGACAACTAAAATATTTTGGCGGCGACTGTTACAATGATTATAAAGAAGGTGGTTCAAGGCACCTTGGGGTTTACTTAATCAAATAGCAATAATTGCATTTTCAATCTTATTCCTTAAATTTTTTTTATTTATTTATTTTGGCCAAGATTTTTAAAAAATTCGCCTGTGTGCGGCGGTCAGAATAGATGAGTTATAAATTATAAAAAGTAACGTTGTAGTTGACATTGTTGATCACAAAAAATTAAAAATCTCAATAATGACTCAACTTAGGTATAGTGTATGTAACATACATGTGGCCTAAAATTGAACAAAAATTTCAAAAATGTAATAAAATACAGATTATTCCATTTGAAATATGAAAATTGTTAATTGTTCCGCTGTAACCACAAGGAACCTGAAAATATTTTAGTTAAAAAGCTGGCAAACATCACAAGTCTACAAATTTTCAAACCCCCACTTCATTTGGTTATTCATTAGGTCACACTAGGTATTTATGGCACACTAGGTTAAATATCGTTTAATGTGTGGATTTTTCAAAAAACCCTAATTATCTCCCAAACTATAAATGTTAGGTATAGGACATATGGGATATAAAAGATGTAAAATGAGACACCGAAGACGACTAAGTAATAAAATATGGGGGTGCCATTTAAAAAAATGATGTTATAGTACTTCCAAGTTTCGGAAAGTTAACGTGCCATAGTAAAGTGATCAAACGTTCTACACAGCCGTACTCGGCACCAAAACATACTCCATCATGTTGCTTAAGCATGTTCTGAATCCTAAATTGATATCCCAAAAATCGAGTGTTCTCTGATTTTTTGAACAAATGTCCGCTGGAGTAGATTTTTCTAGAAAAATTCGAATAATTCGAGAACGGCCGAATCAAATTGCAAAAAGTAATTTTATTTATTTTATTTTACTTCCGAAATTACAGGGTTGCCCCTAATTACAAATTTCAGAACTTAAGTCTACTAGTACATAATATAACCGATAAAAACAAGCAAAACAACCAAGATCAAGCATAAATGTTAATTAACCCATCACAGAACGCGCGGAATTGAATGAACAGAATTACATCACAAATTACAGAATTCAATGACAGAAATCAAGTTTGGCTACTGGGTAGTTGCAGCACTTATCAAAGGTGTCAAATGTTGTTTAAACGATCTAATACCAATGCCAAACAGAGGTATGAAGGAAGAATCCGACAGTGTGTTGTACAGTGAAAGGATTCTAATAAGAGGAGAATTTCGTCTCAGTTCAGTTGAAAACCGAGGAATATAGAAAAGATTCTTTAGCCCACCACAATATGCAGGCGCATAGAAACCAATATTTTCTAATATTAATGGAGCATTTATACTATTATTCAACATTTTATGTAGAAAACAGAGTGATATAATTTTTCTTCTGACAGACAACCTGGTGATCTTAAATAATTTGCATGCAAATTCGTACGATCTAAAACCAATGAAAACACGGAATTTTTTGTAGTAGAGATACCTAATGAATTTATTTTGAATAGTTTCTATTAAATTAGAATAAAGAATTGACCCGGGATCCCATACTATTACCGCATATTCCAGCTTAGATCGCACTAAAGAATTGAACAGTAATTGCAGCGTCTGTAAGTTTGAGAAACTGTACCCATTTCTAATGACAAATCCTAAGAGACGCAAAGCTGTGGTTGCTGTGGCTTTAATATGTTCAGCAAAGCATAAACCAGGCGAAAACAACACACCCAAGTCTCTCTTTTTAACAACACACCTCAAATTCACATTATTTATTTTATATACAAATTCTATCGGCCTCTTCCTCAATGTATACGTCATTGACTCACATTTAGACACATTAAAATGGAGCTTGTTGAGCCGACACCAATTAAATACGTTATCTAAATCAGACTGTAAGGACCGGCAGTCAGTTAAGTCGTGTACAGTTGTGAATATCTTCAGATCGTCCGCAAAGAGTAAGCATCTGGTTGAGTTAATTACCAGGGGCAAATCATTTATAAATAACAAAAATAACAAAGGTCCCAGATTACTACCCTGCGGAACCCCTGAATCAATCCCCAACATATCTGATACTGCGTTTTTATAAGAGACGTAATAAAATCTGTTGGACAAATATGAAACAAAAAAACTAAGAGTAGAATAAGAAAACCCGTGTTGTGCCAGCTTGTGCAGAAGCGTATCATGATCCACCCTATCGAATGCTTTTGCAAAATCCGTGTAGATAACATCCACTTGAGCTCTAGCATCCAATGCTTTGGAAACGTAATCCGTAAAGATAGTTAAGTTGGTCTCCACAGAGCGACCAGGAATAAATCCATGCTGATTAACATTCAACGAAAGTTTTACTTGATTGAAAATCCTGCGATAAATCAATTGTTCGAAAAGTTTAGCAAAACAGGAGATTACCGATATAGGTCTATAATTTCCTACATCACCAGAGGGGCCAGATTTGTGAATCGGAGTCACTCTTGCGACCTTCCAAACATTTGGAAATGTATTCGTCACAAGTGATAAATTAAAAATTATGTATAATGGCATTACAAAGGCGTCTTTGCAGCCCTTCACAATGTAAGAGGGAATACCATCTGGTCCCTCTGTACGTTTAGATTTAAGCTTATTTATGGCATCACCAATTTCATTCATTGAGAAGGATTCCAAGTTGAACAAATCGAATGAGTTATTGTTGATAATGTCATCATAGAACGAAAGAGAATAATTCGACGTTGAACCATAAACGGACTTAAAATGATTTGCAAAAGCAGATGCGATATCTTCGCTAGAAGCAAGAGGAACTCCGTCGGAACAAAACTGACTCTGGTTAAAGTTATCCCTTTTGCTACCAATAAAATTCCAAAATGCCTTCGGATCAGCTACAATATTATTTTCAACATCTCGTGTATAATTATTGTAAGCTATTGCAGTGTCCCGTTTGACCCTGGCCCTCAGTTCTCTGTATTTATCCAAATGGTACGTGGAATCTTTTCTGTGTTTAAAATGGAAATCCTTAGCCTTAATATCTTTTATTATACATTGATTAAACCACACTGGATATTTACGAGCCCCAACTTGCTTTTTCGGGACACAATCAGCTAAAATATCATATAGAATATCATAAAATACAGCAACTGCATCATCCACACTATCATACGTACTCAAAAAAGAAAAATCCGTATCAGTTAAACGTCGATATAAAAGCATGAAATCCGCATTCTTATAGTCCTTCATGTAATGTGTTGGTAAAGTTAATTTATTTGCGGGTTTGCAAGATAATTTGATTTCTAGACAAGGATGGTAAAGATCTTCCTCCACAAATGGCAAATCAAAAAGGCCAACATCAAGCGCAACATCTGACAAAACTAAATCCAAGGTTTTTCCCTGTATGTTTGTTATACTGCTGTGCGAGTTGCAATTGGAAAAACTAAGAAAGTCGCCAATTACATCGTATTTCACACTGTTGACAACAAAAAAATCAAAGCCGGACTCGTTCACCAAAGGCAAATTAAAATCACCTAGAATTATAAACTTCGCATCATGCGACATATATAAATTACTCATAAGCTCGGCAAACTCCTGATACACCTCTTATTCATAAATATTGAAAACAGACAAATCCAAATATGTAAAAATATACAAGGTGTTCCATTTAAAAAATAAAGTAGGTGGCGACTTCCGGTATAATCGGAAGTGCTAGAAATCTGAAAATATTTTAGTCGAAGAGAACGCAATTGATAATACTTAAACCTAAATTTTTATTTTGGCCAGAATTCCGTATAGTTCTAATGGACGGTCGTCGTGGATGACCCTGTATTAATTAATTAGAGTTAAATTGAGTAAAGATAAAGTTTTAGAAATTCATTATAAATTAAACTTTTTTTTGTTTTATGTTCATTTTTGACGAATTTTCTTCGAATTGTTCCCACTCCGAAAAACAAGTTTTCCCTTTTACATTTGACGGCCACGTTTTATTATTAAGTTTTTAATTGGTTCATTACTCAGTTTTGATTGTTTTTGAATTTTTAACATGTTTTTGATCAATTTATTTTTGAGATTGAATTTTGATTTTTGCTTCTTAAGTATTGTTGCTTGACTTACGTTTTTTCTTTGTAAAATCTTTTAGCAATAAAATGCTCTGAAGAAGATTGTAATCAACAATCGAAATATTAGCTATTTTAAAAAAAATGTTTTACTTTTAATCCTGCTGACTGAAAATCCGATTAATTAATTTTTTCTATTTGTAGCACACGTTATGATCGATGATACATGCTGTAATATTTATTCAATTCGACAGTATTCTTGTTCCAAGACAGTAACTAAATTCTATTCTATATTCTATTTTCACAAATAATGTTATGGATTATGTGGGATTATGTCCTCGATACCTATGTTGTGAATAGCTGTTTATTACATTTTTTTTGTTTTAATCATTCCTGATTACATGGTAGGTATCTGCGATAATTATAAACATATTCAAATGTTTAAAATCCGTTTCCATAATATAGTTGACATTTACAAACATGTTGATGAAATATTTTAATAATACCTATTTTCTTCTATGTTTATTAATCCTGCTCAAATCGAAACGAGTTTTATCGCAAGCTACCACTTCAGGTAACATAAATAACAGTAATATAAGAAGTGTCTATTATATTGAATTTTTTTCAGTTCCCAGTAAACATTACATGATTGAAAACGAACTTTGCAATTATCCCTGTGTTGATCCATGGATGTTTAAAGATTTCTACGTAAATAAATCTTACGCGCCCTGCGAAAAATCACTGCCATTAGTTTATTTAGAAAAGATCGACGGGAAAGTATTCGCCGTTATCAACTCTACCATAAAAACGACGTTATTAAATTTTACTTGCTGCATAAAAAATGTTTACAGGGTTAAAGAAGGTGGCATCCCCGATAATAACATTGCGTAATTAATTTTAATCTTTTCTAATTCAATTTTTGCAATAATATATACTTTCAGTGAATCTTATTGCGTTCAATTTGATATCGAAGGTCGTTTAGAATTAAACAACGATGTTGTTAAAGCGACATGCCATAAAATCGAAGATCACGGTTTCGAACATATCTACGAAAATGTTTTCGGATTGTTTGCACCGAAAAATATTAAACAAAAAACTTTAAAAGTACGAGATGATCCGAAATCATTAAGCGTTCTTGTGTTTGTTGTTGATAGCGTTTCAAAACAAAATTTCATGCGATTAATGCCTGAAACGCACGATTATTTAATTGATAAAGGTTGGATTCATTTTAAAGCGTATAATAAAGTAGACAAAGACTCTTTGGGAAATGCGCTTGCATTTTTAACGGGTTATTCGGAAAAATTGGCGTTCGAAACGTTTGGGAATCCCGCTGAAAAATATTTTGATGATTACCCGTTTATTTGGAACGATTATCAAAAGTATGGTTACGTTACAGCTTACGCCGAAGATTACTCAATCATGAATACTTTTAATAAAGATACTAAAGGATTTTTTCAGCCTCCCACCGATTATTATTTCAGACATTTTTCAGTTGCCACTGAAAGATTGAACACTACTTATTTAGATAATATGCCTCATTGTACTGGACCCGAAAATACCGGTAATAATAATTTTATTATAATTAATTTTACCTACAAAGTATTTTTTTTAGGTGAACGAGTCTTAAATTTAGCAATAGATTTTGCAAAAACCTTCCAAAATTATCCTTATTTCGGTTTATTTTGGATAAATTCATTTAGTCACGAAGATTTCAACGCGTTTGGCCGCATGGATAACAAAATGGTACAGTTTTTCAGTATACTCGAGGATTTAATCAACAATTCGATCGTTTTGTTTATGAGTGATACCGGCTACATAAAAACTGAGATAACCTACACGAATTTGGGATCGTTTGAGAGCAAAATGCCGTTCTTTTACGCGTATTTACCCGCAACGTTTCGAAATCGCTTCAAAGATGAAACTGAAAATATCGAAGAAAATGCGTCGAAATTGGTTTCACTTTTTGATGTACATGCAACTTTACATGATATTTTGGCGATTTCGGGTACTCACGTTGTTAAAGATGTTAAATCTTGTCCGAAATGCGTTTCGTTGTTTCGATATGTTCCTAGTATTCGCAGTTGTTCAGATGCTGGAATTGATGAGAAATGGTGTAATTGTTATAAAAATGTTAGTTTGTTGGAGGGTGCAGTTGGAAGAATGGATACAGCTTCTGGGGCTGGTACCAAAACTTATGGGTTTTTATCAGTAATCATTTTTTTATATTTTTTATAAATATTTATTGAACGTTAAATAGATTTTCATTAAATGTTTCATTTTTTCTTTTAATTTAGAATTAAATTAATATCAATTAAGACACTTATCTTTTTGCGATAAATTTAAAAAACGATTTATATTTGGCAAATTTTTCAATTTTGAGTCACAATTACCTATACAATTAACCTATACAAATTACATATTATGTTCACATTCTTTAGTTGCGTCTAATACATTTTTGTATCTAGGCACGTTACATTTCTTACGAATATAACACACTAATGGGCTTAAATATTCATCAGGTACATCATCGTTCTTTGTTCTTTTAGTTAAATAACTTATTAAAAATGCGATAAGCATAACAACACTAATACCAATGATAGGAAAACAGAAATGAGATAATTTGTATATCCAAGGTGCACTTTCATTTCTCGTTTGATTGTAAACCTCGTTGATCTCAATAGCAGTTTTGCAGCTATTTGTGTAAACTGGAAGAGTGGGATGTTTGATAAAACCTTGCATTTGATACCATTGTGATGTAATAACCAGCCATGCCATAAAAAATAATGATGATAATCCTCCATAAAATGCACCCTAAATAAATTAAATTTTAATTAATATTAGTTAAAATTTGTTTTTAATTTTTTTTCACGCCATCACAAGAAAGATGCTCACAATCTAGAATACCGGGTAATCTAAACAGTTTTGCAACCTATTTTTATAGTATGGAATCCATATTAAAACAGCCATCCAGGAGGAATAATTATTTAAAAGTATCTAAACATATTTTATCCGAAAGTTACAGCAAAAAGTTTTGTTACATGCAATTTTACGAATAAAAAAAGGGACAAGAAACTTTGAGCAATCGAATATACATTTTTCAGGAGTGTTTACAATTTTGCAGAAAAATCATTAATCTAATTCTGCTTTGCGGATTTTCTTCAGGTATTTTCCATAAATGCCTTTCGTCGTAAAGTGAACCTCACACCACCTTCTCTTTGTAGACGCCACCGCATTTGGTAGAATCCAATCTCGCATATGCCTCCCAGCTATCTTGCCATCTGTCCACTTTGTAAGAACTTATTCAAAAGAAGAATTGCAAATAAAGTTGTTTGGAAATCCACAACAAATTATATTGAAAAGGGCGCTGTTTCTATGTCAAAGGAATGTAAGGGTTCTGATTGTGCAGAACAAGGTGAATTTATATCCTCACCAATTTGGCAATTTTTGTCCCAACTAAGTAGTACAAGAACCAGCTAACCAACTACCCGATTAGAAATATCGTGACGATGAAAATCTAACACTCAATGATCAAGATCCTAGATTCAAAGGAGATTAAAGAAATTAATGAATTTGGATTTTGTAAGCATTTTCTGGAATTTCTAAAGATTTTTTTAGAATATCTAAATCTATTTAGAAATTTATAACGATTTTTTGAGATATCTATGGACTTCTGGTATTTATTTGAGACGTATAAAAAATTCTTGTATCTAAATAGAGAAGATTTATGAAATATATCCAAAAAAATCTGGGGATATTCAACGTTTGCTGAAATCAAGCAATATAAGACTATATCAGGAACTTATTGTTATCAACATATTTAAGTAATTACTGATCTAAACATAGTAGACTTACTTGAATGATCAATTACATGTTTAATTAGTTTATCATCAATCAGTTCAAGGTATAAATGTAATAATAATGATTAAATGTTAATGATACTTACATTCGCATTTATTTTTGGTATAAACAAACCAACAATAAATAATCCAGCCATTGGCCCATTTGTTAAAGCAGTAAAGCAAATGAAAACTGGAAAAATATTTCTTTCCAAGTACTTAACAATGTATGTACATGAAACGCATAAAATTCCAAAAATTAGGACTAAAACTTTTAGGCATGTTGTTTCGTGTTTATCTGTTAATTTTTTTGACAAATTTGGTTTAAAAAAATCGTAATAAACCGTAACTGCCACACTATTTAAGCCTGATGACAATGTACTTAAACTCGCGCTAATAATTCCGGATGCAAAAAGACCAGCTAAACCCGGAAATTGTGTTGTGGAATCCATGACGTAATACGATATCAATTGATCGGGTTTCGTAATTTTTTTGGACACCATCGGATCACAATAAACGTATTGGTACAAAGTAACAAAACCACATAAGACGGATAATAATAATACTATCGCTAATCCCAAGTATGCAAAGAAATGAGACCTGGAAAATATTAATAAAATTAATTTGTTTTCTTAACAATTTTTTTTACCATTTAACATCACTCGATTTTTTTAGTGATAAATATTTTTGAACTGCTCCTTGGTGAAATCCTAATAAACCAATTACTTGAAAGTAATATGCTGCTGATGCAAGCCAAAATGTATCTCTTTTCATTGGATTTACATCAAAACTATGGCAAAAAAATATTTTTGTTAGTAATTTTTAATAAATTAGTAATTTTAAAGACCTACTCCACTTTTAATCTTTCAGTATCTCTTGCTGTTTTGTATACATTCCAAATTCCATTATTATAAAAGCCAACAATAACAATACTTAATCCGCATATTGTAATAAATAAATATTGTAGCGCATCAGTCCATATGATAGCTTTTATGCCACCAAAAATTGTGTAAATAATACATAAAATACTTAAGGTATATGTTATTACGTAGACGTTTATATTGGTTACTAAAAAAAATTTTGTTAATAATTGATTATCGTGTATGAAAAACAATTTACTTAATGAAACTGTAAGTGCTGATACATAAGTAATAATAGGAAAACTAATGATAATCTGCAGAGCAAATATAAAAGATGACAATAATTTGACTTTTTTATCGAATCTTAATTCGAGATAACTGTAAATACTTGTAAGTTGTAATTTGTAGAAGACGGGAAAAATTAAGAAATACGATGTTAATCCTATTAGTAGGATGCTTAAATTAGAACCAAGAAAATTGTTTATACCATAATAATAAAAATCTGTTGGAATAGTTATTATATGAATTGATACTGCTCTGTAACAAAAAAATGCAGATTGTGCAAAAAATTGTTAAATAAAAAATAAAAAAAAAAATCTTACCCAGATACAATTGAAAACGCAACAACTAAACAATTCATTCTCCTCCCACCATGTAAATATTCTTCTGTTGTGTTCTGTTTTTTAAATATCGAATAATATGCCCCTATTAAAAACGTTAAAACTAACGTGATTATGAATATTGCGTAATCGAGTTTCAAAAACGTGGGATCCATTTTCTAATTTAAATAAATATAACCTCATTAAAGTTTCTTTTATACCTGTAATTATATTTACAATTATCTTTTTTACATTTTTGAAATTGTAACCTTCAAAAAATGTTTGTACTGACGCTTACTACTAATTACAGCAAAATATGTTTAATAAAAGATAACATAAACGGTAAAAAATAACGAACGCTATTTTAACTCTAACATGTTTCCAGGAGATCCATTCATTTTTCGAGTAAATATTTCAATCGGTTGTTAGAGCAAATTTTAGAGATTACATGAATCTATGGAAAAGTGAATTATTAACGATATGATGAGTGTAGACAGATTACATATTAAATCTCAGTAGAGTTGAAACTATAATCTATACAGATTATAGTTGTGCACTCGAAATTAGTGTTTGGTATATTCTTAATAGAATGCTACAATCTACGTAGATTTAGCAATATACTCAAAATTAGATTTAGGTATATTCTAAATAGAGTTATAAGAAAATAGACAGTGTTCACAAAATAGGTTTATTATTGTAAAAACTGAAGAATCGAATAAATAATTGCTTTTATGCTATCTTAAGAAAAAAGAGCGGAGAGAGAATCCCTAAAAGAAATCTGAAATGGAAAAACAGCAGGCGAAGATATTATACTATTAGAACTACTAAAACAACTTGGACCGGCAATATTGCGGTCTCTGGAAAATGTATATCAGCAGGGTTGGAACCCTAAAACAATACCCCAAGATTGCGTGAAGAACCGCGAAGAATCATGCCAAGCCACAAAAGAAGAATGTAAGAACCGAGATTGGGTACAGATTTGAAGAAAAACAAAAGGCGTTCCTGCCTAACAGACAAATTTTAATATATGTTTACATATACACCTTCAGATTCAATAGAGGCAATAGTAGGCAGAAATAAGGAGGTATACATTCCTGGATCTAAAAGCAATTTTCAACCAAGTATCTAGACAACATGTATTAGCCTACATGGATACAATAATACAGAACAGGTAAAAAGCAAACCTGCCTATTAGAGAAGGAAATGATACTAAATACTAAAGAAAAAGGAAGAGAAAATATGGATGTAGGAATAGATGGACAATGCCTAAGTAGAGCTAATAAAAATACGAATCTGGGAACCATGATTAGTAAAGGTGCCAAGATAGATCAAGAGATACGCAACAATAAAAAAGCAAGTGTAGTTTATTACCAGATACATAATACCCCTATAGGCAAGACAGAACTAAGCACTAAAGCAAAATTATATCTAAATAAAACCATCTATACACCCACACTCACAGCTGAAATAGCAAGGTCACCTGATTCGGATGAGGAAATAACACCAATGAAGTGATGTTGAAAAAAGGAAAAAGTGTCGCCAAAGAATGGCTGAAGATAGGAACCACAACAAACATTTGTCCTCGCATACTAAGTTTTCTAACAAAAGGCAGAGATAAGTTCCTAGAGAGGATTTCAGTTCAATAACGTGAAGAGGATAAATGAACGAGATAAGAAGTAGTGCTGATCATGTTTAAAAAGGAAACGAATTGTTCGAAGACCCAAAGGTTTCTGTTTGGACACGTTGAATATATAAATGAGCGGTTGAATATAGATGCCTGGAATGATAAGATTAGCACACTGTTTGAATGCTGGAAGGCAAGATGTGAAAACTAAAAGCGCAACACCGCAAAAAAAATGGAGTCAATCCACGCCATAAAACAGTGTAGTAGTATATTAAAATGTAATTTTTGACGGATTACAAACTTCTACGACTTATAAAGAGGATCAAGTCATTTGGATTAAAAGTAAGAATAGCATAAATAAGCAAAATAAACCATTAAAACTATTAACGCTATCAAAACATAAAATAATTTCCGATTCACATTTCTGCATAACCATTCATAATCTACATGAATGGTTACCTTCTATTTTAGGGTTTTATGAATTCTTTTTCGAAAACAATGATGTTCACATGAACAAAGAAGTTTGTACCTCAAATTTAACAATATTTGCCCCAGGTTCATCTTTATAACATCAAGTAAATAAGTTAAAAAAATCAGTATTTTTTTTTTAAATAATTTATTAAAATCGGTGCTACAAATTTGTTTCGGTTTTCATTAAGACCGTCATCAGGCACCACGTCTAATTGTCAAAAATATTCTTAAATTGAAGTGATGGTACAACATAATATTAAAGGACCAACTATTCTGTTTTATAAACAGTCACACATTCTTTAAAAACTTAATTGAAAATTATATAGAAATTGAATACATTAAAAATTAAATTGTCAAAATACACCACCAATAATACTAAAGAAAACAATATTGATATAAGTCTTATCTCCGAAACTCACTTTACACGAGAATCCTATATACATATATTATTGTGTATATCCTTATTCAACCTAGTAATGCGGCTCGAGATGGAAGTGCAATTATCATTAAAAGTAATATTGACCACTATTTGAACAATACAATTAGTACTGAACAATATCAAACTACAACAGTGATAAAAGTTCAAACCGGTAATGGTTTAATATCTGTAGCAGCAACGTGCATACCGCCGAGACATAATCTCAAAAGAAAAGATTATCAGGAAATTCTACTACATCTTGAAAACAATTTTATACTTGGAGGAGACTTTAGTGCAAAACATATGTCTTGGAGTTCTTTATTACGAAAAATAAACATAGAAGAAGTGTTAGGGCTGGATTCAGATCACTCACCAGTAATTATTATTCTAAATAACAAAGAACCCTTTTTATTACTAAATGCAATCTATTTCAACAAACATTAGATAATAAAATTCATCTCAATGCATCTATTTTAACTCCAAAACCTAAATCTAACATTTAACCTAAATTCATTAGAGACAAAATTGCAGAAAAACGGAAAGCAATAAAGAAATGGCAAACCAATAGAATTCCTAGTGATAAAACTAAATTAAATAATAGCCGAATTAAAAGCATTAACAGATAGCCATAAAGAAAATAATATTCAAAATTACTTAAAAGACCTTACTGACGATATCAGTACTGATTATTCTCTGTGGAAGGCAGCAAGAAAGCTTAAAGTTCCAAAAACGCATACACCTCCAATTCCAAATAGTAATGGAAATTGGACTAAGAGCAATCAAGAAAAAGTTAATGTATTTGCTGAACATATGAAAGAAACGTTTACATTAGACAGTCCAACAACTATGCTAAATAGTGTTCCTAGCATAATGCAAAGTGATCAGCAGAGTAATATACCATGTGTAAGAATGAAAGAACTGTATTATGAAATACAAAAACTAAATATAAATAAATCAGTAGGCTATGAGCTAATTAATGGAGAAACATTGAAACATCTACCAAAACGGGCGATTACAAAACTATTACACATAATTAATGCTGCATTAAAAAGATATGCAAAAAACGTATTAAAAAAAATTGTTTACACAAATTATACTAAATATAATTTCTGTAAACAATTTTAAAAAGGGAACTAAAAAAAAAGGGGTACTCTGGTATATTTATCGAGGGCAACAAATAATCCATCAAAGAGCCGCATGTGGCTCGCGAGCTGCAGTTTGGCCACCGTTGGTATAGTCAACTATTAAAATCGTATCTTTCTGATCAATATTTTAGAGTAAAATACGAAAATTCTTATTCACCACTACATGAAATACAAGCCGGAGTTCCTCAAGGAAGTGTGCTTGGGCCAACACTGTACTTACTCTACACATTCGACCTTTCTCCGATACCAGAAACTTTAACAGCTACATTCGCAGATGACACAGCGATCTTGGCTGTTGCAGAAAATAAAGTAATTGCAGCTAATAAGTTACAATTGGCCTTAAATTCAATAGAAAACTGGACCAAACGATGGCTAATAAAATTAAATGCAATCCCATAAAGTTAAATGGCAATGCAGTCCCTTACACCGACACCGACAAATCAAATTTAGACACCTATATTGTCAGAAAATCAACGTTATCACTAAGAAACAAGTTGCTAATATACAAGCAAATACTAAAACCAAAATGGACATACGGAATCCAACTGTGGGGTTGTACCTGCAAGACAAAAGCTGCAAAACATTATAATAAATAATAATAATAATAAATAAATTTATTGCCATAATAAAACTTAATGCATTAATACGGGCAAAAGGGTCGATTTATCGCGTAAGCGATATCTTCTAAAGTTATATAAGAAAAACAATAAATAAATGGCAAGCTGCTGTGCTAAACCTATGGTCACTAAAAACGGCCCATAATGATAATTGCTAGAATAAAAGAAGAAGAAGAGAAGAAAAGGAAGAAGAAGAAGAAGTTCTCAGAAAAATACTTGGAGAGCAAATAAGTGACGTTTTAGATGGTTTTTAAATGTCACAAAGTGAGGAATATTACGGATCTCAGTAGGCAGACTATTCGAAAGGGTTATCGCCTGCACAGTAAACGATTTATGGCAAATCTCGGTACTATGGGTCGGGAACATAAGCAGAGAATCTAACTGAGATCTAGTGGGTAAACCATGCTACGACACGCGTTGAAATATACAGTACAGATACCTTGGTGTTTGATTGTGAAGAACAGTATATAACATAGTTAATATACGAAACGATCTACGGTTCTAGCTTAATATCTCTAAATAATTACGGTATGGAGTTATGTCGAGATCAAAGATATACCGTACGCAGTTGTGAAGTCTTTGAAGTTTGTTTCGGAGTTTTACCGAAAGATCAGGATATGCCGTTTCAGTATAATCCATACGGGGGAAAATCAGAGAAAAACAAAGATTACGACGGACCATGGGAGGAAGGCAGCAACGGAGACTTTTCAGCGAGTGGAAACAATGATAGACCTTTCTGCAGACGGATTGAATTTGAGGTTTCCAGGACATTGTAGAATCTATAACCACCTCAAGGTATCTAACCATGTCTGACAGCTGAATAATGTCTCTAAAATCTAAAAGCTTTGCCAGTAAAGATCGACTGCCAAACGCAATTGCTTGAGTTTTAGCAGTATTTAATTTAAGGCCATAACGTTTAGACCAGTCCAAAATATTAGAAAGATCATGATTAAGACGTGCAATTGCTTCCGGAAAATCATCAATAATTGTCGTAGTGTAAATTTGGAGGTCATCAGCATACACATGATAATTACAGGATATGCAATGGGTGACGGCATTAATAAAAATCGAAAAGAGCAACAGACCCAACACACTACCCTGGGGTACACCACATGTAATACCACAAGCAGACGAGAGCGCAGAATCAACACGCACACACAAGAAACGACAGGAAAGGTAAGATTGAAACCAAAATGAACGTGAAGAGGCAAATCCAAGGGCAGCTAGTGACGCTAACAAGAGATCGTGACCAACCGAATCGAACGCCTTGCTGAAATAAAGTAGTAATCTTAATAAGCGCTGTTATCGTGCTATGACCTTTATGAAAACCCGATTGAAACTCGTTATGCAAGTTAAATTCTTGTAAATACTCTTGAACTTGTAGCTAACAAGGCGCTCGAGAGCTTTGGATAGAACAGATAAAATGGAAATTGGGCGAAAATCATTTAAACTTGAGGGACTCTTGGATTTAGGTATAGGGACAACATGAGCAATCTTCCAGATTGAAGGGAATGAGGTTCGTTCAAAGGAGAAGTTAAAAATGTGAGTAATAGAAGTAAGAACAATATCCAATATAAAAAGAAGTTTGAGACCAACTCCATCAGCTCCCACATTAGTAGACCTCGAGTGATTCAAGGCATCGCGGACTTCAGCAAAAAACCTCGCCAATGAATCCACATCACAAGCAGCCCGAACAGAGGGAGACTCAACGGCCCCTAAGGAACGCATAGACCTCCAAAACGTCCTCGGATTAGCATTGGACAGTCTCCGGTAGAAATAAACATTTTTGGCATTCGGTTACGCAAGATCCTATAGTTTTCACGATTAATTGCACGGTTACGCTCCCTCATCAGTGATCTTATTTCATCACTTAACCAGGGTGCGGGCGGATGTCTCACCCTGCGTCGTCTGAATGGGGCATGCTTGTCATAGAAATTGATAAGTTTAGTTAACCTTAACCTCTGCGCATCAGATAACAGCAAATCGTTATCAATACGACCCAGGTCACGAACGGAAATAATGCATTGTGAGGAAATATGTTGTCGCATCTGCACTGCACAGTAAATTAGGTCGTGATTGGAAAATTGAGGAACAGGCATTATCTTGTTTAATTTTGTGTCAAAAATAAGTAACTAATTAGTATCTATTTACTAGGTGTTATACAATTGTGCTATGTATAATATTATGGAAGAGAAAGTGAGGCCATCCCAAAAGCAGAGTTTTTGCAGCAAAACTGGATTATTGAAGAGTGTGGTTTGTTTATAGGCAAGGTGCTGACCACTTACAATAATATAGTTATATGTAATATTTTGTTTAGGTAAGGATGACGAGTATTTGAGACTAATGTTAACAAAATAAATATTATTAAAACTGATATTTTTATTGAATAATGATTTTAAAAAGTTGTAAAAAAGTCTTATCATAATTACATAAATCTAAAATGAATCAACAGTATTTCTTATTCCTAACATCATATACTATGTCTTAAAAGTAAGTAAAATACAATCAAATTGATACTAGCTTACATATAAATTAATTCTAGTAATTCTTGTTATAATCTAATTAATTTTTTTCAATAAACCTAAATCTCTATTACCTATATGGTAGTCAAAAAAGATCTGAAGCAGATTGTTTATTAATAAAACAATCTTTAAAGCCTTTTAAAATTAATTTACCCTGATACCAATAATTACTAATTCCATCATTAGCATTCTCCTCCACCTTTACATCATCCACTTTATTTAAACTATTATTATAAATTTGTAAATCATGGCAACATAAACCTACATAAAAATTATATAAAAACCTAATTGTTCGATGAGGTACTTTTTCATTGTGTTCATAATTACGAATTGGTAAGAAAAAAGCAGTATCATCAGTTGGGTTAGCGATGGTTTTATTAATTAACAAATACATGTTTGTGCACGGATATGAAAGTTCCATTCCATTTGTCCATTCTTCCGATAGAAATAACGATCGTAAAACTTTATTCTTATTTTTCTCATTACTAATTACGTGATTAACGTCTATGTGTTTATCCTCAAGTTTTGGTATTAAAAACCTAATCATTTCTTTAGGACTGTGCGGAGTAGCACCAAATAAAACCATCACTTCCTTAACATTATCACCATTCTCTTTAAATTGATGGGAAATGTTTTTCATCATTTCTTCAATGATATCATAGGCACTAGATGCAGCACTATAATTTCGTGATACAGACGGATTTGAATTTTTATCATTTTCACCAGATTTTCGTTTACGAGAGACCACGTTTTTTAACCACGCGTAAGGATAAGGAATTTGAGATTTTTGATATACCAAGTACTTTATAATTTCGTTAATTAATAGTGCACACGTTGCCGGAGTTAATACTAAATCATTTACACTTAAATTTATTTCGGTATTTTCTAATTTTCTTGTATTGCACATTTTTGTATGAAAATTAAAGCTATTTAGTGGTTAACTGGCATTTATGTCAAAAATGTTTAAATGAACCAACTTCACTCAACAAATTTCACCAACATTAAGATAGTTAAAAAAATAAATTTAATAAGGAAAATAATAATTTTAAAATAAGTATAAATTTAATATTAAGAAGATATTTAACAATAACATGTTTAAGAAATATTACGAAAATTTTAATATAAATAATTTAAATATTCAAACTGTACCTATCTTCACATTATTTTGGTACAACATGTGACATAACCTTTGAATCAGTCATGCATTTCCGATAATATACGAGAAAGGAATTAGCTAAATAATGATATTTGTTTGCCATATATTATTTCTAGTCAAATAGATTAAGTGCGGATGCATTATAATGAATTCTCATTTAATAAAGTTTATACGAAGGTACAAACAGTGGACTCACAAATATTTTTATTCTACGCAAGTTTTGGGTAGCAACAATGTGGATAAAATTCGAAATATCGGTATTTTGGCCCATATCGATGCAGGTAATTCATTGTAAATCATTTACATATCCCTCAAATTTTCATTTTAAAAGGTAAAACAACAACTACTGAACGAATGCTTTTCTTTGCTGGCTCAATTAAACAAATGGGAGAAGTCCATGATGGAAATACGGTGACGGATTTTATGTCCCAAGAAAGGGAAAGGGGGATTACAATTCGATCAGCTGCTGTTACTTTTTCTTGGCGAAAGCATCAAGTAAATTTGGTTGATACTCCAGGTCATATTGATTTTACAATGGAAGTAGAACAGACTTTGAATGTTTTGGATGGTGCTGTTATTGTTCTTGATGGTTCAGCAGGTACAATAAGGTTATTTTTACGAGATAAACATGTAATCTTAAAATGCAGGTGTGGAAGCGCAAACTGTGACTGTTTGGCAACAATCCTTGAGGTATAAAATTCCAAAAATCGTTTTTGTCAATAAAATGGATAGAAAGGATGCTGATTTAATGATGTCGTGTAATTCTTTAGTAGAAAAAATGCGTGTTAAACCTGTTTGTTTGCAAATGCCATTAATACATGACAAAAAATTTATTGGTAACTTAATAAAAATGCAGTTTGCGTAAAAAGTAACCCCCATCACTAATTTGAAAACTGTCCATTGACGTCGCCCAGACGGCAAAAGTGTCGATCATTACAGATCTGATCACAGCCTTGTAGAGTTTGATCTTGCATACTTGGTTTTGTGGCGCCAGGGAATAACTGTTTTAGGCTTTTGGTAAACATATCAGCACCTCAGAGGTAAGGTGTGTTAAGTCACATTTTTTGCGAAATGAGTTATCTCCACCATGTGTATTTGTTTAATCATTAAGTCTACTTTCAAATCTCTCTCCTTAACAATCAGAGGTAAGGTGTGTTAAGTCACGTTTTTTGCGAAATAAGTTATCTCCACCATGTGTATTTGTTTAAACAGTAAGTCCACTTTCAAATCTCTCTCCTGAACAATTTTGAGTTTGTGATTTAATAAACATTACCTCTAAGGAGCTGATATACAAGATCATTCACGACCAAGGTTTATATATAAGAGGTTGTCTAGATTCGTACGCATTCATACTGCGCATTACGTGACATGTGGAAAATAATATCGCCAAGCAATTCAAATTAAACAAATGCACGGAGCACCACATGGCCATGAGGTTGCGTGCGCAATCCATGATCGCTTACGTCATGAGTCATGAAACACTCCTGCTCTTGCCCCTCGCCCACAAACTAAATCAAAGTATTGCAGCATAGGTACAGTCATGTTCACGGAAAATGCACAATCAAGAGCCGAACGCTCACGAACTACGAGCTGCGTATGCGCTCGGCTCAGCCCGTTTAGCCAGCGGCATGTCGGATCTCACAACAGCGCTTGACCTTGAGTGTGCATTTCCCGTGAACATGACTGTACTTAGACAACCTTTAATATATAAACCTTGATCCACGACAAGGGTCCATTAGAACTATACAGGGTTACGTGAGACGTAACTGGTTCGTTAGAACTTCTTCAGGTTCCACTATTCATAGAGATTTGAAATTTTGGTAACATGTGTTGCTCACTCGGAACTTTCGATCTAAAATATTTTCAAGATGACCGCCACCTCCGGTCTACCGGAAGTAGACCATAACTTTGTTATTTTAAACGGAATGCTATAATTTTTATTACACCGTTTAATTGTACGTAAAAAAATAGGTTGACTTTGATAAAAGTTATTGATACCCAGCGTTTTTCGTTTTCGAGTTATTTTGGTTTTAAGTTTTTTTTGGTAAATTTCAGCATGCTCTTTAAAACCCCATATCTCAGCCAACGTTCATTCAAAAAAGATCTACATTGGCACGATTACTCTTCAGATGCTGTCAAATAGATTGTCATTTGTTGTATCGGAGTATCTTATACAGTGTGGTCAAAAGTTGAATTACTGTTTCTCCATATTCAATGGCGACAAAATCGAAAATTTTTAATGGAACGCCTCATATTTTTTTAGCTTATCAGAAAGGGAATTTAATTCTCTTATTAGGTTATTAGCTTTTCTTATTAGAAAGCTATGGAATTTTGACAGTTTTTGGTGCATGTTTGTATTATTGTTGTCATTAGTTACATTTCACGATGGGTGTAAGTCATTCATGGTGTGGGCACCAATATAGGCAAAACAAAACCATCGTATTTTTAAGGAGAACAATTTACTAGATGTCGCTGAAGTCTTGAAAAGACGCGCACATACACGTATATGTATATATTTGACATTTGAATTTGACTTTGCAAATAATATGAAATAATAAACATAACTAACTTTCAAGATTAGCAATTAATTTAACATTTAGAATGAATCGGTGTATTAACAGGAATCGCGCCTGTACTGTTTTTGGATGTACGGACACAACATCCAGTCGTCACCGTTTTCTTCATCCACAAAAGAAAGAGAATCTGTGTAAGGAGCGGATTTTAAAATGTGGAAATTCAAAACTTACAGATCTTTCACAGGATATAATTTATAATAATAATCTCTTTATTTTCTCGCTTACAAAGAACAGAAGAAAACGTCCAGTTACAAGTTAAACTCGAAGAACTCGCTTAAATGATAGAAACAATGCTCCAATAACAATAACTTTAACTTACATTTAAATACTCTTAAATTTAGAGATTTCAACGGTCTCGGTAGGTGGTTATATATTTTTACTCCTATAAAATTGGGACTATTTGAGGTAATAGCCAAATTATGCTGTGCTATCGCAATGTGATCACAGCGCGTATTATGGTCGTGTATAGCATTATTTTGAAGTATAAGAGCTGTTTATGCTTGTGGATATAATGAGCTATTTCTAAATATAAATACATTACTGGTAGGATATTCAGTTGTTGGAAAAGCGGTCTACATGAAGATCGTTGATTTACGTTGCAAATTGCTCTCACTATTCTTTTTTGATGAACAAAGATCTCTTTCAAGACTGAAGTTGAACCCCATACTGTGATACCATACGTCAGCTTTGGGTATACTTCGGCATAATATATCATTTTTAGTATCTCGCAGCTTAATGTTTCCCGTAATATTCGAATTTGAAATAAAGTTTTATTCAAACTTTTTATTACTTTTTCCGTATTAGAATACCATTTTAGATTTTCGTTTAATGTTATACCTAAGAGGCTGATATTATTTGTTTGTTTAATGCATTTATCTCCGTACTTCACGCTTAAAGTTGTATGCCACTCTCTTTGAGGCATTCGAAACATAATGAACTTAGATTTATCCGTATTAAGAGATAGTTTATTCGCTGTGAGCCAGGTGAATAATTGTTGTGAAAGTTTGTTTACATTGGCTTCCGCATATTCTTTCTTCGCTCCGATGACTAACGTCATGTCGTCAGCATAATTAACCACAAAGAAATCGCTTAAAAACTTTGTAATATCATTTATGAAGAGGTTAAACAGCAGTGGCCCCAACACAGATCCTTGCGGAATACCTGTATATATTGGTAAAGTTGTCGAGTTTACTTTGGAAGTTGATCTACCATTCCTGTGCGTTATTTGTATAAACTGATTTCTGTTTGTGATAAAACTTGACAGCCATTTTAGAGCATTTCCTCTAATACCATATAGTTTTAATTTGGTTAATAGTTTATTGTGTAGCATGCATTCAAATGCTTTAGTTAAGTCACAGAAAATTCCGACTGGGATTCGCTGCATTTCTATTTGTGATATAATCTCATTGTAGATATCAATGATTGCTGTCTGTGTTGATTTGTCTTTTGTAAAGCCGTGTTGTTTTTCGGAAAGTATATTGTGCTTGTCAAAGAATAATTCTAATCTTTGTATCATAGCAACTTCAAATAATTTCGAGAAAACAGAAATTAGTGATATTGGTCGGTAATTTTCTCTAAGATTTTTGTCGCCTCTTTTAAAGATGAGAATTACTTTGGTTGTTGCGAATTCCTTGTTACAGTATTGTAGTAGCCGAGGAGGGACCTCGCTCCTGGGGATGATTTACTATTTAATTTTCTAATTAGAGTGATAACTTCTGTCTCGGTGTATGGTGTAAGGAATATTGTGCGATCAATCTTTTGAATATGTTCATCAGTTATTTCCGTACGCGGAATATTTTCAATGATTTTAGAAGCTCCCGTAGTAAAGTATTCATTCAGCACACTAGCCGCCTCCAGTGGATCTCTACTTGACTTTTGTTTGTATATTAGTGATATATTCTACTGTTGTGTTTTCTTGTGTTTCTTTTGCATTTCTTCTATTATTTTCCATATTGTTTTGGTTTTATTTTTCGATTCAGTGAGGCGACGAGTTAACGATGCCCTTTTTGTTGCACGTATTAAGGGCTCGTAGTCGTCTTTTTTCGTAGCGTATATTTGCTCGAGGAATGCATATTTCTTCTTGAGTACAAACAAGTCATTCAGTTGTCGCTGTGCTGTTTTTATTGTATCGTTTATCCAAGTAACATTGGAAGATGTATTTTTACAGTTTCTTACAGGAAAGCGTAGTTCGAAGTAATGATTAAAAGTATTCATAAAAGACTCAAATTTTTCGTTCATATCTTTTTGGGTATATATTGTCAACCAGTTTTGTTTTTTTATATCTGTACGAAAACGTTCCATGGAATTTTCATTGAATACTCGGTTTGTAACTTGTACCGTCTCTTTATCCTGTCTAGAGTCCAAGAGATCCACGTAGATAATACGATGATCAGAGAAAAATATATCTTCAACTCTTGTTTGTATGCTGTCATTATTGCTAAATACTTGATCTATCTGAGTTTGTGTTTGTTGTGTAATTCTGGTTGGATCGGATACATAGGAAGTTAAGTTATAAGAGTTTAGGAGATGGATTAAGGAATCACTCTCTTTAGATTTTATTGAAAGGTTTACATTAAAATCGCCTAATAGGAGCAAAGTAATTTTGAAAGAATATAATTTATCTAAAACGTAATCTAGTTGTCGCATAAAAGTACGAAAATCTCCGGATGGAGATCGATAAACATTAATTACGTAATATATTTGGTTCTTAAATCTAGTTTTTGCCGCGCAGATTTCTATGTCTTTTTCAATGCAGTTTTGTCTAAGATCTATGGATTCCATCTCTAAGTCTTTTCTACACCAGACACCGCAGCCACCCAGTCTGTGCGTGGCATGACAGAAGTAACTAATTAGCTTATAGTTTTTAATACCTATGCATTGAAGCTGATATTCTTTGACTCCAATTTCACTAACGCATAGAAAATAACTTAGCCTGTTTTTTAGTAGTATTTCTAGATCATCCGTTTTATTTCGAATTCCTCTGATATTTAATGAAGTTACTAATGGGATACAAGAAATTGGGTTTTGCAATTGGGTACAGCAGGCCAAATTTCCGGTTTCTTTAATTCTTCGAAATCAGCCATTGCCGTCGACACTTTGAATGATATGTACTCGGTAGGATGTTTTGAATTGAGCTGCTCGCATGTAATATTTTGAAAGTTATTCTGCTTCAGATGGCGGATAACCATCGCAGGTGTAGTGTCTCTATCCAGCATGTATACATGAAGGTGAGCAAGTTTTGTAGCTCCTTTTAAATCGCTTTGTTGCTTATAGATCGCATCGTGTTTGTCATAGGCATTTCCAAAGCAGTGATAGAGCAACAAATGCATACTTAAAACCTGCCAGGGTACCAACTCTACAATTGCCATTAAATTGTATGTATTTTAGTCAGTGTTGTTAAATACCCGGGTATTTATTTTCAAAGGAAAATACTCTGGATATAGACCCGGGGGTATTTGCCCAAGATGGGTATTTAGAAGTATTTATAAAATTTGATTTAAATTGAGTTGATGGCAGTTTTGCAAGTACTTAAGAATGCAGAGTCGATTATCTATACACCAAACTTATTTATAACATTTACAAGATAAGGAAATAAGTATTATATTCCTCGTCTTCAACGTCTATTTCATCATCTTCCTCTAAATTTTTTTCAGAATCTGTTAAATTTTTAGTTGTATCACTTTTATGTACATTTTTTATGTATTTACCCTGGGCCGGGGTAAATCTCTTCTAAATACTATTTGCCTAGGAAAGTAGAATTTAGACTGAAATAAATGGAATAAAACTATTGACCTATTGACTAGGAAAAAGCTATTTACCTGAAACAACCATTTGCCTGCGACATATATTCAAACTTCGACGTTCGAGTTTTCGTGATGTTAATGCCCTCAGGGCGATGTCTTTGTTAATTTTTGTCCACACATTTTTGTCGCGAGTTGAGGTACGGGTTTTGGTGTAGTGTTTGCAGTGGACACCACGATGCGCCAGATTGCTTGGCGGAGCGTTTCTCATATTTCTTCCTTCTCTTGCGTCGGCTTTCGACTTTCTGGACTCTCCGTCATCAGCGCCGCTAGAATATAACATCACGGTTTCCATTAACTCCACGAGTGTACCATCCGTTCTTTCGGATGTAACTGATTGTCGAGGGAAGGGATTGTTTGCATCAGGCTGTAAACAGTTTGGTTCAACGCCAAGTCGCCTGAATAAGTGGTCTTCTTTTGAATGTTTGACGCTATTAACGCAAAATAAACTCGGAGCGATAAAAATCGCTGTTATAACTATTCTGCGAGGTTGTTACTGTTTAAAAATGGAGAATTTATAGCAAAACACAGCGCAGGCTACTTTTAAAGAACCCGGGCTACGGGACGATATTTGGAACCGTTTTCATATTAGACAGCGGGGGTTATTTTTAGACGGACTGTAAATTAATTTTAAAAATATTATCCAAAATTTTTTAAGGTGTAATCGATGTATTAACAATGGAAAAATTAACGTGGGAACAAGGAAAAATGCGAAGAAGTGTGATTGGAAATGATTGCCCAAAAACGTTACAAAGTGTTAAAGAAGCTAGAGCTAAAGTTGTTGATACCGTTTCAGGGTGTGATGATGAATTAGCTTCAAAAATTATTGAAAGTGAAAGTTTGGACAATGCTCCTACACCACTGGTTGTTAATGCAATAAGAAGAGCTACAATTTCTGAGGTCTGAATTATTTAAAATCACCCCAAAAACATTATTTAATACAAACATTTTTGTTATAGAAAATTATACCAGTTTTCTGTGGAAGTGCCTACAAAAACATCGGCATTGAACCACTTTTAGATGCGGTAATAATGTACCTTCCATCTCCAAAAGAAACCAAACAATACTTTCAACACTTTGGTGAAAATCTTTGCGCGAGAGCTTTTAAAATAGTTCACGATAAACAACGCGGACCGGTAACTTTTTTTAGGATTTATTCTGGTAATTTTAGTAAAGGTCAAAAAACATATAACATTCAAAAAAATCTCACGGAACAAACCGGTAAAGTTATGGTGACCTTTGCGGATGAATATAAAGAGGTGGAATCATTGGGTGTGGGAAATATCGCTGCTATAACCGGATTAAAACATTCAACAACTGGGGATATGATTACAAGTTCAGCGACAGCAGCACAAGCGGCGAAAAAATTAATGGGATCGAAAGATGGTTCGGTAGACATCAATGATATGTTTAGTAAAGGACCAAAAGTTCCTGAAGCTGTGTTTTTCTGTTCGGTTGAACCGCCCTCTTTATCGCAACAGGCGGCTTTAGAAACTGCTTTAACTCAATTACAACGTGAAGATCCTAGTTTAAGGGTTAACCATGATCCAGATACTAATCAAATTATTCTTGGAGGTAGTTTACTATTTTTTTCATAATAAAATAACGTAATAGTATCAATTAATTTGAATAGATGGTTTTAAATAGGAATGGGAGAGTTGCATTTGGAAATAATCAAGGATAGGCTTTTAAAAGAGTATAAAGTTGAAGCGACATTAGGAAAGTTACAAATTTCTTATCGTGAAGCTCCGTTAGATAAAGCAACATGTGACATTACGACCGAAACGAAAATTGGAAATAATAAACATTTCGTTTCGATTTCTTTGTCTATTATTCCGAAACAAAACGAGGATGATGAAAAAGTTATTTTAATCCTGGATAGAACTTCAGAAGCTGCAAGTAACATTGCGTGTATTCTCCCGAAACATTTAGTTGCTGTTCGACATGGAATAATTGTTGGATTGATGCATGGACCCAAAATTGGATATCAGGTAATAAAATTGTTAATGGATTAATGAAATTAATTCTTAAAAAAATGAAATTTAACGTCTTTTTTAATCAAGGTTATGAATTGCCAAATAATGTTACATATGTTGAATGTTGTAAAAGGAACAACAGATTTTGCAATTGAAGCAACTGCCACCCAATGTGTTCAAAAGGTAAATGTTTTTTAATTACTTTAAGATTTGAAGTTTAAGATATATACATAGTGATAAAGTCTTAAAAGACTTGTTTCTGAAGAAGGTTGCAACATGGCATCCGAAACGTCAAACACTTTTTCAAATGACACGGTTTAACCCGAAAGTTTCTATATGCCATCAGTTTCAAACGTCAAGAACTAGCTCTCGTTGCTCCAGATGACCTGTTCCGACTGCTGTCGGGTCGACTTGAGGTGACTCACTCAGGTTCGCTCACTCTACAAGCAGCAGCATTCAGCCTTCTCTTGATCGTTGCCACAAATGGCTGGCGCTGCCCCGCGTGCCACAATTCACGTCCAATGCGTTGAGCCTGGGATTGTTCATGCTCAGCCGTACGGCGTTAATATCCTCGAGGCGAGTGGTAACTTTTGGTTTTCCTGGACGGTTCTTCGTCACAAAGCCTCTCTGAATTCGCCAGTTCTTAAGAACTCTGGATACAGCAGACTGTATATGCAGCCAGCTGCGTCTGTGTCATCTTCTGACGATGGCCTTCCACAAAACCATACAAAGTTTTTATATAAAAACCTTGGTAACCATATATATCTGGCGGATAACTATCTTGTCGGCATCGCTGAGTACCCGATAAGTTATCCTGCCGATAATCACCGACAAAAATATCCATACATTGTAATACAGTACAAATTAACTTTTAGGCCAGATAACGTTATTGGGAAGTTTATCGGTATATTCTATAATATCTAAATCTAAAACATGGTTAATATTTACATTACCTTTCAAAACCAGTTTAATATACATACATTTTTACGTTATAACGCAAAATTTAAGTGAACTGAATAAACCTCGGTTATAGTAACAGTGAAGAAGTTGATAATAAAAACGATACCTTATTCATATTTGAAATCAATCCTGATACTAATTGGTAGCCTACAAAACGGAACATTATAACACCTTGTTATCATATTTGAATGTTGCAATCATGTTGTTTTGGGAGATTTTATGTCTTCCACTTATAATAATGTTGTGTTGATGTAATAAATCCAGTTTTTATTAATAGTAGCAATTACTAATAATATCCGCATCTTTCGGTAAATTTGAATAATAATAAGCTGTAATAATTATATTTACCGATAATTATTAATAATTACTTGTATAGCTTGATACATATGATAAAACCAAAAAAATATATTATAAAAGATAACTTTTTGTTATATCATATCACTACAATTTATTTATTTTTACAAGAACTTCTATGTAATTTGGAATCACAAATGATTTGTGGCTTTTTAAGTTTGCAGCGATTTGAATTACATCCTCCTATAACATTGCAATATTGATTCCTTGCAAATATTACATTAATTTCTTGTATAGAGCTGGTTTAAATTCCATATTTTGTACCTAGTTTGTAGAGTTTTTCATTTTTAATAGACATTATAATTGCTATAACATTCCGACTGTCAGCTTTACCTCTACAACCGGAATTCTTATAAGTACGTTTTCTTCTACAGTGGCTATTGGATAATTTGCTTNGATGCGCCAGATTGCTTGGCGGAGCGTTTCTCATATTTCTTCCTTCTCTTGCGTCGGCTTTCGACTTTCTGGAACTCTCCGTCGTCAGCACCGCTAGAATATAACATCACGGTTTCCATTAACTCCACGACTGTACCATCCGTTCTTTCGGAGGTAACTGATGAATCATTGTCGAAGGAAGGGATTGTCTGCATCAGGCTGTAAACAGTTTGGTTCAACGCCAAGTCGCCTGAATAAGTGGTCTTCTTTTGAATGTTTGACGCTATTAACGCAAAATAAACTCGGAGCGATAAAAATCGCTGTTATAACTATTCTGCGAGGTTGTTACTGTTTAAAAATGGAGAATTTATAGCAAAACACAGCGCAGGCTACTTTTAAAGAACCCGGGCTACGGGACGATATTTGGAACCGTTTTCATATTATACAGCGGGGGTTATTTTTAGACGGACTGTAAATTAATTTTAAAAATATTATCCAAATTTTTTTAAGGTGTAATCGATGTATTAACAATGGAAAAATTAACGTGGGAACAAGGAAAAATGCGAAGAAGTGTGATTGGGAATGATTGCCCAAAAACGTTACAAAGTGTTAAAGAAGCTAGAGCTAAAGTTGTTGATACCGTTTCAGGGTGTGATGATGAATTAGCTTCAAAAATTATTGAAAGTGAAAGTTTGGACAATGCTCCTACACCACTGGTTGTTAATGCAATAAGAAGAGCTACAATTTCTGAGGTCTGAATTATTTAAAATCACCCCAAAAACATTATTTAATACAAACATTTTTGTTATAGAAAATTATACCAGTATTCTGTGGAAGTGCCTACAAAAACATCGGCATTGAACCACTTTTAGATGCGGTAATAATGTACCTTCCATCTCCAAAAGAAACCAAACAATACTTTCAACATTTTGGTGAAAATCTTTGCGCGAGAGCTTTTAAAATAGTTCACGATAAACAACGCGGACCGGTAACTTTTTTTAGGATTTATTCTGGTAATTTTAGTAAAGGTCAAAAAACATATAACATTCAAAAAAATCTCACGGAACAAACCGGTAAAGTTATGGTGACCTTTGCGGATGAATATAAAGAGGTGGAATCATTGGGTGTGGGAAATATCGCTGCTATAACCGGATTAAAACATTCAACAACTGGGGATATGATTACAAGTTCAGCGACAGCAGCACAAGCGGCGAAAAAATTAATGGGATCGAAAGATGGTTCGGTAGACATCAATGATATGTTTAGTAAAGGACCAAAAGTTCCTGAAGCTGTGTTTTTCTGTTCGGTTGAACCGCCCTCTTTATCGCAACAGGCGGCTTTAGAAACTGCTTTAACTCAATTACAACGTGAAGATCCTAGTTTAAGGGTTAACCATGATCCAGATACTAATCAAATTATTCTTGGAGGTAGTTTACTATTTTTTCATAATAAAATAACGTAATAGTATCAATTAATTTGAATAGATGGTTTTAAATAGGAATGGGAGAGTTGCATTTGGAAATAATCAAGGATAGGCTTTTAAAAGAGTATAAAGTTGAAGCGACATTAGGAAAGTTACAAATTTCTTATCGCGAAGCTCCGTTAGATAAAGCAACATGTGACATTACGACCGAAACGAAAATTGGAAATAATAAACATTTCGTTTCGATTTCTTTGTCTATTATTCCGAAACAAAACGAGAATGATGAAAAAGTTATTTTAATCCTGGATAGAACTTCAGAAGCTGCAAGTAACATTGCGTGTATTCTCCCGAAACATTTAGTTGCTGTTCGACATGGAATAATTGTTGGATTGATGCATGGACCCAAAATTGGATATCAGGTAATAAAATTGTTAATGGATTAATGAAATTAATTCTTAAAAAAATGAAATTTAACGTCTTTTTTAATCAAGGTTATGAATTGCCAAATAATGTTACATATGTTGAATGTTGTAAAAGGAACAACAGATTTTGCAATTGAAGCAACTGCCACCCAATGTGTTCAAAAGGTAAATGTTTTTTAATTACTTTAAGATTTGAAGTTTAAGATATATACATAGTGATAAAGTCTTAAAAGACTTGTTTCTGAAGAAGGTTGCAACATGGCATCCGAAACGTCAAACACTTTTTCAAATGACACGGTTTAACCCGAAAGTTTCTATATGCCATCAGTTTCAAACGTCAAGAACTAGCTCTCGTTGCTCCAGATGACCTGTTCCGACTGCTGTCGGGTCGACTTGAGGTGACTCACTCAGGTTCGCTCACTCTACAAGCAGCAGCATTCAGCCTTCTCTTGATCGTTGCCACAAATGGCTGGCGCTGCCCCGCGTGCCACAATTCACGTCCAATGCGTTGAGCCTGGGATTGTTCATGCTCAGCCGTACGGCGTTAATATCCTCGAGGCGAGTGGTAACTTTTGGTTTTCCTGGACGGTTCTTCGTCACAAAGCCTCTCTGAATTCGCCAGTTCTTAAGAACTCTGGATACAGCAGACTGTATATGCAGCCAGCTGCGTCTGTGTCATCTTCTGACGATGGCCTTCCACAAAACCATACAAAGTTTTTATATAAAAACCTTGGTAACCATATATATCTGGCGGATAACTATCTTGTCGGCATCGCTGAGTACCCGATAAGTTATCCTGCCGATAATCACCGACAAAAATATCCATACATTGTAATACAGTACAAATTAACTTTTAGGCCAGATAACGTTATTGGGAAGTTTATCGGTATATTCTATAATATCTAAATCTAAAACATGGTTAATATTTACATTACCTTTCAAAACCAGTTTAATATACATACATTTTTACGTTATAACGCAAAATTTAAGTGAACTGAATAAACCTCGGTTATAGTAACAGTGAAGAAGTTGATAATAAAAACGATACCTTATTCATATTTGAAATCAATCCTGATACTAATTGGTAGCCTACAAAACGGAACATTATAACACCTTGTTATCATATTTGAATGTTGCAATCATGTTGTTTTGGGAGATTTTTTGTCTTCCACTTATAATTATGTTATGTTGATGTAATAAATCCAGTTTTTATTAATTACTAGCAGCAATTACTAATAATATCTGCATCTTTTGGTAAATTTGAATAATAATAAGTTATAATAATTATTTATTTATTTATTTTATTTATTTATTAATAATTACTTGTATAGCTTGATACATATGATAAAACTATATTATAAAAAATAACTTTTTGTTATATCATATCACTACAATTTATTTATTTTTACAAGAACTTCTATGTAATTTGGAATCACAAATGATTTGTGGCTTTTTAAGTTTGCAGCGATTTGAATTACATCCTCCTATAACATTGCAATATTGATTCCTTGCAAATATTACATTAATTTCTTGTATAGAGCTGGTTTAAATTCCATATTTTGTACCTAGTTTGTAGAGTTTTTCATTTTTAATAGACATTATAATTGCTATAACATTCCGACTGTCAGCTTTACCTCTACAACCAGAATTCTTATAAGTACGTTTTCTTCTACAGTGGCTATTGGATACTTTGCTTTTGAAAAGCATTTGAAAAACATTTTGTCAGCTTGCTTAAAAAAGCTTAAAGCACTTAAAGCACGTACTAGGTACGTGCTTTGCAGAGTTTCGAGCTTCTTGAATGCTTGTACATCTTTTATTGACTAAGGAGGGGGAATCACCTTTTTCTTCTGAACTATTTTGAACTTGGTCGTCACCACCGATTTTTCCTGTTATGATTAAATTCTTCTTCTCCTGATCGTTATGCCTGATGACGTCGGATAAATCTTTTTCTTATTCCTCCATCCACTTCTTCCACTCCCTCCGGTTCCTGGCTAATTCCTTTATATCTGCTAGAGTCTCCCCCTTCTTCTTCCCAACTTCTGCTATTCTTTCCTCCCACTTCTTCCTAAGTCTTCCCCAATTTTTCTTATCCTTATTCTTTGCTTCAAATACCTTTTTTACTATTGTGTTCTGTTCCATTCTATGTGGATGTACCAGTTTAGTTGCTTCCTCTCTATTTTGCTGATTATCTCCTCTTGATCTACTCCCAGTCTTATTTCCTCATTCCTTATCCTCTTTCCCACTATTTTCCGTAAAAATTTCATTTCAATTACTGTGATCTTTCCTCCTTGTTTATCTTGGAGTGTCCATGATTCACTGGCATGTGTTAATATTGGAACAGCCACCGCGTTGTACACTTTCAATTTTATCTTTTTATCTATCACCTTCTTCCCTAAAATTGTTCTGTTTAGAGTATGATATATACGTTGTTTGTTTTCCTTATTCTTGCATTTATGTCTAAATCCATCTTGTGATATTATACTGCCCAAGTACTCATATACACTTCTTCTATATTTTGTTCCTTAGTAAATATTTCTTTCGAGTTATTTGTTATTTCCTTTTTATTTATTATTACGATTTTACATTTATTTACGTTCAATTCTAGGCTCATCTTTTTAATATCTTCTGTCCATATTTCAACTAACTTCCCTATCTTTTTATGTTTCTCTGCTATCAGCACTATATTGTCAGCATATAGTAAATGAACTATTTTTACTGGTTCCACACTTTAACCTATTACTACTTGATATTTATTTGTTCTTGTATTTTTTATCACTCTGTTGTTATGATTAAATTAATAGCCGAAAATCCAATGGTTGTTAATTGCATACTTTCTGTAGGATTATGTATTTCCATTTCCACATTGGCTTCATTATCTTTGTCGTCTTTTGTTCCTCTTTACCTCTCCACCTCTTTAAGTTCTTCGTCTGTAGTGATTTCTGAAATAGTATCTGTTGGCAAATGTGTTTTCAAGCCAACTTTGGCTTTACAGCCAAACAGCTTCATAAGGACTGCGATCTGATCCAGAATGATGAGCTCTATTTTTTTATGAATTGGAGTGGTATTATTTGTTTCAAGCCAAGTACACAAGATATTTTCCTTGTTTTGGTTGGCTCTTTCAACCGAACCTAACGATTTTAAGTTAATCCCACATTTCTTCAATAACTTTGTTTGCAAATTCCCTACCATTGTCGCTTTGCAAAATGCAAGGAGCATCAAAAATGGTTAATATGTTAAGAAGATGATGAGCATCTTTTTTGGCTCGTTTTGTTTTTAAAACTTTGAGTTGAACAAACTTTGTGAGATGGTCTTGATATACCATTATAAACTTGTAGTCGCTATCTGCTCGTGACTGCATTAGATCTACTCTAGGTGGCATCTTCAAGTAAAATTATTGCTTTTATTTGGGTTAACGAGTCCCTTTTTCGGAATGCTCAACTTTTTTTGACAGTGTTCCCATTTTCTTATATTTTGGCTTAACTTCTTTCATCATTCTGTTTTGTCCTTTATGGCCAAAATTCAATATGAATTTCGTGAACAATTTGAAAATTTTCTTCCAAAAATGTGTAATATATAATCGGTTGATTTTCTTTTTTAACAGGCATTATAAGTGTTTCTACACTTCAATTTTTATGATGTCATTCCTAGTTAATCATTGATATTCTTCAGGGGATTTACCAAAACTCTTGTCCTTCTTTTCTTCAAGTTTTGATAAAAAGGAATAATATTCTTCTCTTGTAAATAATTGATGATTTTTCCCTTTTTTAGAATTCAAGTTACTAATCTGGTCATCAAATCGTCCCTTCTACGTTAGTTAAACTTCGACAAGTTTTTGTTCTTATTTTCTCTCACTCTCGCCTTAATTTCATTCTCTCTGTATATTTTAAAGCACCTTCCTTTCCTCCATAACAATGAATTGTTGTGAGAATCTCACTTGTGTATTTGCCATGATTTTTCATAAGGTTTCCTAAACAGTGTTTTCAATCTTCACATACATCCAAACTTCTCGTTTAGCCTTCCTAGCTTCTCAAATTGTTTCTTTGACTTTTAAATAAACCTGAATTATTTAAATTATTTTTGTATGTCTTAACTTTTAGTAGACTTATTCTTAAAAAAAAAATTGAATTAATCTTTTGAGAATTAGTATGATTGGTTATTTTACAATTGTTTCATCTATAAATTATTATTTGTTAATAGCTTTTAAAACAAGCAAAAACATCGATTCTGGAACCAATAATGTTGCTTGAAATAATTTGTCAAGAAGCTCACGTGCCTAGTATAATGGGAGATTTATCAAAGAAACGCGCCGCCATTCGCAACGTTTCTATAAGATCTTGTGGGAGCAAAGTAAGTTTTTATCCATGTTACACGGTTTAATCCATTAAATTATTATTTTTGATTTTATTTAGGTTATTACAAGTGAAGTACCCCTTTCGGAATTATTTGGGTATTCAACATCTTTAAGAATAATAACTTCAGGTACTGCAACATTTACCATGGAATTTTTGGAGTATAGAGCGTTATCGCTCATAGAAGAAAATAAAGTTATAGAAAAAATAAGAGGGTTTTAATAAAAAACTTTAAATATTTAGGTAAAGATTTTATAATTCTTTTTTAACATAAGCGTTAGCTAGAAGTAGAAACAACTTTTTAGTAATATTAAATGCAACAATAAATTAATTTTTATCACAATTTTTAAAGCAATTATTATTACTTCTTTATAAATAAATTGTATCTATTTCTAACAAACTGAATTTTTTTGGTAATTTACAATTTTTGCTAACAAAAAAAATGTGCGTGTAAAAATATATAAAAATAATAATTAAACTTATTGTTAAAGTGAGGTTAGTAGACATTCAAAGCGCATTTTTTAAAACTTTCGAAGCTCAAACCTGCAATTATTTTCTTTTTTAACAAACGTTAATTTCAACCTTAAAAACTACCTCGAGAGATGTTGTAAGTTAGTAGATTCCTCTGAGGGGGAGTCTTTAAAAAGATTCGATGACAGATCGATCGCTACATACAAACCGCACAATATTAAAGGCCCTATTATTGCTCCTTCTAAACCTAGACAAAATATTCCACCCGCTATCGCCAATCCTGTTAAATAAGGATGTCCACCTCTGTACAAAACGAAGTATTAAACATACAAATTAAATCTTAACTTATATTTTTACCCCTTTATTTCTCCATAAATAGTTGTATCAACTATTGATGTTGGTAAAAATTGAAAAATTGCTATTAAAATAGCACATATTGGTGATCCTTGCGCAAGCCATAAATCGAGAACAGCAGGAATACAAGCCCAATACGTTCCTAAGAATGGAGCAGCAGCTAAAACAGCTGCTAAAACTTTAAATAAAGAATAAATTAATACTTTTTAATAAAAAAAGAGTTTGCAAATCAACCTGTTGGAACATATACGATTTTTACCCCAAACAAACTGTGAATAAACCAGGTCCACATTCCATAAAACGCTACCATTTTAAAAGAAGCTGTAAAAACACCGTTTATGGCAACTCCAAAGGCTAATCCAAACCGACTGCTGCTTGATGAAAAATTCGACATTAACTCAACCGGTTTATAAAGGTAACCAGATGAACTTAATAAATAAAACAATGTGGTTAAGAAAATCACCTAACAAAAAAAATGATTAAAATTATCAATAATTTGAAGACGAATCTTTTCTTACAGTATTTAAACCAAAATTTAAAACCGCCGTACTTCCACCTAATAAAATGGACATTAAAGCGCTAAATGATCCAATTAACAACCCCATATTTCCTTTTACGATTCCCCAAACAGATTCCAACAACGATAACAATGTTCCAATGTTTTGTTTTAAAAATGCCATTATTCCATTGACATTAAATAATTCTGTTTACAATAGTAAATATGAGAAAGTATGCGAAAATATAATTATTTTTTTACCTGGAGATTTTTTGATATCTTTAACAAAGTTATCCCAACTATGTTGAACTGCTTCTGAAGACACTTTAGGACCATGGGCATCATCGCTAGTCATCCATGACTGATACACTCTATCCCATAATTCCAAGACTTGCTTTTCGAATTTTTCTGATTTGTGTGGATCTACATCACTCATCATACTTTTTACCTAAATCACACAAACGATTATTTTCATGGTTAAATTATTCATCAAAAAAATTTCAAAATAAAAATTAAATTAAATACTTACCAATTTTGATATTCCTTCTCGTCCATATTGATAAGCATTATCCAAAAGAGAATCAACCGTATCATCAAAAGTGGGAGGTAGCAGCTGTCTTAATTCTGGATTATGGACAACAGTTTGATTTATCACATTACTGGTCATCTGAACCAGCATAATACCTTCAGCATAAATCTATAAAAATGTATAAACAACATAATACAATGTTATATACTACATCTATGACAATAACTTTATTATTATACAAGGTGATTACTATGTACTCTAAAATTTGAAAAGGTGATTCGTACGTAATTTTAGGAATAAACTAAAATATGTGATGAATATGTTTTGCATCTGGCATGGTAACAATATTAAGTTTAATCATTTGTAAACGTGAGCATTGCTTTAGTTTTACTGCATGTCTTTGCTTGATTGTTCAGGATTGGCATTATTTAGAACTAACGGACCAGTTTCAATTAAACATTACTTGGTCTACAAATGTATATCCATTAAAGACCTTTTCAGCTTGGTAAACGTAATATAGTTTTGTGTGCTGGCTTGTTAGCATTTCCATTATAGAAACCCTACATATCATATTATACATTAAATATGAAATTGATTATAATTGAATGTAATGAAAAGGATACAATAAGGCTATGAAGTTTTATTTTAAATGATAGAGGAATGTAGAAATTACAGAACAAGCTCTACAACGTTGTGTAATTCGTGTAAGTATGTTAATGTATGTCAAATTTCGCACTGTGAACTTTATAGATTAAAGTCTTTATTCCATAGCCTTTCTTGTAGAATTATTACTAAATTCGTTAGATACCCAAGCAGATATGCGATAGGGAATGGCTATGGAGGAGAAAAGTGATGAGTAGTACTGTCCATTCCACAAACGCAGTCGAACCCAAGAAAATTATAGAAATCCAAGATTCAATTTTGGATAACAAGAAGACGAAAGGTAGACTTTATACCGTAAAATTACCAAGAGAATAATTAATTGTTCCTCTATCTAAATTTCATACTTAATTAATTGCATCAGACATAAAATAAATTATTTACTGAAGATGATTCAAGATTGTCTACTTAAACTATTAAAAGATAGCTTGTTGAAACAAACTTGCATACACGAATTAGGTGCAAAGATTACTCTTGTTTTCAGGTGAACAAAAAAGTAATTACTAATTTGATTCTGGTTGAAAAACATTTATGCAACATCCTCCATGCCAAGAATTGAAAGCTATAAGTTGCTTTTTATGGATATAACTCCACTAAAACACACTGAGAGTATTAAGTCAACATTAATACAAAGATATTTTACAAGATAGCATGTTTTGTTATGAAAAAAAATTCATGCCTATCACACAGCAATACCAATAGGAGAACAATTCAAAAGATGATCCGTGAAAAAAATTGTAATTGATAATACTGATTTTGGATTAACCTTCTAATAGTCTAAATTTAAATTCAATAGAAAATGTGTGACAAGAACTAGAACTGCGAGATTCCTGAGAATAATTCAGATTACTCATAGAAATAATTTTTAAAGGTAATGTTTAATATCTTAACATTTAAAGGGAAATTAATTGATTTGTTTGCAGCAACAGACCAGCCTTGAATCAATTCTTATTTCTCTTATAATAGGTATCAGCTCTGTCTTTCTATAACAATTCAGAGTCTAGACTGGGATACTGAACTCCATCTTTGGTACCACTTCTCCGGGAAGTCTAGTCCCATCTGATTTTCCGTCAGGCGTACCAGGGAATCTGGGTTCTGACATTCTCCCGATATAGTTTCTCTATTCATTCCGTCTGCCACGTCTATGTTCAGGATTCTTATCTGTCTTCGCTTCTTATGCGGTCTAGCAAAGATTAGCCAGCAATTGCTCGTAAGGTTGCAATCTCTGGCTTCTGAGGAGCTTTTTGGTTGTAGTGCTTGTATTATCCCTGATCTTACAATTGTTCCTTATTTTTGGTTTGGACGTACCTATTTCCTCCTCCATATCACATCTCGATGGGATCCCAATACAACTGCTGCTCTTGTGGTGTGTGTTCTGGCTTATTATTTCAGGTCTTTATCGAAAGTATTTCTGCCATTTCTTTATTGCTGGTGATATTTACTCCGAGATATTTCAAACGTGTGCTGATCTATGGCAAATTTGTAAACCTTCTTGGTTCTCTGGCTATTGATAGGAACTGCGTTTTCTGCATTGAAATTTCCATATTATGCTTCCCTGAAAAAATTCGATCGTTGGCGATGTAGTCTTAATCTGCAAGAGGTTGTCATCTTGCAGACATCGGTCAGTTTCTAAAAAGGTAAACCAACATACCTTATCAGGGTACATACTCCAGAGACCAAGAAAACAAAGGAAGGTAATTTAAGATTCTTGAATTTAAATAGCTTTCTTTAGAGGTTATTTTCATCTTCAGAGATTAAGACTGCATCGTCTACGTAGCAACTGGTTCTTATATCTTTCTCGTCCAACATGTACTCCCTTCCACCACGAATTCTTTCTTCAATTATTTCGTCCGTTACTAAATTGAATAGCCGGGCTGAGGTTGTCTCGCTGCCTCACTCCAATTGCAATTGATAAACCGTTTGTGAATCCCTCCTGTGTTCTTACAAAAGCTTGATTCCCAGTATTCATCTCGTTTAGAAGTGCTACGTCACTTAGTCTCACCCTATCAAATGTCTGTTTAATATCAACGAAACATAAAAATTGTCTCGTCGAACTCTAGGGTCTTCTCAGTTATTTGGTCGATAAATAAGATTGCATCTACACTTGACCTCTATTCTCTAAATCCCTGTTGTTTTTTGGAAATACCAGTTGCTGTTTGTTATCTCATAGCATTCTGGTCATCAATTTTTTGATAGAACACAACAGTCTAATTCACCTATAACTGCTGAAAAGATAAACCCATCCTTTCACCCTTTTTAAGGATTTGTATCAGTATGCTATACTCTTCCGTTGAGATTCTATTCTTTTGCTTTTGATATTTATGTTAAAGCCATATTTAATGACCTTGTTTGTTATTTCATTGATACCTGGTGATTTTATTTTTCAAGTTCTGGATTGTTTTTCTAACTTTCAGTTTTCTACTTCTCAGCAGCTTTTCTTGATTAATTGGATGTTTGTGTTTAGTCTGTTTCTCACTACTTTGTATTCTCTGTATGTTATTGCGACTGACATATTCTGTAAATAGGATCTCCGTTTTTTCGCAGCTAGATCTTTCATTTCTTGGGCGAACTAAGACTTTGTGTTGGATCTTCTATTTCTTAATGTGACTCTTAAATGATTCCTCTGCTGATTTAATTATACTTGAGCGAAGTTTTTCATATGCTGTTTCAGTGTCGTCGTGGTCCTGAATTCTGTGTTTAATATTTTTTCCACAAGTCTTTGTTGGTATAGGTACTTAGTCATCCTCCATCCTTTGTGGTTGTTCCTCTTGTAGGCTAGATTCGGAGATTTTAATAAAAGATTGGGATCAGTTTCCGCTTTTATGAGTGACAAAGTTCTCAGGTTAGGTATTTTACTGGGAGGAATGTTTCTATTTTTGTGGGAGTAGTATGAATGGTTGATTTTAATTCATTATGAGTTGTATTACATTAGGTACAAAGTGGTATAGCATTTCATTTAAAGTAACGAAGTTATGGTCTACTTCCAGTAGACCGAAATTGGTAGCCATTTTGAAAATATTTTAGATCTGAAGTTCCGAATGAACAAAAAAGTTCATGCTAACCCCACACATCACCCATGCTACCAAAATTTCAAAACTGTACGAAAGTGGAACCTGAAAAACTTCTAATGAACCAGTTATGTGAGACAGCTTGTATAATGCGGTTACAAACCTTCATAAATTAATCACCCTGTATATGCACATGAAAGTAATAAGTGCTTGATGACATTGTTCCTTTAAAAATAGGCTTAAAATAGTGCTATATTAAATCTTATATCCTAGAAATAAATTAATCAATTTCCTGAAAAAAACATTAAATCTCAAAATATTCCTAAAACACGCTTAATTTTTTGTCGTAAACACCTTGTACATAATAATAAACACTTTAATTTCAATGATAAAGCATATTATATTTCTTCAATACCTGCACTGCTATAAAAATTGAAGCGCATGTGACGAACACAATAAGCCCAATTATAACAACACAACTGGATACAGTGTCGATGCTCTCCTTGATACCTTGCTTCAAACTTTGATTAATGCTATAAGTGCATTTCCACAATCCCCGTAAGTGAAACGGTACCAATGCGTCATATCTCTCTTTAAACCACCAACAAAAAACGTCCGCAAATATCAACCAATAATTATAAATCCATTTCCATACTCCCAAGTAATTCCCAACGTGTTTCACTGTATAAATTAATATAGGAATTGGAAGTATTGGTAACAACATCAAGTTCCTCCAAAAGAAAATTGAGGCACAAGCCCACATTACAGAGTACAAATAAAAATCGCTGTTGGATTCCTCAAGATTATCGATTTGTAACAAACTGTTGGTGCGTTTCCAGTTTAAAACATTGTAACGTGGACTTGGCCTTTGAGCTGTTGTTGAAACGGACGGCTGTGATAAGGACCGTTTAACTTTTGGAGCTAAAAGTGTAGTTGTACTGAAGGTATTTTCCGGTTGTTTGATGACGTGAATATTTCCTTTGTCGGTTATTAAAATACCGGTTCGTTTTTCTTTGGAATCGTTGGACGATTGAAACAGTTCTAACGTCCAAGGATCCGTTGTTGATTTTGATGATTGCTCATCATCACTTTTGGCATTTTTTTTATCACTTATTTGTTCATTATCACCCGAATCAAGATGAGTCTAATAATAAAACAATAATATGTATTTATGATTAACACAAAATTTAATAACTCACATTTTCACTAATATCTCTTTCAATTTCAATTTCTGGTGTCCTTCCATAAATCTCAAACTTTTTATTTTCAAAATAAAGCCGCAAATATTCCCCCAATGTTAATCCACTTTCTACAAAAATTAATTTTAAAAAATGCTTTAAATAAATACAGGGTGTCTCACGTAACTGGTTCGTTAGAACTTTTTTAGGTTCCACTATTCGTACAGTTTTGAAATTTTGGTAGCACTTCTGACCACCACTTCTGGCCTACCGGAAGTAGATCACAACTTCGTTATTTTAAGTGGAATGTTATAGTTTTTATTACACCGTTTAATTGTACGTTAAAGAATAGGTTGAGTTTGATAAAAGTTATTGGTACCTAGCGTTTTTCGTTTTCGAATTATTTTGGGTTTAAGCTTTTTTTGGTAAATTTCAACATGCTCTTTAAAACCCCATATCTTAGCCAACGTTCATTTAAAAAAGATCATCATTGGCACGATTACTCTTCAGATCCTGTCAAATAGATTGTCATTTGTTGTATCGGAGTATCTTATACAGGTCAAAAATTGAATTACTGTTTCTCCATATTCAATGGCGAGAAAGTCGGAAATTAATAATAAATATTTTTTTAGCTTATCAGAAAGGGAATTTAATTCTCTACAAATTATCTATAAACATTCCTATACTTATTTATTGTAGTTTGCCTTATATTGGGAAATTTATTAAAACATGCACGAAATTCAGGGTTCTTTTTATTAGAAAGCTATGGAATTTTGACAGTTTTTGGTCCATGTTTGTATTATTGTTGTCATTAGTTACATTTGACAACAGGTCACAACAGGTTAAGTCATTGAACATCATGGCAGATTATTCCAACGCCGATATTCGAAATTTATTTTGTATTGATGGCTAATGTAATAAACTTTTGGACAGGACGTGTGGAACACTTGATGAGAGATGCCTAACAAACCTAACGCCCATCACAAGGAAAAATTTCAAAAAATTGATAAAGAATTTCTTAGTTCTGGACATATTGAGACCAAAAGAAAGCGCCTATTACAACGAAATAAAAATTTTATCGTATTTTATTGCATTTCCAAATTCAATTTCATAACAAATTTATATTTTTATCCAATTCTATTTTTTATTATTAATTTTTGTTTTAATTGTTGCATTTATTTCATCTTCTGTTTCTTATTTTTGGTAAGTAAAAGCTGGAGTAAACTGAAAGATTATCATTCGTAATTACAAGTACAATAATAGAAATAAATTAAACGAAAAACTGTCAAAATGTGCCTTCTAATAAAGATACACAGTTTCCTGTATGTTTTGATAAATTTCCCAATATGAGAGAAACTACAAGAAATAGGTATAGGAATGTTTATAGATAAATTGTAGAGAATTAAATTCCCTTTCGGGTAGGCTAATAAAATATGGGGTGTTCCATTTAAAATTTTCGACTTTCTTGCGGTTGAACATGGAGAAATGGTAATTCAATTTTTGACCACCTGTATAAGATACTCTAATACAATAAAAAATGACAATCTATTTGACAGCATCTGTAGAGCAATCGTGCTAATTTAGAGCTTTTTTGAATGAACGTTGGCTGGGATATATGGTTTTAAAGAGCATGGTGAAATTTGCTAAAAAAAACTTTAAATCAAACCTCTGTCAAGTTGGCACCACATGTTGCGATTTGAATAAAAAAAATTATTGCATTAATTGTCGCTTAATTTGTTGTAATTTGTCGTAAAGTTTACAAATTTGTCGCGTCCTTTTTTATAAACAATATTTGAAATATTGCATTTTTGAGGTAGTGCTAACTTGACAGTGAATTTATGGTAAAGAGTGGAGATAACAAAAAAACTAATGACGTCATAAATTGTCGCTTAATTTGTTGTAATTTGTCGTAAAGTTTACAAATTTGTCACGTCAATCGCGTGATGCAGTAAGTAGATCTAAGGGTGTGCAGCATGGTAAAATAAATGAAAAACTTGCTATACACCAGTTAGAAGAACAGGATAATATAAAGATAGTAACGTGCGAATTGTTCATAGACGCTGAGTACAGCTTCCTAGGGGCAAGTCCAGACGATTTAGTGGGACAAGGAGTTGTTGTGGAAATAAAGTGCCCTTTCTTCACATACCATATGCATCCCAAGGATGCCATGAAACAAAAAAAAAGTACTTTCTGGAAATGGAATCAAGAAAGAGACTGTTCCAAAATAAATAACAAAGATAAATGGTACTATCAAGTACAAGGACAGTTAAAAATTACCAACAGAAAAGGATGCATATTTGTGGTATGGACCGCTATAAACTATCCATTAAAAGTTTCATATATAAGACGTGGTATGAAATTTTGGAAGTACAATATGGCAAGTAAATTACAACAGTTTTATAAAGGGTGTATGCTTCCAGAATTGATAGATCCTGAGTTCTTGCTGGTTCTAAATTTTATGTCCAACTCTGGCACTCGAGACAAACTGGAATTACCCTCAATAAAATTCCTAAATATATACAATTTCAGGATAAACAATTTAAAGTTGTTGGTTGCACTGGATATTTGGGCAATCAAAATAGTAATACCGCCGTAAAACATTATATAGCAATTTTATATCGAAATAGCATTAAATTGGTTGTTTACGACGATTTGAACGATGTCGCTAAGGTGGTTCAGCCTACTTTTGAAACTAACCAGCATTAATTATATACAGGCTGATTCACATAAGAGCTGACACAGAGCAGGGACATGTAGAGGACAATAAATTAAGATGATTTAACGTAACTTGCCTCTATACTAAGTTGTACACCTGAGGAGTTATAGGTCTTCAAAGTTGGCTCTTAAATTTTTAAAAAGTTCAATATCTTCGTAATACATTAAGCTAGAAAAACCAAATTTGGTATACGTTATGAGTGTACCAAGGGTATTAATTGGTAGCAAGTTGAGACCAATTGAGGCATTTCAAAGAGTTGATTAAGGGTGATGGTCCCCTAAATTTGGACAGATTTTTTTAACCTTTTGGTGGATTTAATACATTATTACCTTATTTCACCTGGAATTTAATTCTAAAACTTTTTTACCCTTATTATTTTCTGCGTTTTTTAAAATAAACAATGTTTACACTCCAATATATTTTATAAATTTATTAACTCTACCGGTTTCGGCCTAGACCATCATCAGGAGTCTCGTTGTATAAGGTTGAGGTTAGGAAACACATTCAAATTTACATTCAAATTTTGATATTAATGGACTAAACTTAGAAAACAAGAATAGGGATGTAGCAAATGTGTCAAGTGGTAGAGTTAATAAATTTATAAAATATATTGGAGTATAAACATTGTATTTTAAACAACACCTATAATATACTAATATGGATGAAAACCCATTTACCTATTACTTATTATTTTCCTTTTTATTATAGATTCCCACCGTCAAGTTAGCACTACATCAAAAGTGCAGTACCTCAAAAATTATTCATAAAAAAGCACGCGACAAATTTGTAAACTTTACGACAAATTACAACAAGTTAAACGACAATTAATGACGTCCTTAGTTTTTTGTTATCTAGGTTCTATACCATAGATTCCCACTGTCAAGTTAGCATTACCTTAAAAATGCATTATTTCAAATATTGTTTATAAAAAAGGATGCGAAAAATTTGTAAACTTTACGACAAATTAAGCGACAATTAATGCACTAGTTTTTTTTTATTCAAATCGCAAGATGTAGTGCCAACTTGACAGACGTTAAAATCAAAATAACTCGAAAACGAAAGACGCTAGGTACCAATAACTTTTATGAAAGTTAACATATTTTTTAACATACAATTAAGAGGTGTAATAAAAACAATAGCATTCCATTCAAAATAACGAAGTTATGATCTACTTCCGGTAGACCGGAAGTGTAAACTATCTTGAAAATATTTTAGATGGAAAGTTCCGAATGAACAACCCATACTACCAAAATTTCAAAACTACGAATAGTGGAACCTAAAAAAATTCTAACGAACCAGTTACATGAAACACCGGTATGTGATGTAAAGTAAGTAAAAGTACCACTCATCATCAGTTCATATTGGATGTTTTGTAATTCCATTATTAATCCACCAAACGAAATGACTTGAAGGACAACAAAAACAGGTACTTTGAATGAACCACATAAATTAGCCAAATAACAAGACACAATTAACCAAAAAATAACAGACGCCATATGGAATTTAAAATTGTTTTCTGGTTTCCATAATACAATTACCGCCGATGCATAACATATTACCAACAAAAGAACCTACAAAAATAATTAAAACATTTTAAAAATGATTATAAAAAAAAATTTAAACCCATACCAAAGTTGTATTAGAATTATCAATCAAAAACGAGATAAACCAACTTCCATTATAAATAACACTGCATATAAAATTGACTAGAATCAAAGGTGTGTAATAATAAATTATATGCACTGTTGGTACACTGATCACAATCGTAAGAATAAACTTTAGATGCTTTAACAATTTATTCCCCAATACTTCTGATAACTTATCCGTAACCTTAACTGGTACCAGTAATATTCCAAAAATTACAGGGGTATTTGACTCTTCCAAAGCCGCAAACCAAGCTCGACATCTTTGTGCAAGTTTGTATTTTAATGGATGTAGAACTGATCCGACCAGTAAAGCCCACATCAGAGGTTTTATAAAAGGTTCTAAGATTAAATAGAGAGCCCATCCTGCCGCACATCCGAGTACTAATAAAAATATCGCCAATGCATTGTATACAGCATGTTTTACTGGTTTATCATGTCCTTGGGGTAACGTTCCAAATATGCTTATTATATTTTCTAAGGGAGAACGATAATCCATTTCTTTATTTTAATACGGGCGTGGATCACTTCACTGAGTCGAAGGTATTTTATCTATTGCAATTTTTCTATTTCATAATATCGATAGTTTTTGAATGACACATGCTGTTGACGTTTAAAGGGTACGTTCAGAAATCAATAACAATCTTTTTTTGAGTTGTTGTAGAGTAATTGTAGTATATATTTTAAAGTAATTTTTATTATTATTATATTAATTAGATTGTGGGAGTTAGTTACATTTTTTTTACGTAAATTTATTTCTATTAATATGATGATTGTATTTTTGAACGTATCCAAAATATAAGGCACAAATTATACAAAAATACGATTTGTATATACAGAAAAATTAATTTTTGATACACAAATAGATGAAAATATTAAACTGTAACTTAAATAGGTGGAAGTACATATAATTTTGTAACGTTCTGTTTTAACTATAATCCTGGATGTAATTAATCTAATCAAGCTCAACTTTTAACATTATAAGATGTAAACTTTGTGGTTTATTATTCTCTGTAAATCATTTAAATACATTTTGTACATATTGCAGATGTTCCGTAGATTAATAAACCCAAAATTGGTTAGATATTCTTCTTAATTGATACCATATTTTGTAGTTCTTCTATCAACTTGGTTGATAGTAAGTATAGAGTAAGTTTTCTGCACTGAGCTATTCAGCTTCTCTTATGTGCCCATGATTACACAAACGAAGCCATCTAAGTACAGCAATTTCAGCAATTTCATTTTAATCAATCTTTTTCAGGTATCTTTTTGTAAGGTACGGCTCTTACATTGACGTGTGGGTATGCAATGCGTATTCAACAAATTGAAATTTGTCACGCAGTTGTTTAATTTGGCGAAAGAGGTGGAAAATAACAAAAAAATATTAATTATTAATCATCAATTTAATTATCAATAATATCACTGTAACAATTCGTGATCTTATGGTTTTCTATGTTGTATTGAAAAGACTTTAATTAATTTTAAACCATTTTATTTATAAGTAACTTAACAAGTATCGATAAGTTCTTAATGATAGTCTACGATTGACTGTATAAAAGCAACTAATTCTAGTTGACAGGAAACAAGTAGTTCACTGACACGTGTGTCGTCAGCATATTGCAATTCATTATGATGTTTTCGACTCTTGAACTACACGTTTTCAATATTATGCAAAAATAAAATAATAAAAATTCCTTAAAACTGAACTAAATGAAACTATTAACTATATGTTACAACCACAAAAACACAAACAAAACATACCAAACAAATAGAACGTCAACAATTAGTACAATTGTTAATTAAAATTACTTACAAGGGGTTTCAAATCTCATTTTTCTCAACCTGCTTCTCTTGACCGAAGATTTCACTTCTTAACTCTATTTTTCTTCTTCTTTTCTAGTTTGCGTTCCGCCGAACTACAACTGTTCTGGAAAAACTCTACTGGACTCTAATCTTTTCCATTGAACTTCTCCTCTGAACTTCGCTCTCGGAACTGCAACTCTTGACCGAACACCAAAAACACACTTTGAACACAAGACAAACTCTCAAAAAAAACTGTTGCTGGACTCCCCTTCTCTGAGCAAGTATTCTTTGCTTTTTGATGTTTATTTGATTTGTAATTCTTTGTAACCCTCGATTTATCAATATTTTTAAATATCCATGGTTTGCAATTGGATATACAGGTGTTTTAAAACAACGTTTAAATATTTATAGGGGTAGTACTACAGTCAAAAACAAATCGAAAAATGATAATGAACCGTTTTCGAGATACAGAATGTTTAAATTTTTTGAGACTCTACGTTTTTTCTTTTAAACTTTGACTACTACAGATTTGATACTTAGCAATTTGATACAGTATGAAACTGTCTCTTTTTGAGAGTATATAGTATGATGTTTCCATTGCTTCCGGTAGGACCGAAAGTGAAAATAAATATCACTATTTTTCAGAAAATTCAAAAATTTTATTTAACAGTTAGTTTTTAATTAACATTTTTTAAAGTAAATTATTAGAAAAATTGAATTAATAATAATAATAAATGTCTTTATTGCACAAACCGTTGAATACAGTAAAAGAAAAAATATATCACTCTAAACTAGAATGTTTAAACAACAATAAATCAAAAAAATCAGTACCTAACAATACAAAAAAATGAAAAGAAAAAAACTGGCATTGTGTAATAGGCGGGCTCCAGATACAATCTGTTTAACCAACCTTAGCACAAACATAAACTTAATATTAATTATACTACACTCGTCCCACCACAAAGACAATACAATTTCTCGAATATTCCTCCTTCTCTTGCTCTGAACGTTAAAATAGAATGCATTCATATGATTAACTATGACAAGGCTACACATTGCTCCAGAAATTTATCTTTATATAGTGTTTCTTCGAAATTATTGATATTTACTTTTTTGATCATAGGCGGTAACGTTCCATATGACTTATATATGTGATATGTTTAAGATCTGTGAAACAAAAAGGTTCTGTATTTTAGTTAATATATACCATATTTTAATCTGGTCTGTAGAGCATTGTTCGCCCTTTTAAAAGTAATTTTCTCATACAAGTATGTCGGTGTATGTGTTGTGATGATTTTATGAAACAAAACCAAACTGTGCAACTCTCGGCGGGTATCCTGTGCCACCCAACACCTTTAAGTTTGTGTGAGATTCTGTCATACTTCCGGATTCCAAAAATGAACCTAAGGCAACTATTTTGAACTTTCTGTACGCGATTCGATGTAAGCACATCTATAGCTGGATGATACACAGGGGCCATAAAGTTGAACTGAGACAGCACAAGAGAATCACATACCTGTTTTTTTTAAATTTTATTGAAAGAACGGATAGGTGAGGATAAAGTTTTCTTAAACATGAATACGACGTTTTCATGTAAATATTAATTTGAGTTTTGAATCTGAAGGTGTTATCTATTGTTAAACCAAGGCATTTTGCTTCCTTAACAACATTAATTCTTGAACCATTTATATTAATATCAAGATCCAAGTTCAGCCCTGTGATCCCCCTCCCTCTCCCGAAACATTCACACGCAGACATATTAGGATTAATATTTAGTTTATGAAACGTTGCAATATTAAATGTAGTAGACATTTCCTCATTAAAACGCATCTGTGCTAGATTCTTATCATTTTCATGAAAGGACAAATAACACAGTCAAATATCATCAGCATACATATTGACTTTACAATATTGCACCCATCTACTAAACTGCGAAGTGTACAATGAGAACAAGAGAGGCCCCAACACCGAACCCTGTGGTACACCATTCAAAACTCTAACTATGTGAGACAAATCATCACCGATCCTTACCCTTTGAGACCTATCACAGAGGTAGTCACCCAACAAAGATACCGCATCTGAACTCAGCCCCAAATTATACAGAATCTCACCCAAAACCACGTGATTAACGGTATCAAACGCTTTAGAAAAATCCAGGAAGACCACAGGAGTGTACAATCCAGTGTCCTTGTTCGTAAGAATATCATCCGTTAGGCGCAACATTGCAGTTGTACAACTATAGCCACTTCGAAAGCCAGACTGCTCCTGAGGCAACAACTCTCCACGTAACTCACCAACTGCTGCTTCATAATTTTTTCAAGCACCTTAGATAACGTTGGAAGAATACTTATTGGTCTAAGATTTTTCAATTGCTTGGGATCATCAACCTTTGCCAAAGGAATAACTATCCCTTGCTTCCAAAGCGCAGGAAATTTACTCTCCGAAAGACAATAATTGAGAAAATGAGTCAGTGCTTTGATACCAACGCTCTATCCCGGTAGGCCATGCAATGGGACCCCCTCGCCCTATCCATCTCCCAGGAAATCTTTCATTCAAATATTCTCTATCAAAGTGTATCCTGCATAAACCAGAGATTTAGTCTTTGATTTAACGGTAAGTCTTCCAAAACTTGAAGAAGAGTGTTTTCCAAGAAATCAAAGTATGTTGGACCGTTTAATGGTTGTGGTAAAACTATCGGTCCCAACAACTTATCCCCTACCGCGCCTAACCAGATATTTAAACTAAAACGCCTGATGTTTGGTTTGAACAATGGTTCGAGGATTCTTGTCAGACCACACATGATTATTGTGTAAATTGAATATTCCATTTCTTTTAAAACCAGCTTTATCGGTAAAAAGTATGTTAGCTGAGAATTCTCGACGTTCAGCAGTTCTCGTAAAAACTATTGACAGAATGTCAACCGTGCGTGGTAATCCAGAGGATTGAGGTCTTGCACACGTTGGATATGGTAAGGGTAAATAAGTTGCTCCCGGAGAGTTCTCCAAACAACATATCCACTTGTACTCACTTGAGCCGCTATTCTTCTCACACTCTGCTTCTTGCTTCGGGATTTTCAGCAACTGTATTTAAAATGTTGTTCTTCGAATCCCGATGATCCCGATTATTCTGCCATTTCAATAGATTGCTAGGATCTGATCAGATCCACACTTCAACCATTCACTCCCAAAGTAATGGCATATTAGAAAGATTCCAAACAACCCTTAAAATTGCCATTGCTCTCAGAGGAAACGGCTACAAGTGGCATAACGACTTCCCAATTATACTATTAGGCCTTAGATATTCAATCCCTCCGCCTACCAGGAGAATTTATTGTTACTTCACAAGACCATTTAGAAGTGGAACCGCTTCTATCTAGTCTTAAAGAAACATTTTCAAATTTAAAGCCAGTACCTACTTCTTTCCATTCAAAAATTAAACCGGAACTCTACCCGGGTCTTAATACGGATCTTTACTTTTTCAAACTATCAAGTTCTTTTAGACGGTGAAAAAGTGATTGAAACGTAACATGCGAAGGTTGCCGCCGATTGGGAAATGTTTCAGTATAGAAACGACGTGCTCTCAAAGCATTTCCATTGGCACGACCGTACATAAACGTAATCGCCCATTTCAGCATTTGAATATAAGGCCGTTGCAATCGATTTCACTTCAGGTTTCGCAAAGTCAAATTACTGGAGTTTAGTTATTTCGTAATTTGAACGAAACGTCAAATTAATTTATCTTAATAGATTGTACGTAAGTTAAAGCCTAAACCTTGTAATCGCAAAACTTTGGTAACTAATGGCCGTACACGCGGCATGACGTTTTGTAATGGAATAATTTATACCAACCGAAAGCAATGGAAACATCATACTACTCTCAAAAAGAGATAGTCAAGTATCAAATCTGTAGTAGTTTAAAAGAAAAAACGTAGAGTCCCAAAAAATTTGAACATCCTGTATCTCGAAAACATTCATTACAATTCATTAAAACTTTTCGACTTGTTTTCGTCTGTACACTTATAAATATTTAAACATTGTTTTAAAACATCCTGTATAAAGAAGAGACCAACTTTTTTTTATAAAATAAAATAAGAAATACATATTTTATTTAAATAATTTTTCTCAATAAAAATTGAAACATTTCAAAACAGTGTATCTCAAAAACTTAAGATTTTTCATAAAACTTAAGTTTTATGAAGATTTTTCTTCAAAATCCATTGAAGCTAATGAATATTGAACACTGTTTAAAAAAATATTGCTCAAAAACTAAATGTGATATTTTCATTGACAATTTATGATATTTCCATAAAAATTTTCCAAGAAATGGATTTTATACTAGTTTTTCCACAAAATCCCTTAGACCTAATAAATCGAAAAACTTTAATAGTAATATTTAAAAATCGGCATGTTCGTTAAAAACAAGACACATTTATCAATAATTCATGATATTTCCATAGACATTTATCAAGAAATGGATTTTATACAAATTTTTCTCCAATATCACTTAAATCCATTAAGCTAGTAAATCGTAAAAGTTTAAATCAAATGTACTTCTCAAAAACTAAATGTTATATTTAAAAATCGGTATGTTCGTTAAAAAGGAGATACTCTTATTAACAATTCATGATATTTCTGCAGACATTTTTCAAAAATGGATTTTATATAGTTTTTTTCTACAAAATCCATTATAGGTATGTAATAAATTGTAGAAGTTGAAAACAGTTTACAAAATGTATTTCTCAATTATTAAACATGACATTTTAAAACCGTTGTGTTCATTGAAAAGAAGACACTTTTATTGACTATTTATGATATTTCCATAGAAATTTCCAAGAGATGGATTTTATACAGATTTTTTATAAGATCCATTAAGCTAGTAAATCGTAAAAGTTTAAGCCATTTAAAAATAAATGTTAATTCTCAACAACTATACGTGATATTTAAAAATCGGTATGTTAGTTAAAAAGAAGACACTTTTATTAACAATTCATGATATTTCTACAGAAAAATGGATTTTATACAAATTTTTCCACAAAATACCTTAAAGCCAATAAATCGTAAAAGTTTAAGCCATTTAGAAAAAAATTTTTTCAAAAACTAAACATGATATTGTAAAACCGATATGTTCATTAAAAAAAAGACACTTTTATTACCAATACATGATATTTCCAAAGAAATTTTTCAAAAAATGGATTTTATACAATTTTTTTTACAAAATCCTTTATATCTAATAAATTGTAGAAGTATAAAACGGTTTAAAAAATTTATTTATCAAAAATTAGACGTGTCATTTTAAAACCATTGATGTTCATTGAAAAGAAGACACTTTTATTGACAATATTTCCCTGGAAATTTTCCGAGATGGATTTTATATTGATTCTTTTATAGGATCCATTAAGCTAGTAAATCGTAAAAGTTTAAACCATTTAAGAAAATTATTTCCCAAAAACTAAACGTTATATTTCAAAATGGGTATGTACGTTAAAAAGAAGACACCTTGTTCACAATTTATGGTATTTCTATTGAAATTTGCCAAGAAATGGATTTTATAAAATTTTTCTACAAAATCCCTTAAAAGTAATAAATCTTAAATGTTGAAAGCCGTTTAAAAAAATTACTTCTAAAAAACTAAACGTGATATTTGAAAATCATTATATTTATTGAAAAGTAGACACTTATATTAGCAGTTTATGAAAGATCAAGGGAAATTTTCAAGAGAAGTAATTGATTTAAAAACTTTAAAAAAACAAATGTCAAATTCTTGGAGTATTAATTAATTATTTCACCTTATCGTCTTTATTAAAACACCTCAAGGTGATTGAGGTTATTATAGACATTCAACGTTTTATAATTTATATAACTCCAATTTAATTTTTTATGAGCAAATTGTGTATTGTTTTTATCTTTAACTACCGATTATAAAGGTTGTTAAATTATAAGAAAATGTTTTTAATACTATATTGAGTAAATGTTCTTTTTATTGTTGATGTAAAACAATAGCATTTTGAAATAATTATTTTTAGCCATTACACAAAGCATTTAAATTAGCTGGATCTAATTGTTTTGCATACAACCGTACGAAAACTTCTAATGGGCAGTAGATTCCACAATTTTCAATGAAAAGAGGTTGAGGTTCCAAATTATCATCATTGTTTTCATGTAGAAACTAAAAATATTAATTTTAAAGAAATCTAATACATTCTTTTTTGTTACCTTTAAGAAATAAATTCCAAGATATTTTTGAACTTCAATGATAATATGAGCTCCGTAATTGGGACTGTGGGGAACAAACTTTTCTAAGTAATATAACATTGCAGCAACGTTAAGGTCGTGTCCTGAATACAAACAAATTTTTAAATTTTTTGCAGCATTTTCTTCATTTATCGCCGAGTAAGTGTTATTAATAATTTTCGACATTAAAAATCCAGCACCTAAGGTCTTTAAATCGCCTATTCCTGTATAATATTTCCAGATATATTTCGATATTTCTGATAAAATGTCAGGGTAAACCGATTTAGCCCAGGTTGGTATTTCCATATCAGCTTCTTCTTCTGATTTTAAAGTTGAGTATAAATTTCCAGCCACACTTAAAAGATTTCCAGTTAAACCCGTATTTTCTTGTAAAAACGGAAGTAAATGATTATATTTTTCAATAATCGGATCAGAATCGAGATTTTTGTAACTCTCATTCATTAATATATTCATATTTGGGCAAATTGACATTGGGGCGAATAAATTGTTTTCTTTCAGTGGTAAATAATCGTAAGGAATTGGTTCCCACAGTAAATCTTTATTCCAAATTAATTCTTCGGATGGTGGATATAAACCTGCTAAAACCGATTCTAAACTTGCTCTACATCTTGGATAATGCGAAGAAACTGCATATAAAACATCCGGCGTGTAAACATCTCCAAGAAGTTTGTTATATTTTTTACGGAGATTTCTTCCAATGTTAAACGCTCTTAATTTTCCTTTATTTGTTAAATGGCCAATTCTAAATGGATAGAAATCGTCTTCGGTGTATGGATCTTTTGGGTATAAAGAATCTGGAGTTCTATCGCCATGTCTAAATACCTTAATTAAAATAAAAATAGTGACGATGAAGTAATACAATGATTTATATATATGTGTATACATTAAAGTTAATTAAACCAATAATTGACTTACAACGTGTACTAATTTTAAAGTTGATTCAATACTAGCAAAATTAGATACATCATTAGCAAACGAAAATACAAAAAATGAGACGAAGAAAACAAATAAAGTTTTCATTTTTTCGACGAACAGCACTCGAGCGATATTTTAAAGTATTTCCCTTTTTATATGATTTTTTTAATCATCATTATCGGTACTTTTTAGATGATTTGAGACATTTTACAATCGTTTAATTCCAATTTCGATTCAGTAATATAAATAAACTCATTATTGTTTCTTATCATTAATAAGGAAATGTTTTTGTTTCAATAATTATTCCAAGATTCCACATTTTGTAAAAATCAACAAAATTATCATGTTGCCATTTAAATGCGAAACTAAATAAAACGGTTCTAATAATGGGTGAGATTGAGGGAAAGCAGCCATACCAAAACAGATTCTTGATAAACTTAAACCTTCTTGAAAATCTTAAATCAAATCTCAGTCTCTATCTTAAATCAGTCCCACTATTAACCATACTAACTACAAAAATTATCCAAACTTAGACTGTAAACAATATTTCTAAACTACATTTTTATTAAACTAAAACTAGAACTAACACTAGCACTATCACTAGAACTAACACTAGACCCAGAACTAGAAACTTTTGGGTTAAGCCCTTTGAAAACGTCTTTTCTAACAATTAACGAAAAAACGGCGCTACGAACTATAAAAGAACAACAGACATCATTATCCTACCAGCAGAAAATGGGAATGCGGCGACGAGATGATGAGCCTTTTGGTTCCAGCCACCTATAAGAAAATAAAAAGGAATCCAAACGAGAAGATAATAAGGAAAATAAAAGAATTGGTAAAATCTACTGGAATTCAGCAGAACAACAGAGATTTGTTCGTACAGGTCCCAGTAACACCAAGAATATATGGATTTCCTAAAATCCATAAACCGGATGTCTCGCTGCGCCCTATTATTAATGCCATAAATTCTTCTATGTATCAGCTGGCAAAACACTTTGCCAACATTTTATCTCGTTATACAGGTAAAATAGAATATGTCACAGATTCTACGCATTTTGAGAAATCAATCAGAAGTATGAAGTTAGCTTCCTAGATATCCTTGTAAGTTTTGATGTGTAATCTCTATTCACCAGAGTACCAGTAAACGATGCCGTGAATGGTCTGCTTCAGAAACTCATTTCAGAGGGCTTAGTTTGTAGGGCCAGAGTATATTCCAGTGCTATTGGAGTATTTCCTATCATCGACATATTTTAGCTACAAGGCAGAATTCTATGAGCAATGCAAAGGACCAGCCATGGGTTCATATGGGCACTGACACCTGCTACCGTCAATTTGTACATGGAGATGTTTGAATAGGAAGCGTTAAGGAAGAGTCCGTGAAGCCAAAGCTGTGGCTCCGTTACGTGGATTATACAAGTACTTCTGTGATCTGGAAATACGGAAAAGAGCGACACCAGGAATTTCTAAACCATCTAAACTCACAACATTCCATGATCAAATTTACCATGAAACCGATACATTTCTAAAAGCAGTTACCTTTTCTTGTATTGGTCACTACGACGATAAATGAGGGCATGGAACTGGGAGTGTATTGGAAGAGAATACATACAAACAGGTAAGTACCTGCAGGCTTCATCCCTTCACCATCCGTAACAGAAGAGGTCCGTGATCCAAGCCTTGTTCCAACGTGCAGAAAAGGTATACAACAAAAAATTTAAAGAAAGAAGAAAGATTCCTACAAGATGGACTGCAGAAGAACGGCTACACTACGAGGGATGTCCAGCGAGCGTCCAAATCACGAAAACGGAGGGAAGATTCGGTATGATTCAGGTGTGACGGAGCGGATTGCGAAGAATAATATCGTGGTACGATACGGTAAGATCACCAAAATAACCCATTTAAAGGGAGCGGGAATCTCGGCAATCATGTAGTTGGGGGAAGTATTACGTTAGCTAAACTAAAGGTAACGTCGAGTGCCGCATCAAGGATTATGAGAGGGATGTCCGACTGAATAAAATCCAACAGTCTGCAGTCGCAGAGCATTGCTACAAAGGAGGAGTACGACAAAACCAACGTGCTAGCAAGAATCGGACATTATTTCCAAAGAATAACAAGACAGGCGATAAAGATTCATCGACATGGGAACAACATGAATAGAGAAGACGGTTGGGAACTCGGCCACTTCTCCACACAGTTTTGACAAACACGTAAAGAACTTAGTTGACAATTAGAGAGTAATTGCTGTTAATGGATTATAAATGATCTTTACATGTATTTATTGTCAAACTTTAACATGGCATCCCAAACATTAAACGCTTTTTCAAAAACGGGCTTAACCAGAAAGTTTCTAGTTCTAGGTCTAGTTTTAGTTTTAAGCCTTACCTTCGTAAGTTACAATTTCTATTGACATATTCCTAAACTTTGGTATTCAGTAGATAGTTCCATAAATTCTTGATGGAATTTATATCTGAACTTTTTGGTTGTGTCCTCATTATATGACGACAATTATACAAGTGATAGTAGTTTGTGTACCTTGGATATCTTGAATAGTTATCTTGGTAGAATCGCTAGTCAACAAGAGATAGTTTATGCTCGTTTTGAGGTAAATTTCTTCTAGATACGCATTATATCAATTGTTTCTTCGATGAAGTGCAAGGATTCTCTGCACCGTAATTACAACGCCAAAAATTTTCTTATTTCTTTCTTATACATTGAGAATACATTAAAACGATTTTGACAGAAGATACAATGAAGTTCAATGAAGAAATGATCTCTATGATTAATAATAACAACACATTTGTAGAAAATAACTGTTTTAGTGATGAAATACTTTTTATTTACATATATCTGCAGATAAACTGAAACGAAATTCCTTATCTGAGTGTAAAAGGCCACACACCATACTCAGAAAAAAATTAATTCCATTGTTTATCAACTGAACAAAAATTCCATTCTCAAATAAACTTCAATTGGCCTCCTTTACTGAGGTTGTTGGTACTATTGACGCTGAAGTACTATTGATATACTCGGCCATAGGTTCTTTACTACTTTGTTTGATTAAGAATTGATCGACATAATAATTATGCAGTGAAGTCCATACAGCGTGCAAATAGGTTTGGAAGAAGCTGAACTAAGAGCTTTTTGGGCATGTTGATTCTGATGGCCCTTGACTACCTTACCTAGTGTTCAACTTCAATTAGCAACAGATGTAAACTTCCATAAGGCCAGAGTTACAGAGGTAAGAAGAATGCCTATAATTTTTTTTTAAAATATTGCGTTTCTTCAAATAATCTTCAATAGTTCAACGATATCAAAGAAAGAAGGACCCAATTTTGATATATTGTACACAATAATATCCTTAATGAATATATTGAATAAGAATTTCTTAGCAGCAGAGAGTAAATTTAAGAGAGTAATTTTTCGCATATGATATGAGACGTTAGGTTAGCGATTTGTTCTTGAGTATATAATTGTTCCAAGGACAAAGTTATTGCATTTCTTCGATAACTTTTTTATGGCTTTATATTATCTTCGAACATTTTTTGGAAAGATTTTTATATGGAACTATTCGTACGAATTTCCAGAAAAAAAGATCTTGTTGGTAATAGTTTGATAGTTTCTTTTCTTAATCTCCTATGCACACATGCCTTGCAAGAACTTGATTTGACCACTACATTCTTTCTTCTACTACTTTCATTGAAAATTTTCATATTAAAGATATCATCAATTTCACATCAAAAATGGGAAAAACCTTGTTTTGTCCATCGCCTGGCACCTGGAGTTCATTCTTATACTTTCTATTTTCAAGATTTTTTTCTTTTCTTTTTGAAAGCAATCTGAGATACAACTTTAAGGTGGTGATTATATGTTCCAGCACTAAGTAATAACGCGAATTACTACAACTATTGTCCAAATCAATTAAAGGACACAAAATATTCATGCCACTTATGCCAACGCCAAACAATCGGATCACCAAAACTAACTATTAATTTCATACGCATTTTTGATATCGACTAACCGTTCTTGGTAAGCACTTTACACACAAATTAAATCCTAATCTCATTACGTCTCTGCACTTGTTGCCTTATCTACTTTGTTTAGTTGCAATCACTCGCAGCCTTCAAATTCACTACCGATATGTTAAATATCTTCGTTACTTTATCTTAACAATATAGGAATTATTAATATTATCAGTCACATTATAAGCAATAAATATGAATAAATTTATATTTCAAATAAATTAAAAAAATGTACACGAAAGCAAACACAACATAAACAACTTAAAATATTATTTAGACACACTTATTGAAGAAATAGTTGATACAGAAGATGGTACATAATTTTCGAACGTTTGAAAACTCTTTACAGTCTTTATAGATGATCGGTCAGGGGAAACTGATATTCTAGAAATTGAACTAAGTTTTTCAACTTTTCCACTATGATTAACACGCTCTTTATCAGGTTTTATTATGTATTTCATCTTTTGGCTGGTTGACATGTTGTTCCATATTTTCGTTACATTTGACGCTATCTTAACAATTGATAAATTTGCATGTTCCTTTTTGTATTCCCTGAAGAAACTTATGAATGGCGTCTTGGGTGGTTTTAACATGGGAGATTTTGGGTAACAAATTTTACAAGAAGAATATTTTCGAGAAACGGAGTCTGATGGTGTTAACGAAGGTGACGATAAGGTGGGTGAGAGTGATAGTGATTTATAAGATCTTGCATATCTTGCATATTTTGGTTTAACTTTTCTATCATTTTTTTTATTGCGACTTTTTGTTCTTCTTCCCCTGCGCATTTTTAGTAGATCGATAATAACTTATTTTAACTGTCTTTACCAAAACCAACCAAAATAAAAGACAATTACGACATATACTAAAATTTTGACGATGTTAATTTTGTAAAGAGATCGTCATGGAATTTTGAATGTCATAAAAAATTGTCAAAATTTTCAGTGTTTAGCGTCCAAATTTTTAATACCTACTTGAAAACAATGCCTAAAGATTACAGACCGTCAAAACGTCCAAATAGAAAGTTTAAATCTAAATCACCATTACCAGCAAGAATAAGTCGAAGAAGTGTATCACCTATAAAGAAATTAATCAGAAAACGTTCGGAACACGATACACTTTCCGAAGCGGCACCGAAAACGCCCTTCATTAATTTTTTTAGAGAATACAAGAAACGTCATCAAGACGTTCCGATTGTTAAAATGGTATCGGCTGTTTCCAAATTATGGCATACAATGCCTTTGAGGCAAAAGAAAAAATATATTGTTGATGCAAACAGTGATTTAGTGAAATATCGTTCGAAAAAACACGGTGATAATTATGATCCATCTGGGGGAATGTTACCTTCTATCACATCTAACCCAAAATTATCTACGTCTCAATCTGATTTTTCATCTGAATCAACATGTTCTATGGACAATCAACTTTAAATAGTTTTTTGTTAATTCAATGTGTATTTATATTAATAATTTGAAATAAAATTGAAAGATAGTAAACATAAATAGGTATATCAAAGTTTTATTTTCGGTTTTTAAACATTAAGGTAAATTGCTTATTTCTGATATTAAATACAGGGTGATTTATTAGCCCACCATCAAACTTTGACATATGATAGCTAATACAATTGTCAAAAAAAAATGTTAATGAATATGTGTCCTATTTCAATTATTTACGAAATTATAATACTATATCACTATAATACATATATAACACGTTAAAGTTTTCTGCAGTGAATTTATTAATAGTCAGTAAAATCAAACATTCAACAAAAACAAAGTTGTCATTGTAATATGTCAGTTTGCCGTAATGTTTAATTATTACATTACACACAAGAAGAAACATAAAATGTACGCTTATAGCACTAAAGAGTATGCTGATATAATTTTCGTGTATGGTTTTGCAATGGAAATGCTCGACAATCAGTACGAGAATATCAAGAAAGATTTCCACAGCGTCATTTACCTAAAAACTGAATAATATCAGTTTTTAGCGATTCTTTCAGAAGACTTTGAGAAACAGGTAATCCCGCTCCAGCAAAAGCTATTTGACTATTTGAAGATAAAATCTTAAACTCTTCTAAACCGTTATGAACACGGTATGGTCATTTTTTACTTAACTTTTAGGATTTTTAAATCTGCATCCAACAGTTAAAGCGGCATAATCGCAAACAAATTTCAATAGGTACAATATTGGTTTAAAGTTTGCGCAAATGTCTATTTGAATACGACTTGATTAATGTTTTTTGTGTTTACTGGGAAATCACGTAAATATCGTTTATGCCGTTTTGGCTTGGTTGCGTCGATTTATATTGGAGGTGACCAAATAAAAGAGGCAGTAAGAAAATGGTGTTCAAATTGATGCCTGCGGTGAATATAGTTATTTGGTAACAAAAATAACAACGGATCGGAGAACACGAAAGGAAATAGAAAGCAATAGGCAAAGGAAAAACATCAATTATATATCTATGTCTTCAGGTTACAGTCTTTACCATCATCGTTTTATATGGAAATAAAACTTTGTACTTAACAAGCAACCACGCGCAAAGGTTGTTTGTAGTGCTAGAGATAGATTACTGGCGAATAAGAAACGACAGCAAGAATCGAAAGAATAAGGGACTCAACAAAAACGAAGACGAAAAAGAGAATGCAAAACTTGCTTTTCAATCGGTACCCATTGGAAAGCAAGTTTTGCATAGAAAGGAGGAAGCGAGGAAAATGAAAGGTTTCTTAAATAAGCAACCTGAGAGCTACTAAATGTAAAGAAAATTCGAATAGATTTAGTACTTTACGATGGTTTGCAAGAAACAGAAGTTCTTCTATGCTAAGGCAATCAATTGCTTTTGTGACATTGCCGCCAACGACTTGTTCCATTGAAAGGAATTTTATGACATTGAGGAGAGTGAGCACGTGGTTTAGATCTACAGGCTGGTCCATTTAATATGAGACAAGCGATTATCTTGAACACGGTTCATTTTACTTAAAAATTAACCAAATGAAAGTTGTTCTGTGCGAAGAGGGAAACCATATGACGATAACATTTTTTGACCTTGACCTTATTTTCAAGGTTATATGACGGTCACGACCAATTTTTTAAATGGCACCCTATGTTTTTGATTGCAAAATCTGAATCTATGGATAAAAGTAAAATAATTAAAAAAAAAGAAAAATTACCGTGTGTTTTTGCCAGTACGACGGCGAAACATCTTTTGTAGACAGCTGGACACCCATCATTTTGCAGCCACATATTTTGTCTTTCATCCCTGCTCAAATCTACAAGTAACGTTGGTAAGACGTCATCTAAAAAATGTCAGTACTTCTCCCCATTCAGCATACCATCAATAAATGGACCGATCAATTTATCACCAATTAGGCCACACCAAACATTAACCGACCAAGGTCGTTGATATACTACTTCACGCAACCATCTCGGATTTTCAACGCTCCAATAGTGCGTGTTATGTCTATTGACTTGTCCTTTGTTTGTAAAAGTAGACTCATCCGAGAATACCACGTTACCAAAGAAACTGACGTCCAACCGCATTCGTTCTTGTGCCCATCGACAAAATATTAATCGATTTTCAAAATCACCTCCATAAAGCTGTTGATGCAATGAAATGTGGTATGAGTGATACTTGTTGCGCTTTAATATTCTTAAAATGCTGGTCTTCGATATTCCGGCGTCAATTGCAAGTCGTCGAGTGTTAACTTGAGTGCCTTTTCTTGATTCCACATTTCCAGTGATAGTGAAATCATTCACAACTCTGTAAAAGATACTTCTCGAAGGCGTATTTCGATCAGGATCACTTTCTCCATAAATAAAAATCATTTCGACTTTTTCTGCCACACTTAGAGTATCCATGATTTAATGACTTAGTTTAAACACTTTGCCTTAATGTAATTCGATGGAATGAATTTAGAATTTGTTGCCAAGCAGTTTTTATGCAAATTTATTTTTACCTGTTACATTTTAAAATAAACCAATTAAGATAAACCAATAAATCAACCAATTAAGTCTGTGAAAGCGATATTCTGAAAATGCCGACATAAGCAGATCCAAGATCCAGAACTCTTGTTTTTTACGCGTTATTCTATTATCAAATTGACAAAGGTGGAGAAATGTGGGAACCTTTTAGACCTCTTTCCAAAGGTATTTCCGACGAGCCAGGTCACCCGATGTCTGGATTTCTTTTGTTGAGCATTCTTAAATAGTATTCTAAGAATTAAGAACTAAAGACAATGTAGCAAAGCTGTAGCAATGCTTCAATTTTTTTCAAAAGATGTTTTGCCGTTGTACTGGCAAAGCCACAGTACATTTTTTTTATTTTTTTTTAATTACTTTATTTTTATCCACAGATTCAGATTTTGCAATCAAAAACATAGGATGCCATTTAAAAAATTGGCCGTGACCTTCATATAACCTTAAAAATAAGGCCAAGGTCAAAAAATGTTATCGTCATATGGTTTCCCCCTTTGCACAGAACAACTTTCATTTGATTCATTTTTATGTAAAATGAACCGTTTTCGTGATAATCGCTTGTCTCACGTTAAATGGACTCACCTCAAGGACAGTAGAATCTAACAGGACTGCTACATCCATTGTTGTGACCACCTGCCCGCAAACTACGTCATACCATTTTCCACGCCCAGCTGTTGTTATGGTCCATGTTTGGTGTGAATTATTAGAGGTTATATCCTAGACGTATTCATTATATTTTTGAAGTTTTATGTTTTTAGACGTATTAATGTCTATCATATAACCTCTAAAAACACAGACAGTTACCAGGCGTGGCAAATAGTGTGACGTAGAGTGCGGGCAACCAACCCCTAGTGGACTACAAAAATACAATGGATGTAGCAGTCCTGTTAGATTCTACTGTCCTTGGACTCACCTGTTTAATGACTGATTAGCGACAGCGTGGACTGTGCATGTTATATTTATCGAAAGCAGGACCCCAAAGAAATTAGTTTTTGCATTTTCTAGTAGGTAAGAATAATAAAAATATTTTAGATATAAAANTTCAAAATTTGTTGCCAAGCAGTTTTTATGCAAATTTATTTTTACCTGTTACATTTTAAAATAAACCAATTAAGATAAACCAATAAATCAACCAATTAAGTCTGTGAAAGCGATATTCGGAAAATGCCGACATAAGCAGATCCAAGATCCAGAACTCTTGTTATTTACGCGTTATTCTATTATCAAATTGACTGAGGCGGAGAAATGTCGGAACCTTTTAGACCTCTTTTCAAAGGTATTTCCGACGAGCCAGGTCACCCGATGTACCTCTTCTGGATTTCTTTTGTTGAGCATTTTTAAATAGTATTCTAAGAATTAAGAACGAAAGACAATGTAGTGAAGCTGGTAGGAAAATGTTTAAAAATTCATAAATCTTATTTGTTCTTGTTAGTTAATTGTTTCTGAAGAAGTTTCAATTTTTTTCAAAAGATGTTTTGCCGTTGTACTGGCAAAGCCACAGTACATTTTTTTAAAATTTTTTTTTAGTTACTTTATTTTTATCCACAGATTCAGATTTTACAATAAAATTTATAGAGTGCCATTTAAAAAATTGGTCGTGACCTTCATATAACCTTAAAAATAAAGTCAAGGTCAAAAAATGTTATCGGCATATGGTTTCCCCCTTCGCACAGAACAACTTTTATTTGATTCATTTTTATGTAAAATGAACCGTTTTCGTGATAATCGCTTGTCTCACGTTAAATGGACTCACCTGTTTAATGACTGATTAGCGACAGCGTGGACTGTGCATGTTATATTTATCGAAAGCAGGACCCCAAAGAAATTAGTTTTTGCATTTTCTAGTAGGTAAGAATAATAAAAATATTTTAGATATAAAAAGTAAACAGCAAATGCTGTAAAGGAACATTAAACACACTGAGTTGTGATAACAGAGTTTCTCTGATCTGAGTCCCAGGTCACTCTGGGGTTGCTGGCAATGAAGCGACAGATAAGCTAGCACAAGAGGGCAGCGCTAAAGCATTTGTGGGGCCAGAATTAGCAGTTGGTGTATCATTTGCGATGGCCAAACATGGGATTGGAGTGTGGGCTGAAGAGAGACTTCGCCTACTGTGGACCAGTTCTCCTGGAATGAGACATGTTAAGGTGTTTATTGACATTGACATTGTCAAATCCGGTAATATTTTAGGATTTCTTCGTAGCAGCATTAAAGTTGTATTGGGTGTCTTTACTGGTCACTGCCGATTAATAACACACTTCAACTTGTTGGGTCTAGCTGACATATGTAGCGCCGATACCAAATATAAATAAATAAATAATTTTCATCATACTCAATCCGAAGTTTCTTATTATTATTAATGTATAAGTAGGTACGAAGGTTTTCACGGACGGTGTCATTTAAACTAGAACTAACACTACCACTATCACTAGAACTAACACTAGACCTAGAACTAGAAACGTTCGGGTAAAGCCGTGGGTTTTTTGAAAAACTATTTCACGTTTCGGATACCATGTTGCAACCTTCTTCAGAAACAAGTTCGAAGTAGAACTTTTTCAAAAGACGCGGAAGCTGCTAATTCTAGTTCTAGTGTAAATAGACATTAATGTTTTAGGTAACTGTGACACTATATTCTGGTGTCAATAAATGAATTCTTTACTCCAAAATAAAACCAAAGAAAAGTTTCTGTGCCTTTTTTACTTTTACAATTCATCTTGTAATGTATAATGCTTCGTTAAAACTTAAATTCAGTGGGGAAGCAATGATAAGCAGTAAATTGTTTATGGTGGACATTTCTACACAAAACTGGAAAATAATTTAGTTCTTAATGATCGGCTGTTAATAACATTATCTACTTTTACAGCTTCTGGTAAAATATTTTTTAAATTATTGGTTTCTAAATTACTGCCAGACAAACAGTGACCTCAACGGAAGAAAGTATTCACGAGTCTATCAAGGGTTCGCGTGAAGAATTGGAGTAGTATAGAAATAGAACAAATTTATAATAAAATTGTTATTTTTAAGTATTTTATAGTTAAAGATTAAGATTTAACAAAATTTCCAATTTATTGTAGGTTTTAGTTTTATAACAGCTTTTTACATTAAAAGGTGCTTCACTTATAGTTTTGTACATACTCTTATTCATCATAATAGTGTAACAAATTCAAAAATGAATGAAACGGAAATGAATTGATAAAGAAAACAGCTAGAATTTTCGAAATACATTCATATAATTTAAATATTCACAGACGATTTTGATTGGATAACGGGCAACCTTTTACATATACAATTAATTACAAAATGTAATAGGTGAACACTCGATGTTAGGTATGGGATCGAAATTATTTACAAAATTTTCTTAAAATATTTACATTATTTACAAAGATATACAAATCAACTAGCCGAAATGATATTTTTTTTTTAGTTTATACGATATTATAAACGTGTCGTCGACGAAGTTTCCCACCTTCTTTACTTTTTTTCTTCGCCTTTATAAATTCCTTATTAATATTCATCATACTTTTACATAATTTTAAATTTATTTTCTCACTTACACTTTCTTATAATCGTAAAAGTCATTATTAATTCGCAAAAATCTTTAGATAATTTCAAAATTATCACATTCATTTACATCGTTTTATTTTTTTTTTATATTTTTTTATTTACAACTTGTTTATACACAAAATAACGGTGGTCGCGCAGGGAACAAACTAACAATAATTTATTTAGTATTACACTCACAAAACATAGATTTAACAAATATACCAGTTCATTAAATCGATTATTTAATTTTTTTTATGTTTTTCTTTGAGGGTAGTCGGTTGTGTATCCCTGTAGCAGTCACCAAATTGCAAACATTGCACTTTTGCAATGTCTATATGAATTTGGATTGTCAACCTGAATAAAAACCTTTTTATTTTTTTTATTCTTACTTAAACCTCTTCTATGGCCGTCTTCTGATCGTTAATATTTTAAGAGGAATAATAATTCATAATTCTTGTACTTATCCCCAAAATCCTGTACAAGTGAGCTTAGTAAACCATTACTTTAAGTGTTTACAAAGGAGTGACTTGTCAAACGGTACTTTCTCTTTTATTCACCAATGGAGTATCCACAGAGGGTTCTTCTTCGGCTGACGTTAATGGTTGCATTTGTATGGGTGGTTCCCTAGAAATATTTCTTGCTCTTTGTGGTAAAGTGCCTCTATATTGTACGGGATACACTCCTGGTGGTAAATGTGCAACTGGTCCATATTGCCATTGTGGTTGTCTTGGAAGAGTACATTGTCCGTAAGATCCTATCACTTGAGATGATGGATTATGCTAAAAATTAAATTAATTTTTCAAAATTGCGAAATTATTACTACTACATAATAAAAAACATGAATTCCAAAACATCTGGCAGAGTAACTTGCTATCTTTCATTTGCGTTTTAAATATTCAATGCGATGTTGAGATTAATACCAATCTAAAATTCTGAAACATGCTGTAGCGCGAGATTAACAGAAATGTAAATATAAATCTCGAATAGCCTAACCACATTGTTTTAGATGCAACTGTGGTTGTAAACATCTTGTTTGAAAATCTAAATTACAAAATATCCCACCTTCGTTTGCACTATTAAATAATCATGTTTCATTTTGGTTTTAAATATTCAGTGTGACGGACGTTTAGATAACAATGATTAATACATTGAAATCTATCGGTCAGCAACGCCAAGAGCAGGGTGAGATTAATAACAATTAATGGCTAGTTTCGCTAATTATCCGGCTAATTATTATCGGCGCATTTGACGAATTCAATTATCTCAATGCCGCTATTAGTGGCATTGATAAATTGACGCCACAATTATACATTTATTTTGAAATTAATGTTTTCTTTTTACCATTTTTGTTTGAGTCATTTCGTGTAAAGGAATTCCATTGCGTAAGGTACAATAACCGATGTATCCTGAATTTCCTGCTTGATGTAATAAGCTTCTACTTGGTGACGTTTCTATTGTGGAGACGTGTTGTCGTTTCCTATTGAAATCGGCCATATCGTCAGCGTCAACAGGTTGAGGAATTATATCCGGGTTTTTCTCATCACTGTCACATTCCCCACCGCTTGATTCATGTTTTGAAATTGGACTTCCTCCTAATCATCCAATAATAATTAATAAAATTAATAAATTAATTGATTTCTGATTTTTTACCTGTTTTGTCGCTATATGTTGGCCCGCTAATCGATCCACGATGCTCCAAATTCGATGTGGATACAACTCCGTTTTTTTGTCTTTTTCGTCGACCATCGTTTCGGTTACATTGAACTCGAAGCACGAAGATTACTACCAGTGCTACTATTATTAATGCTGACACGATTCCTATTAAAACACTTGTCATTGGTGTGAATTTAAAGCCTTTATGGATATCTGAAAAATGATAAAGTGAGTTAAAAAAGGTTAAATAGGAGTAACACGTATTTAGTTAGTAGTTATTTGACCTTATGAAATTTGATCATTTGTCAAATCAAAGAAAGTTTTAAACTAATTTTTATTTATCACAAAAAAGGATAGAATAAAGAAAAGGAGAAAGAGATATGAAGGATACTAATCTTACAAGGACTACGATATTCCTTTTTCTATGTTATGTATTTATTTGCGATAAAGCTTATTTGGTTCCGTGATTTACGCAAGAAATTTGAACATTAGAAGTGTAGCCATGCTTCCAGAGAGGGATTGATCATAATGAGTATACATCGGGTGCCGCAGAAAGTTTTCAGCGCTGAAAAGAGTGAAAAAGATGCAAAACAAGGAAACTTGCATTAAGATCATTTGCTAAATATGAAAATAGAGCAATGTAAAATACATAGATGTATATCAAGGAAATGATAGATGGTTGGGTGGAATCTATAAAATGTCAAAGATTTTTTCATAGAAAAAATGTTAATCAGCTATACCAGGTCCATACAATAAACCTGCAATTTCCTCAAGTGCATCGATTGGCTACAATCCTTTGGGCTTTTTCCTTTTCTGAAATATCAGTAGTAACTTTCTTTGGTTTCAAATTTGCTGCTTGTTTTGTACTTGAACGAAATGTATAGTCTCACTTTTGATTATTACGCCCATAATTTTAATTATTTTCAATACAGCGATAAACTCTTCTTTAAAGACACTTGCTGCTATGTGTGTAGCAATTTCTACTGTTTTGAAGCAGGCAGAATATGCTTGGAAACCAATTTACATACACAGCTATTAAAAGATGGATTATTGTTCTGCATATATTGTCCCCGGCATGATTTCAAGAGATTCAAGAGTTTTTTACAAAAATTATAACAGAAAACTGTTGCAATTAACATAGGTATATCTCGTTATTTTATGCTAGTAGCAGAAGACTAGATATGGCTGCGATAATTTACTGCTTGCAGAAGACTGCTGTCAGAAAGACTAGATAATGTTTGCAAAAGACTACGTACTACTGACAAGGGACTAAAGACTGATAGCAGAAGTCTAGATATTGTTTGCAGAAGACCACCTACTACTTATTACAGACTATATGTTACTGACAGAAGATCAGTGTCAGTAACAAACTAGTGCTACAGGCAATAGACTAGATACTGCTAAAAGAAGATAGGCTACTAATTGCAAAGGTTACCTAGTGCTTCCAAAAGACCAGATACTATATTGATAACAAGACTAGATAGTATTGTTTTGAATTTCTCTGTATATTATACTATATACATTAATTTGTTTTTTATATTTCAGTTTTCAGTTTTTTGTTTTTTACATATATTTCATTTTAAATTGCTTTTTATATTTTTTTTGCGTGAAATATTGAGTATAAAATAAGGTCAAATATATGTTATTGAATATGCTTATTGATGTTGATACCTTTTCAAATAATGTTTTGATATTAACACCCTATCGGTATCGAGTATTGACTAACACCACCAGTACCTAATATCAACAGAAGTCGTATTCAGAAGACATGTTTATTTTAATTTGGTGTGGCGGATTGGATTATGTAGTTTATGTTGTTTATAAATAGATTCTGCTAATGGGAAACTATAAACAACCTAATACAAGACTAGATATTGATTACAGAAGCCTGCCTACGCAAGACTATAAAGCTATGATTACACAAAAGTTTATTAATTCAACGCTGCTTAAAGTCCTAATTTATATGAAAAATCAAAGAGAGTGTTTAGGTGAAGTACCACTTCTGGTGATGCGATTTTATTAAAATTTAATATGTATTCGAAATTTTATTAACATAATAACGTTAGATCATGACTAATTCATGGAATGCGTTATAATTTTGGGTCTACTCTTTAAATGATCCTTTTCAAATTTTTAATTATAGAAATAAAACTAAAACCAGAAATGTTCGCGTTATTTATATCTATAAAAACACTGTTGCAGTCTTCTTCAGAAACAAAATCAACAGCGAAAGGAAGCGAGTTACTAACTAAACTGATTATTTTAGATGATCGTAATGTATTTGATATAGTGATAAGATATTAATATCAGTACTGTAATATCTAAAATGTCGATTATAATCTCGAGTTAATCTCTGATTATGTAAACGATACATCCTATACGATTAAACAATATGTTATTTATACCTGAACCACTTCAAATTGGACTCTCACGGATGTTACCTCTTGGAACGATCTTGTATTAAATAGATCTTGTAACAGATCTTGAATTATCTTTGTGAATTTTTGTCAACATTGCCTACGTGAATTCAGGCAAAATAATAATGATGCTATTTAACTAGGGAGAGTGAGTCATGTGTCTTGCAATTTCGGATCAATAATCAACAATTAGTATGAGACACAAGTGCATTAGTTTAGTGCATTAATTAAGTCTTGTCATGTAATGTAAGTATTAAAGGCAAAGAAAAATTTAATGATGCAGATTTAACAAGAACTGCATGGAGATTCTATGTATTATTTAAGGAATGAATCAACTCGTAGATACGGTATTGTTCAGATTGCATAGGAGTATAATACAGTCTAATGCAGTCTTGATAAAAATTTGACTCTGGACAAACATCCATCAGATCGGAAACAAGGTGAAAACTTTATACAAAGATGATGGAGATGTTTGATACAGACTTAATGTGCACTTTGTAAAGATTTCGCTATACAGACTTAATGGAGAATTTTTGCAGATATAATACAGATTTAATGTAGATTTGAGGGAGAGTTATTGCATATATCAAGTTAAGATACATAATGGACCTTTGAGGCATATTTCGAGCACGTAAAACTTAAATTTAATAAGAAAATCATGGAGATTTTATGTAATCATGTTTTCCTGCACTTTTAGATACGATATACTTACAGATCTATATAGATGTGATGTAGTCGCAATGCATATGTGCACTTTGTATACAGATTTCTTGATGCAGACTTGATAGAGAATTAAATATAATAGAAATACAAAGTAGATTTTATGGAGGGTTATCAAGTCAAGGTGAATAATGGAGGTTTAATGGAAACTTCAAAGATGTGATACTAATTAAATAAGCACTAGATTTGTAATCTTTCTGTATGGATTTGTATGGATTATGTAATCTTGAAGGAATCTTGATGTCTAAATGCGGTACTGTCGCAGATCCGATGGAGATATAATGCAGTCTGCGAAGAGATTTGATTCTATATAGACTTAACCTTATTAAGTCCAGATAAAACCTTGTTACAGAGTTAATGTAGACTTTATATGGAGTTTTTAATGCAAGCTTGATGGAGAATTGATGAAAGCATCATAGAGATATATCGTTTACTTGATGAAGGCACAATGGTTCTACAATCTTAGATACAGTGTTGATGTAGACGCGGCTGATACATGACAGTTTTGATACAGACTTGACAGAGACTAGATTATTTATAGATTTAACTTAATAGAAACATAGTAGGGACGTGATACAAAGGTGAAAGTTTATACGAAGTTACAGACTTGACGAAGACATGAGGAATATCTCTATCATTATAGTCCTGGAGGATGTTTAATGTATCTATCAAGACAGGTGGTATATTACAGATTTGGTGCAGACTGTAAAGATTGAATTCGCTGAAGGCTTAACGACAAAAACAGTTTTCTAAGTAGTAAAAGTAGAAAAACAGTCCGTCTTCACAAAGACTTGGAGTATACAAAGCAGCACAATTGCAAGTGGTAAACTGATTTTCAACAATAAAGAGATAGAATATCAATTGTTATTAATTGAAAGCATTTATAGGTTTATTCATTTTTGCAGAAGGTTATCAAAGGTGTACAGAAATCTCTTGAACATCTCGTAACAAAACTACAAAACAATTGTCAATGCTCTTCATTGAGAGAGAGAGAACTTCGCAATTGACTAAAATCTTATAGAATTTCGAGGTAATTGAGTCTTAAATGTTTTAAGACAACTGTCAGAATATATTGAGTTAGTTATACATCATTCGGTGTTGTGCTAAGACGTTGACAGCTCATGTCTCATTCGTCGTACAACATAACGACAAACAATTGATCATTAGTATTGATTTAGTTGCAAACCTGAGAAGCAAAAGTTTTATGTACATTGGTATAAGAAACAATAATAATTATCAGATTTGCAGAGTATTCATTAGAAGGCTACAAGAGCTATTAGCGGCAATCTTTTTGGATTCAAATAAAAGACATGGTGATGCCTTTCACGCCTATCAATAAATCCATAGGCTGACATTGGATAGCAACAGAAGCCGTCGATTATAATAACTAAATGGTAAATGGCATATGAAATATTTCTCAAAATTGTGCAATATACTTATGTTTCATTACGTACGAAAATAGTCTTAATTTAAATATAATCTAATTAAAATTAACACTTCTCATTTCCGTTTACTTATTGTAATCTAAACATTACGTTATTTATCTACTATTATCATCCATTTTATCCTAAATTAGTAGCATAAAAATTCAAAATATAATAGCTATTATTTTCAAGAACTCATTTAATTCAATTTAAAATATTTATATAACATTATATTTAACATAATATATTTTGATGTTATTTATTTGATTTGGCAATAGATAAAAGATAAACTCATAGATAAAATTCAACTTAAGTGTGACACCATCATAAACATTTGGTTCGAAAACACTTGAGTTAAAATAAATCATTCATTATAATATTAGGTCAGGGTATAAAAACTTTTTGGATGAGATTCCTAACATCAGTTCAGTTATAAACATCATTACCACAATAACATTGAAGAAAATGTTGTTTTATATCGTTTTGATTTCGTGCGTTTTCGCCACAATTTCTGCCGGTAAATTTAAAGTCAATATTCAAATCTTATTATTACGTTAATTTTTTTAGACGAAAAATGTACTGCCCCAAATACACAATTTAATTATTGTGGATCTCCTTGTGACGAAACTTGCGATGGTAAACCAGAGTATTGTGCAGAAGTTTGCGTACAAAGATGTGAATGTGTACCTGGTTACGTAGTACATAAATCTGAATGTGTTCCAAGAGAATATTGTGAACAGCTTAGTAAGTATTTTTATTAATTGAAATTCAATAAGAAAATTGATAATAAATCGCTTTGTATTTTAGAGTGTAATGATCCTAATATGGAATACACTAAATGCGGAACTTATTGTCCTAATACTTGCGAAACTCCAGAGATTTCAACATGTATTGATATGTGTTTTGAAGGGTGTCAATGCAAAGATGGATATGTTCTTCATGATTTTAAATGTATTAAATTGGAGGATTGCCCTACAAAATAAATTAAAAAAAGAAATAATAATAATAAAATGAGGCACTTACTTGGATTAAAATGATACACAATACAAAACTAAAATAAAATAAAAAAAAGTGGTTATTTATTTATCATAACAGAAAAATTGAACGTTTAAACATTATATTCACATACTAAATCGTTTTACCTTTCTCTGCGGTGAGCTGTTTTTCGGGTAATCTAAGCGTAGCTGCTTGCAGGATAACTGGTTCGCTTCTTCCTTTCGCGTTGTATGAGAACAGTGCCGCCTGATAAACTGCTCCTGGACCCAAGCCCGTAACGGAGAATTTTGCCACCGGCGACGATAAGTTACCCTTAATTTCCTGACTGTGACTCTCGCGAACCTAATTTGCACAAAAAGCATACTAGTAAATATCAGCGAAGCAGCCGACGACGGCCAAGTCTACGTGTATTCATTAACAAAGGATTATATTTAAGAAAATGAGAAAGAAATGTTGCAGAAAATTTTAAAGTTAGAAATTTCTCATTTTATCCTTTTGACGATTTCATATTGAAAATCGTTAGCGGAAATATGCCAACATCGTTATCTTGTAGAAAAGTTAAAAGTATAATTATACTAGAGGAAGTTGTCACGAGTACCAATTATATGGGGTAAGATCCCTCAAAACTTTTCAAATTCCTATAATAAGACAGGTTGAATCTCAAGAGGCAACCTTTGCGGTTTTAAATTTATTTCAAGGAAAGTTTTACGATTTTACGGTGAAATGCACATATATAAATAGAATCATATTATAAATAAAATCATGATTTTTTAATAAAATTAAATAAATTATTCATATAATTCTTTTAAATTATAAATGAGTAAATGGATAATTAAATTTAAACACAAAGCAATGATTTGCATCCAAATCTGAAATTTGAAACTACTGGTCACACTACCTTTTAAATAAATAATTTGAAATTTCGATACGTTTGTAGTATGGATATTATGGAAATTGATGGAAATTGTTTGATACAGCAAGTAGCCATGTAATGTTGTAATTGTTAATATATCCTGTTTTATGTTATAACCTTATTATCATTTTTATATTATCGATTTTTAAACGACAATATGTCTTGCTGTTGATGTATATTATATTACATCAGTTATCCATTCTTTCAAAAGATCTACAGTATGCAAAATCCCTATTTGTACACCAACCGTAAAATTAGAAAATCTCGAAGTACACTACAAAGGTAGTATAAATTTCAAATATTTTTCATAATTTAATTCACTTAGAAAAGCAAAAGCGAAAGTAGACATGTTGGTTACCTCTGCAGTTCGATTACTGAACGACAAAGAACATTTTAGTCACAGTTAACAAAAACCGTATTCGTATAGTACAAACTTTAAAATTATACTTTTGATATAACACTAACATTTGTTATTACTTGGATAGCCTGTTTGCTTAAAAGCATCACGTAGCCATCTCGGCATCGATTCCACTAGTTTAGTGGTTATTTGAGGTGGTATTTTAGTTCATTCTGTCTTCAAACCTAGCATTAAGTCCATTACGTTCTAATATTGTAATATTTCAATATCTTCTTGAATATTGACAAGTGAACTTCCGGCCAGGGAATAAACCTATTTATGATAGTCAGAACATAAGAACATTCTAAGGAGGGAGTAAGTGGACCAACAAGATCAATATGTATATGCTCAAACCTGCCTTTCGGAATAGGGATTTTCAGAATAGGAGATTTGGTGTGGTTAGTAATCTTTGCCTTTTGGCAAGAAAGACAAGTTTTGGTCCATAATTTTATATTTTTTGGCATATGAGACCAAAAGAAACGTGTTTTGAGGGAATAAGGAGTGGCGTGAAATCCAGAATGAGAGATGTTATGAAATTTTTTGAATACAATATAACGAACATTTTCTGGAATATAGAGTCTTGGATGAGAATAAGAAGTCTCAGGGATAAATTTGAAAATGAAATTACTTTTGATAAGTTGCAAACAATGCTTTTCGAGGATTGTTTAGTAAGTAAATATTGTAATTGCTTATCTTTTGATTGAGCATCTCCAATTGCTTTTAAATCTGGATAAGAAAAATAAAGGTCGTCAATGTTGATTCGAGAGAGAGTATCAGCCACGATGTTTGCATCACCTTTTATAAATCTAATATCAGAAGTAAATTGGGTGATGTAATGTAGATATCGAGTCTGTCATGGTGTCTTCTCAGTTTTTGAAGTAAAAGAATTGACCAAAGGTTTGTGGTCGGTATAAACAGTAAACTGATTACTCAGAAGAAAATGTTTAAAAAATGTTATTGCGCAATATATAGCGAGTAATTCACGGTCAAAAGTGGAATATTTAGTTTGGCTAGGTGACAATTTTTTGGAAAAGAGAGCAATTGGTTGGGTTTTATGATCAGTAGTCTGTGAAAGTACTGCTCCCATAGCTGAATTTGATGCATCAGTACTAAGGGAAAGAACAGCATTGCTAGAAGGATGAGCGAGAAAAACGTGATAATAAATCTTTTGTCGTAGAAAAAGCTGAATAGTGTTTATCGGGCCAACAGTCGATGCTCTTTTGTTTCTTCGAATTAAGAGTCGTTGATAAAGAATATAAAGGAGTTAGAGTTTCTGATAAATTAGGAATGAACCTGTGATAGAAATTTATCATGCGTAAGAGTCTTTGTATAGTTTTCAATGAAATAGGTTTTGGAAAATCGGAAATAGCTTTAATTCTTGAATCTGATGGTCGAATACCTTCAGATGTAACATGGTGACCAAGGAAGTCTAACGAAGGTACACCAAAAATACATTTCTTAGGTTGGATATTTATGCCAAAGGTAGTTATCTTATGAAAAGTTTGGATAAACGTTGTAAATGCTCAACTTCATTTTTACTAGCGATAAGTATGTCATCTAAATATACAAATAAAAAGTCGAGACCTGTTAGTACTTACAAGCCAAAAGGTGTAGTGATTGCTGTTTTGTAAATATCGTCATCATGAACTGGAATTTTTTGATATGCGTGTATTAAATCTATTTTTGAAAATATCTTACATCCATGCAAGTGAAGATTAAAATCTTGAATATGAGGTAATGGATATCGGTCAGGGACCGTAACTAAATTTAACTGGCGATAATCACCACAAGGTCGCCAATCATTCGAGTCTTTCTTTGGTACCATATGAAGTGGAGAAGCTGTTGAAGATGATGAAGGTTTGCAAATACCAAGCGTGACCATCAGTTCAAATTCTTTTTTGGCAATCACAAATTTTGAGGTATCCATACGTCGAGGACGGAAAAATGGTAGATGAGAATTTGTTATTATTCGATGTTTAACTGGAGGAAAAATCTGGAGAAGAAGTCAAGTTCAGGAAAGATTTTAGAAGTTTAGTAAATTGAGTTTTAATAGAAAACAGTTTAGGACTAGATATATTAGAATGATGAATTGAACCAATAGAATATAATTTAGTTTTAGTGTCAATATACTTGATGTCAACGACAATACCAAATTTATCTAAAAATCTGCGCCTATAATTGGGTTGGTAACATCAGCCACAGTAAGAACGAAAGAAAAATGTCTGCGCAAATTTAATAATACAGTCAATATTTTCTTAACATTTTTTAGTATGAGAAAAGTTTAAATGGTAAAACGGAAATGTCAGCATCTGTATCGATAAGACAATTTAGATTGTTATTATCGTCGTAGACAAGAAGACGATGACTAGTAAGATTAATTGATGGATGATGTGAATTACGTTTAGTTGTTAAAACTAAATTTTTGTTTGAAGGACTCCTTTCTATTGAAACTCTATTCAGTTTTTGAACTTTGATTTGAATTTGATAATTTTGTTTTTTCATTGAGGGAATTAAAGAATTTGCACCACGAACCTTGACATTTGAGAGCTCTATCGCCGAACTTTGTATGATATGTATATATGGAAAAAGAAGATTGACGATTTCTAGAATTGTCGCGTGAGCCAGAATTTGAACGTTCACCGCGAAAATGACAATGTGAATAACAACGAGGACCGTTTTCGTTATTTAAACGTTGGTTAATGGAATTGACCTGTGATTCGATGGAGATCTGACGTTGTGTTATGGTCTGTAATAGAAGTTGACAAGAATTAGAGAAATCTTGCAATGTTTTAAGAATTTCTGAATTATTATTCTCAGAAGAATTTAATAATGGCGATGTTGGAGGTTTGTTGATAGGTAATTTTGCTCCTACGTCAGAAATTGATAAAGAAGATGAAAGGTTGGAAGATAATGATTCTCAAATTTTGCCAACAATTGTTAACAGATCGTTAAACCTGAAGCAAGCAAGGCAACCGAAATAGTTCGTGGAAGCCTTCTCTGCCAGAGTTTGACTAACAAACTCTGACTTACCATTGAAGAACCTCCGACTGTTGATAACATGTCCCTATAGTAATCAGATGGACGTTGATCACCCAGCTTAGTACCAGACAAGAGATCATCGAGCCGTAGGCTCATCATAAAAACATTCCTGTGGCTCATCAGCTTCCTTATTCGCCTGATATGAGTCCTTGTGACTTTTTCCTCTTCCACAGATTGAAAAATCACCTTAAGGAAACTCATTTTGGGACACTCGAAAGCATTNTACCAGACAAGAGATCATCGAGCCGTAGGCTCATCATAAAAACATTCCTGTGGCTCATCAGCTTCCTTATTCGCCTGATATGAGTCCTTGTGACTTTTTCCTCTTCCACAGATTGAAAAATCACCTTAAGGAAACTCATTTTGGGACACTCGAAAGCATTCAAACGGCTGTAACCGACCAGCTGATATTTCAGCATCGGAGTGGCGGACAATATTGAATTGTAATTCCATTCAAATAACAAAAAATTGAAAAAATCAGTCTCATTTACACACCTCGTATCCACTTCAGCTTTTGGGGCCACTTTGATGATGTTCTCCACAACTTGTAAATGGGATAAAAATGTAAAAATGGGGTTTGAATTAACGTTAAAAAAATGTGTAGGGAATGTTTACATTTAATACTGAAGATATATACATTTTGAAAAAAAACAATAAATAAAAATTCTTTTTTAAAAATATATTTAATAAACGTTAACTGCTTAAACTTTAAAATTTCTTTTTTTTATAATATCTCTATTTTTATTCGTAATTTGTGAGATCTAGCTCTTTCATAACGCCCTATGTATGCTTGTTATGCATTGAATTCTCTGAAAATTTCGCGTATGCATTTCAATTGCAATTTCAAATCGTGAAGTCAAAGGCGGTCTGTTTCATTTTTTTTCCTCTTTATTCGTTTCCGGCCGGAAAACGTTCCGAGCTCTGAATACAAGTATTCCGCATTTATTTCGACTCACCTCTAATAGGAACGACTGTGGGAGACCTCCATGGAATCCTTCTGAACACTTTATTGAAAACGAGGTCGTTGAAATATTGAACACCGTACAGTTGTGGACCTGGTCCGGTCGACCTAAAACGAAAATACAACGCTAAAGTGGTTTTCGTGCAACACAATTACGTAAAACAACAATGATTCCATCGGTTTATTCAAGAAATAGTCTAACTATTTTTGAAATAACATTTTTTTTTATGTTTTGTAATGCTATTATCAACATTCGCTGAAAATATAGCTTTTTATTCAGATTTCATCCGAATATTTTTAATCCATTTCAATTAAAATTCATCCATATTTTGCTTGTATTTCTAATTAACTGAAAATTTGATGCGTCCGGGCTGGATTATTCAGCGAATTTGATTATTAATGTCGTCATTGCATAATCAACTGCGCCAACCCGGGAGCCAATAATCGTAAAATACCATTTTCGACAAACAAAAATACTGCACATTTATAAAATTCAAATATGAATTAATTTGACTTGAATCATAGGGCGTTAATTGCATAATTGACGAGATAATCTAATTTGTTCGCTTTATGTGTCGCAATATTGTACGTATGCATACATAAATTGTATTGATATATTGTTTTTATCAATTTTAAAATAAATTTATTTGTATTTATATATTTGTAGGTAACAAATTTGTATTTGCTTGAATTGGAGGTTTTATTAAAAAAAATAATAATAAGGTAGAGTGTTGCAAAAGAGAAACCGAACCAATCAATGCACACAAGCATAGGGAAAACATCGTCGTTGACGATAAGGTTTGTTCAGCCCCAGATAGACTTTGGAACCTTTCTGGATAAGACACGCTGCGGCACGCTGCGGTCTTATTCCGGATTTAGTCGAACTAAAACGGATTTCTAGTCCACCTCGAGTAATCTCAGGAGAATACCATGTGGCACCGCCCCAGACTTCTTGCATACACTACTATGGCTCACCGGAAACGAAATCCGAAATTTAATCTCTTCGTAACAACAAAAGACACTTTCTAACCTAGAGAACTAATTTTAGAAGTTTTATTGAAAATGTTTGTGTAAGTGGATATTTTTGCTACAGTAAATACACTCTTAGGAATTATCTCCAAATGGAGGTCACAATGTTAAGTTGCGACCGCGTTAGAACTAATTTCCAGCGACCGTTTGCCGCGTTTTACAAAGTTTCGAACCGACCGAGTACAATTTGGCGGTTTGGGGCGCGTTCGACCGCAACAAGAGGTCTGCAAATTTATGAATCAACCTTGCCATCGTCCTAACCCGGAACCGGCCGTGATTCAATTTGTAGCACCGTCCGAAAATGAACATTCACGTAATGTAATAATACTTTACCCGCAAACCACACACTACTGACATTGTTTGGATTAATTTTAATCTTCTAACATATTAGTTATTTACAATATCATTTGTAATATTTTAAGTTACAAATTTTAATCATTAAGCATTCAAATAAAACGTCAAGATATTAGAATATGTAGTTAATTGAAATTTATCTTTATCCGTTAATGGACAAACCTTGTACGTACATGATAATACAATTATCTATTCGCTCTGTGTATATCAGCATACAGAACTAAACTCCTCTCTGGTATTGATTAATTCAGACCTTATGTTGGAGTTTCTACTATATCTAACTGTATCTAACGCAAATCCAACAATCTAGATTCAAAATCTATGTCATGTGCACTCTAGAGATGGTGTAGATGACAAGGATTATAGGACGACATTAATAATTTACAGGTTGAAAATTAACAGAACGTAGAACGTTAATAACGCAATTAGTGAATGAATGAAATCAACATTTTAATTTTTTAAACAACTTTATTGTTTTCAGACATAGCACACTTAATGATTTTTTTTAATGTTTGCATCATAGTTAGATTTGTTAGATAATTATGTTATCATGATAAACCTGCTACTTGGAAAAGAATCATCGATCATGTAATTGGGACAGATTTGCACTTAATTCACTACTTTGCCAATCAATGTTTCAGAAAGATTTTTGCTGGATATTTGGCAAGGCTTAAAAAATACCAATGGGTTCGTGGTGACCTTAAACACTTACGGTACATCGTTAGCGATAGACAGAGTTTCAGGTTGATTCGGTAACAATTATGGAAATCTGAGAGATTCCAATTCCTAAAAATGCAAATGAGGTTCCTCGAACTTTGGATACGAAATAAAAATTCTTTCCTTACTATTCCGGTTTGTTGCGGAAAAATATTATAATTGTTATACCTCTGAATATCAGATTTCTCTTCGTTTCGATGCCGTTTCCATTCCTGCATATTCGTGTTAGATTATCATCGTGAAGGGAAGGAATATGTTGTGCTCACTACTCTTTCTCGTGTTAATCCATTTCTTTTTTTTTAATTGCAACACGTTTAGAAAGCTGTTGGATAAAGGTATGTATTGATTCTCACTAAGTATAGATTGATAGAAATAGATGAAAACTTTGCAAATACATTTACTGAACGTTCTTTTCTTTGGATGATGATGATTGCTGGAAGTTAATTGCGACGAAATAGTTGAACGGCTATTTAAAAGATTTCTTGTCATTTGGCTGTGAAGTTTTTTTAACCAAAAATTTGGCTCACTTTGATGTTTTCAGCAATTAAGTTACAAGAAAAACGTGGAAATACAATCACACTATCATTAGAACTAGCACTTGATCTAGAATTAGAAACTTTCGTGTTTAGCAATGAGTCTTTTGAAAAAGCCTTTAATGTTTCGGATGCTATGTTGCAATCTTCTTCAGAAACAAGTTCGAATCTTGGGTGGATCTTTGTAGCTTGGAATAATCAACTATATAGAAGGTTTTGTAACCAACGTAACAAAACCTTCTATATATTTTAAAACTTCATCATTTGCAATTTTCATGAAAACTCTTTCATTCGATCCTAGTTATTGAAGTTTCAGATTTATCATTTATTTCAGAAAGCGAAAAACCCACCAACCAAAGGTTGAGCGAGGTTGGTGGAGTTGTTTGCAAAACAGACAAGAACTAGCTATGTCGTTTTCTATAAATCCTTCTAAAACAGTATCTGTGAAATGTGATGTGTGTGGCAAAAAAGAATTCTGGAACCAATCTGTGAATATTTGAGCATAAATTCTTCCATGATTTGTTGTATTGTAACGGGTACCAAGGCTATAGCATCTATCGTTTCATCGTCCAATTGGGACCTAATTCAATCTATTGTTGCCACGTTTTCCCTGCTTTGTTTATTACATATGGAGGCAATAAAATACCAGCCGAAGCACATATCATTATAGTGATGGCAGTTTTTGTAACATTGAAGACTAGTTCAGGATTTACTTAGTTCCACGACGAAATAACTTTTTTTTTTTACCTGTATCATCTTGTAAATTTGTTTCGTCATAGTAGAAAAAGTTGCAAGATAGAACATTTCGAATTGTCTTCCGTAAGCAGTTAAAACAATAGTGTTCGATATTTTCAATTCAAATATTTGCACATCTTTCAGTGTTTGACACTTTTCGGATTATCACGATATCATGCCTTCCTAACATGGATTGGCCCTTAGCTGTCTAAATGAGTGTTTGCCAAGTATTTTATATCGTTAATTGCTAGTGGGCAACCCTAACCACTATAACAGTTAACAGTGCTTATGAGTGACTTTACTTCTTCAAATATAAAAATGGTTTACACGCCATTTTTTAATAGGTATATGATTTTAATACGTAATAAATGCATTACACTGTGTTATATTTTATTCTGTGACCTTCAAGATTTTCTGGTTGATAATGCTTATACGAAACTGATCGCAGCCTTCGCTGATATTTTATTGGGATGATGGACAACACCTAAAAAAGAAAACCTAATATTCGTCTTTTTATGTTATGGCAATCGGGCTCCACGTTATAAAATGATTCCCATCGAATACAATAAGATCATAAAATCGTAGATATCATGCAAAATAAATAAAGTTTATGACTGTAGCATAGATTCTAACTTATCGAAGTTCGAAACACTTAGCTTTTAATAAAAATTCAGTTGCAAATTCAGGTGCTGTTACCTGCTTTATAACTAACGTGGGTTGTAACAATAGGGTGGTTCAATACACTGTCAGTAACCGTCGGCAATGTCGCAATTGAACTAATAGTTTCGATGTATTTCTACTGCAGCGATATAGTGAGCTATTTCATCTCTGAAGATCAATTTCACTACAAATGACGTTATATCTATAGTGCCAATATCTTAAAAAAATTGACAAAAGTATCTAAAAATATATAAAACATAAATAAAAATAAGATGAATTAGTCCTGTTATATATTGTTTTGTATTGTTGTCCTGTTCTGTTCTATTGTGTTATTAAATATTCAGAAAAGTTGAAAAAAAACCTTAAAATCAGAAGATACACTGACAATGACGACTCTTTTATATTTCCAACATCAGGACATATTCATATTTAGTTTTTTAAGTAATCTGCGTTTCACATACACTTTTTGATTATTATTGAGAAACGAGATGCTCTCTGAAATTATCTTGTTTCTTAATATTAAAACACTAATAATACAGTGGAATAGCAACTTATATCGAAAAATAGTGCATTTACATTGCTTGTTAGGTTATTCTATTTTCAAAAAGAATCACTGGATTTTTGAAGTCCATAAGGAAATTTTGTGTTATATGTGTTATTTCGAATAATATTAAAACGAATATTATTTTGTTTGAATAATTACAATTCAAACTTGTGATCACATGACAGAAATCTGTGCCAGTTCTGGATATCTCTGGCTTTTAAATGTTTGCTCATTAGTTTCTATTTTAGACTGTTCCTCTCCTGAGCGCGATATTTTACGCATATTACAAGACTTTTGAAGAGATTCCAAAAAAGTTAGTGAAAATCCCTGTTACTCAACATTTTCAAATCACTTGAATTTACACTGCTCTCATCTATTACGTTTTTCGTAATAATCATTTTCATCCACATTGTGGTATACCCATATTTGTTCCAGGCATTACTCTCTTCTTGAAAACTTCTTCCTTTAATACATTTTTGAGGTTATGTCGACATTTTGTTGTGTGTCCTGGCTATACAGTCTTTATCAGTATCAGA